GTCAGATGACTGGCCAGCAGCGCTTTTGAAGCGGCAGGAACCAGGAACCAATGCATTCAATTGTCACGACAATTGCGGTATGTAGGAAGATTTCGGTAGTCACATTTCTCTAACAGAAATCAGGCCAAGCAATCATCGGGAGCCGATCGCCAGGTTATTGCACAAATCCTACGTTTTTGTCCAACTACGAGAACTGCTTGCAATGCGCTGGACCTGACAACGTTAACATCTGGACATTTTATGGCAACAGTTTGACCAGGGCTGCCACGTCTTGTGGGGGGTTGTCCACCAGCCCTCTTTCAGGTCCACAAGAAGATGTTTCAGTTGCCATTCCTGCGGCTGGAGGTAGTGTAACGCCATCTTCATCATCAGCTTCTGCCAACAGTGGCCCAGCTTCAACACCGACGTCTAGTACGGCATCAGCGCCTGTACCAGATGCGACGATAAGCGAAACAGTAGCAACGGAAGCACCTGCGTCCAGCTCAACTGATGCGCATGATGCTAGCCCAGATAAGACCACAACGGTTCAGATATCATCGACAACGTTATCAACGACTATCGCTTCACCTGGAAGCTCTACCGTCTCAGCAAGCTCAGGTACAATCACTTCAAGCCTCCCTCAAGAGAGCGGACTACCCGGCGTAAGACATTCAGAAGTAACAAAACTATGATCGTCGCTGACATGTTTTGTAGAATTATACTGGCCCTGCGATTGTCACTGGTGCAGCGCGTAATCTTCTTCCAAGTGCTGCCGCCATTTTCGCAATTGCCGCTGTCGCTGCAATTGAACTCTGTGCCTGAATTTGGCAAGATTCTGAAATTCTGTGTTGAATAGTCCGTTTGGTGTGATGTTTCTATACGGGGATAGTGTATTAACATATGAAAAGTCGTTTAAGCTTCATACTCACTCGCTTGAATAGCTCCTGTAAAGTAAACAGCTCTTAACATTTAGCACTCAGAAACCATTATTTAATGTACAATATAAACAGCTGTCGCACATGCGTCAGAGTGACACATGTAAACGTAGGACGATAATTAGTGGTAAAACAGAAGCAAAGGCTTTTGAAATTTTCCCAAATGTCTGACCGTTATCTCGTTCCTAGCGTTTTGCATAAGTTCCGCAAAATAATGTCAAATTAGCTCCAATCAACTTTGAGGAAGCATTTCGCACGAGTACCAACTCATCGACAGCTAGTCCATACCAATAGCTATGCTATCATTTGACTTCCTACCATTGCCACTGGAATGTCGAAGTGTCATAGCTCAGATTATCAGCTCAACCAAGTTCGTCACTCAACGATCGCATGATGATATTAAGGATGAAGAGCAGCTTGTTCCTCAACCCACAAAACCGAAAGCTATAAAAAAAGCCCCAGCTCTGGTAATGACTCCCGCAAACGGGGAATTGGAAGAGAAATTACGCTACAACAGCTCGATGATTAAGCAATGTGATCATTCCACATCAAACGAGAGGCGGATCCATCTGGAAACAATCGAAAGGATGCTTATGTGAGGATCGGTTTGAGCTGATCCCCTTGCGTTTTCAAAGGAAAAAAGAAAATAACGTTAGCGCAGTCACAGTACACGGAGTTGGGGTTGTAGGAGTTGCAACGTTGTGACTGTGGTGTTTCAACTTATAGTCAGATTGCATTTCTTCTGATTCTATCGTAGACCCCCGAGGACTCGTCGCGTCGTGTCGCGGTGTCAACAATTGCCTGGATTGTCTCCATAAGCCTATGGCATCGTCCGGTGGAGATCTGGTTACGTTCTTTGTTGGATTCGCATCGGGTTCGATATATGCGCGTCGGAAAGCGTCGGGATTAAAAATGTGTCAAAGAAAGAAAGAAGTGGGGCATTGTAATGCCCCACTTTGGCACCAACACGTGACTGGTCATCTGACTTGCCCCCTTTCTATGTCGCATGTGGTTGTTGAAGCGCTGCACATACGGTAGGTAGAACAGGCAATTGATGCTTTAGTTGTTGGATAATTTTCTGTGACGATTTAATATTAAATTGTGTTTCTCTCTCTATCCTTCAAGATATACTTTTCAGCCCCTACCATGTGTGTTTTCTTTTAGCCGGTACATTCAGCAACATCTTTGGTATTCTTTTCAATCAACAAGCAGAGTGTATTAAACCATAACCAAGATAATGAGCATTGAAGTTATTGCACGTTACTTCTGCTCGCAACTACCTCGCATCCCATCCCGAGACTCTTCTGCTGTGGTTGATGTTGAACTTTCGACACGATGCAGGGTTCTCCGCTCCCAGGATTAAAGAATCCAACATCTTATCTTATCCAACAACAAGCTCGTTGGTTGACGCGATTTGGAATAAATCGCCGCTCAAATCATTTCTTGGGCGACTTTGCTTCTTGGCTTGGATAAGACCGAAGTGACAAAAAATGGCAGAACTATCGCGAATTGTCGGTTCTGTATTTGCTGTTCTTTGTGCTTACTTATTTTATCATTATCTAGAACAGCAAATTACTCGTCGACAGTGGACGAAGCGACACGGTTGCGCCGATCCACCTAAATATCCCCATAGAGATCCCATCGGATTAGATCTCTTCGTATCAAATATCCGCAACGCCAAGCACTTTCGGATGCTAGAAGGATGGAAAGAAAGATGGCAGAAGTATGGCACGACGTTCAGTGGAATGTCGATGGGAGTCCGGAATGTATACACTGTTGATCCTCTGAATCTTCAGTCTGTTCATGCGCTGAACTTCAGTAATTACGGTGTCCAACCTATTCGACGAGATGCAACCCTACCGTTCTTGGGTGAAGGAGTGTTTACTATGGACGGTCCATTTTGGGATCATTCGAGAGCTCTGATACGGCCAACATTTACGAGGACTAATGTTGCCAACCTACCAGCTTTTGAAGTCAATTTCCAGAAGTTCCTGAACCTACTTCCGAAAGATGGGGAGACAGTGGACTTGAAACCCCTATTCTATCGCTTGGTAAATTTGAACAACACTTGCTGAGGATTCTTATAATAATAATGATAGTTTCTTGATACATCCTCTGAATTCCTATTCGGCGAATCCGTAAACGCACTCTCAGAAAAAACACCTTTCAAAACCAAGGAGTTCCTCGATGCTTTTCACTATGCGCAACGAGGAATGGGAGTCAGAATTCAAATGCGCAAATTCAAGTTCCTCTTCCGCGACAAAAAGTGGTGGGAAGCAATCAAGATCTCTCACGACTTTGCGTACACTTATGTCGACAAAGCTCTAGAATTTCGGAAACGGTATCTTGAGTCCAAAAATTCGGGGAAGAAAAGCCTGTCTGAAGATGATGACAGACATCCGTATGTTTTGTTGCACGAAATGGCAAAAGAAACAGATGACCGAGATAATCTTCGGAGCCAGATTATCCATATCTTTATCGCAGGTCACGACTCAACTGCTATTACTGTCGGTCATGTATTCTTTCACCTCTGTCGAAATCCTGAGGTTTATGAAAAGCTTCATGCGGAAGTCAAGGCGTTGGATGAGGAGTTGACATTCGAGTCGCTTAAATCAATGCGTTATTTGCAATATGCCATCAAAGAAAGTAAGTTCATTAGTAGAGTTTATCGAGAGTGGGTTTATGCTGACATACCTAGCCCTACGTCTTCATCCCGTCACACCACTAGACGGACGTATCGCCTACCAAGACACCATGCTCCCCACCGGCGGCGGACCAAACGGCGACTCTCCAATCTTCGTCCCCAAAGGCTCGCTCGTAACAACCTCACTCCACGCTCTCCATCGACTCGCACCATGTTTCCAACCAGATCCAGATACGTTCCGTCCAGAACGATGGGAGACGGTACGACCAGGATGGAGTTATCTTCCATTCTTCGGGGGTCCAAGAATTTGTCCTGGTCGTTAGTTGGCGTTAACTGAAGCTGCTTATGTGGTTGCTAGGGTGGCGCAAGAGTTTAGGAGGATAGAATGTAGAGATCCGGTCAAGGAGTGGGTTGAGGAGTTCAAGATTACGGCGAGTAGTAGGAATGGGACGCAGGTTGCTCTTTTTAGAGAGTGGTGATATTTGTCGGGTTGAGCCTAACATTGTGTATTTCTTTAGTCATGTCAACATGGGAGAAAGTATATTTTCCACGATATCACTTGTTAAGTTGTTCTTTGGCTCTCCCTTCGGGGATTTGCTATCTTGGTTTTTGACTAGGTTGGAATATCTACAGTGTCTACATGTTGTTTCTTGCCGGCGATGGCCCGGCGGTGTGAATAAGGCTCTTAAAGGAAGCTTGCATTCGAAGTCGTTTTCGATTATGCCACGGTAGAATACGTATCCGCATTCCTTGTATACACTGTCTGTTTTTAATGAATCGATTTTAAAGCCGAAATCTGTGTTGAACCCCTTCGACTTTGATCAAACAACACAACATACATTCATCCTCAATTTGAGAAATCTCGAGTCGGGAGTTTTGTCTTTGCAATGGAAAATGTAGTAGTTGCAAGAGCTACCAAAACATCCTTCTGATCTGCGAAGATAGTAGTCATTTCCTGCCACATCAGTTGTCTAACCACAATCTGTTCTCATCTTCTCTTATTTAAATCTTATTGCTCATTATTTGTAAATCAATCATCTTATCGAGAAATGATTAACTCTATTGTTCTACTTTATTTGGTCCACATTACGGCTGCCTACGAATGTTTCGCTGTCAAAATGCACTGCTGGCGGTGGTGGTGGCTGGGTAAATCAGCCTTGGGCGTCAAGCCTCAGCCTTCTGTTAACAGCACATGAAGAGACCTTTCATTTTTAACACCTTCAAAAGGACCTTTCAGACGTATCTGTCTCGTCTTGGTCGACGGCTTTCCAATCTTTTGCGTCGTATTGAAACTTCCAGACTGTGGAGATGACAGATTTTATCCCACGGCCAGCGGTGCCATTGACAAGCGATGTTCGTTTCGAATCCAACCTCGATAACTATCCCGAGTCCGTAACAGACGATGAAAACTATACTTTTACTCCAGCTCCTATGCCCAACACGATGATTTGGCCACGTGATAACATCTATTCTGCATTACCATACTCCCATCAACCACTTGGCGACGGCCCGTGGATACGCATCTTACGACTAAGCCCTGGAATGGACCGCGATCCCATCAAAGTTTCTCTTCAGCCGGTGAATCTCGACGATGCCGTTAGCCAGTATGACGCCCTGTCGTACGTTTGGGGTTCCGACTTCATTGCTCATGCTATCGACGTGGACGGGTGCAGCTTCGCCATCAGGGATAATCTGTTCAAGTTTCTGGCAAGCATACGTGACCCGGAAGAGTCGCTTAATCTGTGGGCAGATGCTATCTGTATTGATCAAAAAAACACCAAAGAAAAGAATCATCAGGTGCAGCAGATGGGGAGAATTTACAAGGGAAGTCGTGCGACACGGCTTTGGTTGGGCCAGGGCGATAAGAACGTGGATTCTTTTCTGCATTCTATTGCTGAGTCTCAATACAAACCTCCAAATGAATCCACAGTCCTAAAGCCTTCACAGAGGTCCGAACTTTCTTCAGAACAAAATGACAAAATCGCTTTCTCACGTGGATTACATTGGATTCTTTACAATCCTTACTGGACACGTCTTTGGATTGTTCAAGAAGTCATTCTTTCACCAAATGTTCGGGTTTATGTGTCTCGAACTGGCTATTCTTGGGAAACATTTGCCCAGTTCTGCAAATCTGGGGCAGCAGAAATGCAAAGATACTACAGAAATGAGATTGCAGACAAGTTATCTCAGAGCACTATAATTAGTTTAGATCGACAAAGGAGAGAAAAATCTGTAAGAAATTTTGTTGATTTGATCAAAATTTCTGTACCTGTGAGTGCTTCGACGTTCGGGATCGAGTTTTTGGATTGATGGGCCTGGTTGAAGATTTTATGCTTGAAATTGACTACAAGCTGTCCAACGTGCAACTTTTCGAGAAAATACTTTGCGAGTATCCTGTTCAGTTTGCCGAAGACCTTGCAGGAGTTTTGTCCACAGCTTTGATGTCATTGAGGATCTTCTTAGAGCCAAGACTCGTCTTTACTGCTGATAGTATACCGATCAGACTACAAGAGTGTGGCGCTGTAACTCGGAAAAACGAAACACTGCTGTGGAATTTACACCCGAAGCAAATCGTGGTATCGAATTCAGATATAAGAGATGAAGAGTATAAGCTCTACAGCCTGTCCAAAACACCTGGTGCAGCAGTCATTAGGGCTGGACGATGCTCCATCATTCTAAAACAAGGAGTTGTGATCCACAGGAATCATAAGGTGCTGCGACCTAAAAGGATTATTTATCCCATCGCTGGAACAGTGCTCGTACTTCATCCCGTTGAAACGTCAACAGACCGCCTTTCATACAACTTCGAGGAGCTGATAGAAGAAGCATATGCGTTTAGAGACGCTCAAGAGAATGGATATGGACCATTGATCTTGCAGCTTCTAATACACATTTTTGGCCGAATATTTTACTCGAATGGCTTCCAAAAGTCTACTAAAATACCTTACTATAATGTGGGTACGAGGAAGCATGAGGTTTGGAACCCCTTTCGATTCTATGATCGAGAAAGTGAAGATGATAAAGGAGTGGCTGGTTTTGCTTTCTTCAAGAAAGACACTGTACTGGTGACCGTTTAGATGAGATTCAGCATCCCGTCGTCGGGCTTTCACATCTTGAATGTCATTTTGGAACCTAATAGCATTCGGCTTTTGTGATTTATCTGTAAGCGAGTTCCCTCTCAGCATGTCGTGTTCCACCACGATTACTTGACACACCGATAGCGTTGATTCTTTTTTGTGTATGTCAGAGGATCCTTAGCACAAAACCCATCAACCACAAAAGTCAGCACTCCAAAACCCCTCCCATCCAAAATCTGCCCATAATATCGGCAGAATCATACTCAAAACGCCATAAATTGCTATCAAAGAACTTCACAGCACATCATCACCGAAACCAACCCACAAACCTCAAACAACAAGCCGCATCCAATCCCCTGCCCCGCACCACAACAAAGAATACCCGGCAAAATCCGCAATCGAAGCCCCATAGAACAAACACATTCTTTCCATGAACTTCTTACGAACCGAATGAAGTACTCAATAAGTCTTCTAGAGCCATTTCTAGCTTCTAGAAGGGTTCTAGAATAAGAAGAATCTCGGCAGGAAGAAAGAAGGAACAAACGAAGGTTTTACGGCCCCACTGTTTTGATCTGAATCCGGGGCGGGGTGGGATGTGATGTGACAGCTCATGCGGCGGGTTGTAGGTCATGTGACAGAAAGATAGAGGAAGATGAGGGATGCTGGAGAGAGGGAAGGGAAATGGAAGAGACATTTTGTACCTTGGAGGCAATTATTTTCTCATTCACAATATCATCATGTAACATTCAAATGGATTTCATCCCTAGAATAAATACAAATCTCAAACCCCTCCTATCCACCTCTTAACCAGATCTAAAATATATACAGCAGAAGGTAAATGTGAAAGTTCAAAGCCAAAGGTACAAGGTATCAAAATCCATAACAAAAGCACCGAATCATCCCGTTCCATCTCGACGAGAAGAGCTTATATAAGACGCCAATTTTTCTTTTCCGTATCCATTCCATTCCAGAAACGCCATCGCTAAATCCCAGGCTTCGTGGTACGCCCAGACACCCGAAGAACAAAATACATAGAGCATCAAGGAGTGAATGACGAGTCCTTAGTCGTAGGTCGACTAGGCTGAAGTTCCGTCATGCTGTCTCCGTCCGCGAAAAAGCTTTTGCTAGGCGAAGGGCGCGGTTTGCGGATCGTCGCACCACGGTGTTCGACGTCTTGTTCGCTACGTTTGCTGCGGCGGAAGCTGGGGATGCGGATATTGCTGTCTGCAAAAGGATGGCCGGCTTTGATGTTTGCCCAGAGTTCTTTGCAGGCGGAGAGACTGGTTGTCGCGTAGATGGTTGCGTTCCAGAAGCCTTGGAGGGGGAGGACGAGGGCGGAGGTGTAGGCGAGACCGAGGGAGATTTCGCTGGGGTTCACGACCGAGTAGACGCGGTTTGCGGATGAGGGGATCCAGGTTACCATCATGGCGAGGAAGAAGAGGAGGGAGACTTTGGTGTAGGACCAGATGGCGGTGTTGGCTTCGACTGCGGTGTATCTGCGTGGGGGTTGACGGTCGATGGTTGGTCTTGGTAGTGGGAGTGCGGTAGGGGAGGCCATACTTTTACTGTCTGACTTTTCGGGGTATTCGTTTCGAGGTGACTGTTGAGCTTGGGCGCCTGTTATGTCGACGGTAAATGTGTTTACGGTAGAGGGTTGAGGTTGTTGTGGATAACAGATCTCCTGCGAGTTTTGAGACGAGTTGAATTTGGATTTGACTGGCGTGATGTCCTCGTAGTTGACAGAGATGTCAGTGGTTCGTTGTATTCCGTCCATGAAGGCGAAAGCTTTTTGATCCGGTATGGCTGTTTCTCCATTGGAAGAACTGTTGTTGAAGTTTCGAAGTTGCTTCCTCTTGACCCAGATGTCCTTGCCGGCACGTAGATATATGCCAAGTGTCAAAACTATCGCGAACCTGTTGCATGTTAGAGAGGTAGGACCGAAGTTTTGTGGAACATACCACACAGGCCCATAGAACAAACAGATTCTGAAAACGTCCCACGAATTCGAGATCCAACACCAGAGAGTTGCGTTACCGTACATACGTCCCTTGCTCTCTGATTTGACTGCAAAGAAAACCAAGGCTGGGACTAATGGGATGCCGTAACAAAGAAGTATATAATACTTTTCCAGAGCTCGGAGTTGGCTCTTGTCGTACTTGCGGTAAAAAGTGAGCCAGACGTTGCAAGCCATCGCAAGAGTCCAGTAAGCATCAGCAGGCATGAACCTGTTATATAATGTTAGAAAAGAAACACAATTTTGAACGAAGATTTATATAGACGTACATCTGGATGAGAAAAGCTTGGAATTGACACATGGGGCCTCCATGAACGAAGTTTCTTGACATGAGGGTTGCAATGTTGGTGAAAATATTCCCAGCAGATGCATAGAAGACCAGCCGGTTGATGGGCTTATGGAATGATGGTGACGCGGCATATGTAATAACAATGAAAGCAATCCCGACGAGTGACAGTGAAGAGGCCACTCGCTCAATTGTTGCGAAATTGGCGAGATCCTGTGGTGAAAGGGTTGTGGCCTTCATATTTTCGACGTGTGATTCGGAAAGATCGATGAGTCGAAAGTTATGAGGTGGGATATATACGAGGGAAAACAATTCTGAGGTAGTTGATTTTGAACAAAGGGCAATTAAAGCTGATTCCACATCCGAAGCGGTATCGAACCCAAACAAAGACCGTCAACGATCCAGAGCGCCCAAGAGTTGGAACGAAGGTCTAGATCGAAATGGCGGTAAAATTGGTGGAGTGAAGAAAGTGAGCGTGATGCCGCGAAGTCAACACCGAGCTAAAGGTGAGGTATAAGTGGGTCGAATAGCCAAAAGAGGGATCGTATGAATACAGTTGTTCGATCCTAATGGGGGCGGGAGTTGCTGACTGAGCGAACCTCAAACGTCCAGTTCTTTGTACTTTGACGGAGCACCAGGCGCAAGAAGAACTCCTTGGGAGTGGTTTCCAAATGTGGAGCGCGGAGGTGAGTTCAAGTATTCGGCAGCGGCAGCCACTTCTTCAACATCCACGACCCAAAAGCGCCATCCAACAACAACCCCCAACCTCAACTTTGGCCGATGAACGACTAGGATGAACGACTGTGATGACCGAGATGTCTGAGAGCCGAACGGGGGAGGATGGGCTGAAAAAGGAAACCCGTTTTAGGATCCGCCGTCGCGTGTTTGCCTTCTACGCGCAGCTGTCCCGCGCACTGGATTCTTCTTCTGGCTATCTTCAGGATTATAGAAGGTCGCAAATGGCTTTGTTGATGGTCAGAGAAGATACTAGGCTATCTGCATGCCAGTGTAACCAGTTTCGCTGTTCTGGTCGACAATTGGAGCGCCTGCACACAAAACACCAATCTCAGGGATGTCGTCTACCTCAGATAGAATGAGGCGGAAAAGTCGATGTTGGATGTACAAAAGCGTCTAGTCTGGCTTGCGTGCGAGAACAAAACAAGGTGGGATTGCTGACAGATGTCGCCAGGTAATGGAGGCCAGGTATGCTTCCTCAATGGAGCTGCTGCAGTAAGATACCTAGTTGCGGCAGATGGGAGGATAGAAGTCTCCAACAGCGGGAGAAGACGATGAAGAAGACGTAGGAGTAGGGAGCAGGAGAGAGGGCGAGAACAAATCAAGAGGCCATCGCCGCAGATACATACCAGACAAGCAACTCTTGGAGCTGGCGAAGACATTCAACCACGGCTCGCGGCAGGCCAGGTCAGGAGGGACAAGGTTAGGTTTGGCACACGAGGTCCATGCCATGCCGGTACCGTAAGAGCAGAGGACAAGCATGACCGCGCGGGGTCAGCCAAGAGGGGGGCCATAAGTCAGAGGCAGGCTCCGGAGAGGTCGATTCGGCTTTTGGGTGATGAGTGCCATGCTCCAATCTCCAGGTCTGTGAGGAGCGAGATGCAAGACGGCAGAGTGTGGCGTTCGCAGCCATGTATAGGATGCTTGTCGCTTACATTACTGATATGCAGAAACACATGTGCTGAGTAGTAGGCGAGTACGTTGTAAGTGAGCACTTTGAATAGGGCTGCGGGCGAGTTTGCTAATACTGTTAGCAGGAATAGGGTTGCAGACCGGAGGCAGGAGAGTGGCAGAGCTTAAGTCTGATGCTCCTTTGGATTCAATATGCTACCCTGCCGGTTGGGGGTGATTCTGTGAAACACAACCTCGGGTGACTCCCGAATATGTTCAGTACATTTCTTCAGCCAGTGAGCATGGCGGTCTACGGTGTTTCCTCTTTGAAGCTCATTTTCCTCCCCATGGGTTGCACTTTAACAGAGCTTGGAACCGAGCATTCTTCAACGGCGCAGTATCTTTGTTCTCCTATTCAAGAAGTCTTATACAAACGATGCTGGTATTCAATGCCACGCGGAGGCAGGGTTAAACAAGCCCGGCACAGACGAAAACTGTCATCCGAGCAATATCACACAGAGGCGGCATTGATCGTTCGATCAATATGTCAAGAACCATCAAGATGAGCCACTGGCGTCAGTTCGGCGTCGTTCGTGCGCGATATCTGAAGATTGAGGCACTTTTGAGGGATCGCTTGGACCAGAAGACGGGCAAAGTGCGAGCAAGATTCGAGACATGTAAATGCTCAAAGATAACGATCTGGTGGAAGCTTTGGAAGGTGTACACAGCCGACCGAAGCAGTGGCTCCAGCCGGCTGGTTGACAAGCGGCCGGGTACGGATTGGTATTTTTGAGAATCAAGCTCGCTCGTTGGTTGGATATGTTGGTGCGTACCGAAATTTTCTGGCAGATGCTCCTCCAAGGTCAGCAGTCTTTTTTTGCTTCTTGCGGCTGGCGGGCGCTGATAAAGCTCTGCCTCCACCATGCTATTCAAAGCACAGTAATTCTCACCATACCGACGGGATGTACGACGCGAGGTTGCAATCACAATCACCAACGGGCGGGGAGAACAATTCCAGATGGTTGAGTTGAGTTATTGCTGGTACCGAAGGACAATTGGTTTGTTGGATTTGGAGGTCGAGGAAGAACAGTGCAATTCGCACGGGCATGATTTTCACGCCTAACTCAATTGAGTCCGGCGCCCAAGTTCCCCAGATCCAACAAGAACACCCTGCCAGAAATACTTCTCCACCTCCCCTCCGAGCAACCTGTCGCGGCACACCCTCAGAAATGCAGTTGGCCTTGGGTCACACCGCTTGTATCTTTGTGGAAATGCATTTGTATGAGGATATCTGGTCGACCATGCTGTTAGCGCCGGGTATTGCCCGCTCAACCATTCACGAAGCAACCAACTGAAAAGAAACCCCAAATCTTCAACTTTTGGTAGAGATGCACTGTAACGTCGAAAGGTCTGGTTGTCGATATCCCCGGACGGAGAGAACGTCTGAATGAAGGTCAAGCATTCTAGGCACGTTCCGGCCACTTCGGTGTTGTTTCAATGTTTGTTTCGGTACTCAGCAGTCCAATCACAACCTGGAGTATTCGAACAATTATTCAATTCACCTCGTGGCCACCGTAATTTACATAGAAAGCCAAACATTCTCCGATCTGTTCATCACGAAAAACATCGTTGATGATGCAAAGTTGCTACTTCCAGTCTCGACATGCCCCTACGTGCGAATGGTCGGAGACCGATTCAAATTCGATTCCTACCAAATATCTCCGCAGCCTGGGAATTCTCAGGATCTGGCCTCCCAGGTACCTGCGTCGCAAGCGAAGAATCTTCAATTACAAGACGTTGCACAGCAGCAAAACTCTTGCGATCCAATTGAGAGGGTATTTTTCAGCCTTCTCATACACGGCGACAAAGGGCTTCTTTACTTCTTCGCCGCAACCTGGAGTTGATCATTCGAATTCATCTCTTTAGGAAACTACTCCAGATCTTCGACAAACCGGACCATCATATTCCATTTACTTCAAGCAGTGATGCCCCTGCATGAGAAAAGTAGTGTCACCTACCCAAGAAGTCGAAATCTCCTTGGGCTGCAGATTCAAGGTTGAGCGGACATAGATCCAGGAACAGGATACTGTTCCCCAGGATGAAGCAGTATTCAAGCATCATGCCCAGTATCTTCGTCTAAATTGATCTAGGATTCCATTGCTTGGATCGGAGTTCCTATTGACTTGCCTCCGAGGGGATTTTCCGCTCCAAATTGAAAGCTGACATGGTGCGTAGTACAAGTGTAACACCTACTGTACTTAGGTATTCTGGTCCAGTATCTTATCTTCGTACATCTGCAGTCATCGTATGGCTTACGGAGCTGATTCATGTTCTAATTCTACATCAGCCATGCGCAAAGATACTTCATGAAATGGGTTCCGGTAAGCTAAGGCAAGAAGCTGGAATGGTGTGGTTCTAATTGAAGTGAAACGTCTTGGTGATAGTGGCTTCGAGATACTCTTGGGACTGAGAGATACTCGTGGATATCTAGGCTCGTTCGAGACTTTCAATCACCACCACGGCTACCAGGTACCAAGAAAACCACTGCGAAGTCGGCTACGTTGCCAATAACATCGAGCCGTGTCTCGGTTACAGCTTTCCACAGGGTAGTATCACGACCCGAAGCACGAAAAACCCTGATTGTAATAAGCTTCAAAAGACGTGGGCGAATCCAAATATACAATTCTTTGGCATTTTACTTGCTTTAATTCCCAGCATCCATCTCTAAATCCATCAAAAGTTGAAACGAGAACTCCCCGCCACGCATTTCTCGAAAAAATTCCTCATCTTACGAGCTGCCTACGGTCGTATGAGGTGCAAGCATTATTACGATGCTGGTCCATGACTGACAGGTGACTTGGATGCGCCGCAACCTCCGACTGGACAGCACTGACAGGCAACTCAGTGCTCTGAGGGGATCGCTAATTTATTGCTGTTGGAGATTCTGGGGAAGTGGATATGTAATTTCTTCTTGCGGGGTGGCCCGCTCCAACGCAGATCTATCTGTTCGATCAATTCATGCTCGTCCATGTCAATATGGACACAGCTTCACAGCGACGACAATATTGAGATTTAGAGCGCGCATTATGAAGGATTGAAGGGAGTAAAAAGCAAGCAAAAGTCGCTACCGACCTGTCTGACAGATTCGTCCTTGTGGCACGTCGGTACGGGTTGCTTTCCAACGTCTCGCAAAAGTGAAAGCAAACTAGCACCGTTTGTCGTTCACTGTGCAAAATTCCCCACGTCAAAATGACCAGGCGATGAGCGCTATCATTGGTTAGACATTTTGACAATGCCAACAAATGCTATTGTGTCCAGACCGGCCACCGACCAGTCGGCTCAGAGCCCAAGCTCGTCAACCAAATGTAGCACAATCGGTCGCTTCTGCCAGCAATCACAATGCTCGAACCTCCTCATGCGGTAACTTCAACTGCATGTTTCAACTTCGAAGATCAACCCCACGAGTCTCTTCGGTCACTCGACAAACAATCGTTGAAACCATTACGTCGAGCTTGGATCATGATACAGTCGTAGTTTGGCTCATCTTTCCTTCTCCAGGTCCCGACGAGTGTTTTCTGCATTAGCTCTGTTCTTATCAAGGACAAATCGATCCCAAATGGAAATCCGAATCGGTTGGCGCAAACATTTGCATAAGAAGACGTTTGTGGGATGGATTACGACGTGCGTACGAGACGACGCCCTACCTCACCTTTCAAGCACGAATCCAGCAAACGGTGTAACTTTACACTGAAAAAGCTTTCTCTTCTGCTTCTCGGCATACTTATTTAGGAAGATCGCTGGACACGACTTACATAACATGTCACAACCGTCTGCATTTTCGCGCATTTCCAACATCAATTGACGCAATGATACCGTCTATCAATTGACCCATCAGCTCGGGTCTCCTTTTCGCCACGGGTTACACATGTCGGCACTTGGCGGTCCACACACACCTATTCAGTTGGAACAATTGTATTTGAACGAGCGCGATTGGGATTGTACACACGAGTTGCTACTTTCAGAACCTCCTTTCTGGGTTGACTGAGGCTAGGTACAGTAGAAGGTGCTCGGGCCGTGCCTCTGCGTGTTCTTGCCACGAAGCTGCGTCGTCACCGCCGTTGGGGAGGTCGAAGACACGGGTCACTGAGGCGAGGCATCTGGGCCGAGTTGCGCGTTGATGGCACTTTGGCATAAGGGGGGTTGGTCGCGTTCGAAGGGCATGTGGCAATGATTTTGCTTTGTCTCTTCGCAAGACTCTCGCTGTTGAAGAAACTTGACGTCCTCCAACTGCTTTCTTTTTCCTTGGTCGCGCATATCTTTAGCACGTTGGAGTGCCGTGCAAGTGCAAGCAGAGAACACGTATACTTCTTCTCAGTGTTGAAGTATCTTGTTTTCATACGGTTTTCCCTATGGGTTCAAAGTGCTGGCAATCTGCCTTTTCACTTCTTCCTACGTCTGAGTTTGCGTGTTACCAGAATCATTGTTGACTTGTTATTCAGTCATCTCAGGAGACGCATCGTGAAAGTAGTCAACTTTCTTTGGCTGGCTGAGCATTCGACTGGCAACAAAAATGCGAACTTCCCTTTCTCTGATGGCCCTTCGGACGCGAGACAGGCTTTACTAGCACCAAGATGTCTGACGCCAAGATCTGGTAGCATTCTATAGATCGTATTAATACAGACTCTATATGATGGATTTGGTCTATGGAACTCCAAGACGTTGGATGAAGAATTTATAACTGCTTTACAACAGCTCAATGAGTTTCTGATCCTCACGATCTAGATTTAGACAATGTCCATCTTAAGTTCGTTAATCTATTCCTGAGCTATGAGGCCAGCAACTGACTGGAAGCACCTAGTGCGCAGATTAAATGGAATGTGTTTCTTTCCGGCCCCACGAATGCTACTGAGGGTCCCAAAGAAATTTCCATATGATCTCGCGATATTTGTCGTCGGTTTGCTGCGCCCTGATTGAATGCATAAAATGGACATATAGCGTAGGTTGCCTAAGAGTGCTATAGTTCGATACGTTGGTAGGAATGCGCATCCTTTTTTTTTAATATCCTAAGCCCTGTCTTCAAGCTAGCGAACGCGGATCCAGCAGCTATAGAACGAGCCATTCTCGTCTCCATCTACGCGCGTCAGAAGGCCATTTACTGTGTTGTCAATTATCCCCTCGGCGATCACAACTCACCCACTATCTAAAAAAGATTCCATAAACAATCTGTTCCTCAATTCAGCTTATGCAAGTAATTGGATTATGGCGGCTCAACGGCGAATGGCGACGGGAGATGTGGCAATAGAGTCGCTCGTAGCCTCCCTTCATAACTGGTACTTGGGGATCTCCAACTACTTTCATGAATAACTGAGTATTGATGCGTAAATTTATGAAATTGTTCTTTGATTTGAGCGTAAAGATCGTGGCATAACTATCATCACTACTGGGTATCATATCCTCATCCCATATTAACCCATCCTATCATATCCCCCTTCTATATCCCATCTACTTGCCACCACCAGCCTTCTTAACCCCATTCGCAACATCGGAAGCACCTCCCTCAATACCACCAGTAACGTATTTCACTCCATCGCCCAAAGGCTTGCCCGTCTCGCCCGTAACACCGTTGACTGTATCACCGACTCCACGACCGGCGGCTCCGACGACGGAGCCTGCTGTGTTTACGACGCCGCTGAGTCCGTTGCTGTTGGATGGGTTGTTAGTATAAATTACGAGAGGTGGATGTATGGAGAGGATAGTAGAGGGATTGAGGGGTGATGATAGAGGGGTAAATGAAGCTTGACATACCCAACTGTAGAAGTAACCCAACCGACTCCCGACGACACATTATCCTTTGCGGTGTTGTTGTTATTCATGATGTCTAATTTCTTTCTGTATGCGTATAGTTTCTTGTGATAAACTTGTGATGTTTCGAAGTTGGGTATGTGGTCGTCAGGTATATAAGGTTCGCTTGCAGACTGACGTCACTAGTCCCGCAGGGAACATGCCAACTTCATATACTTTGACATTTTGACGTGAAAATTCTCCGATTTGGGGGATGCGATGGAATATGCGGGATGAGGGAGTGGAAAGGTTGTTTGTGTTGTTTGGGGAGGAAAGTGGTGATGTGTGGTTGTTGAAGAGGGGGTGGTGAAGGGTCAACGCTAGATGTTTGGTTGTCTCGCAACAACAGTTGGACGACATCTCAAGCTGTGTAGGTCTTGATTGAATAAATTTCTTACATCAATTGATGGATTCTCCTGTAATAGAATATCACTTGGGCAACAAACACACTAACGATTATTTGCACCGATGGTATACGAGCCAGGTTTGTGCAATGGGTATACATACATGTAATTCTTTTGCCTGTTTCAGTACTCGATCTGAGCCACTGAAATTGCACATTAATGGACATTCTTCGTGAACAGAGCTAAAGGTTCAGATACTAGTGTACTACTGATAGTGAGTAGGTCGTTTTGAAATATGCCATATTGGGAGCAGACTTTTAGCGGCGGGTTGCTTTAGAGGGGGACAGGGAATGGGAAGATATTTGAGGGAACTTTTAGGGAGGAAGTCATTCAGAAGGTGTACTCAGAAGAGTGTGTCGTGGATTAAATTTGAACTTAAACTATGTAGGAGTGAAATGACTGTTTTCGCCCACAAGAAAATAAAATAGAAGAGTGTTAGTGAAAAGAGCATATGATTGCAAGATTATCTCTAATTAATCGAAGTTCACGTGTACTAATAAAAGTTTGACACCTGTCAGGAAGTATCCCTGCTGCGTCGAGTGGCAAATGACTGACAACCGGGAGGGATGCGTGGACATACCTGAGTTGAACAGGTTCGCACTGGGATTGATAGGGATCAAGACGTGGTTTCTAGGTGATGTGATTGATGGGATGGCTTGTTGTGGTATAATTGTAATAATGCTTTGGATAGATTTTGAACTTTGGAAGAAGATATAGCGTTTTAGGAGTTGATGTTTCTCGTAGCAAAATTATCTCTTGTTGCCGACTCTGGTGCATTCAATTTACCCTTCGCCTACATTTCTTCTATCTGACCGAGCTTTAATTGTAAAAGAAGAAGTTCCTACTCCATAGATAGAATTCTGCATTGACTCACCGTTATCAAAGTGTACTATCAAAGGAATGAGGTTTCTTTCTGTGTTTTTCTTTTGACAAAACTCACTGGAATTACGTGGGTAATAAGCATTTAGCTATTGAATGTTTCTTTTCATGCTTTCGTAGATAGAAGGCGGGATAGTTGATGAATATATTGTGGTGATAGATGTGATGTCGTGCAAATGGCGTGTCACACAGTCGATAAAAACCCCATAGAGAGGGACTAGGAAGTTGATTTTTCTCGCTAGTGAAGGATTCGAGTGCTGAACTCGGATCAAAGTCTATGGGTGGAAGGATTGAGTCATAAGAACATGGGAGATAGAATCAGAGGTCCGGGGTAGGAATAATCAGCTTTCCAGTGTTCTTACTGATTTCTCAATAAAATATGAGAATATGGGGTGGACGATCAGGAATATTGCGATAGACAAGTAATATTACATAATGCCCAAGACAGTTCTGGCAAAGAATATTGAGCTTTGTATCAGAACTTACTAGAAGAGGTAGAGGTCTTGACTAAACCACCGTAGTGTGCAAGCATATCAACACATTTGATGAGGGAAATTCTGAGAGGCCCATGAGCGCCAAACAATCCAACCTTGTACTCAACCTGACAGAAAAGAAAACCAGATTTTTCAAGTCCATGAAACAGTGTATCACATTACCCGTTGGATGTATCAGAGGGTTGTTAGGTATTGAAGTATTCCACTCAAGAAATTGCAGATGTCAGGGGGACAAATAACCCATAGAGTTTGCTCCCGAGTATCTTCCAGTTACTTCGCGCGGTCGAGTTCTATGGTAAGTAATATTATTGGCCACTTAAAGATAGCTGGTAAAGATGGTGAAGCTCTTGGGAACCCTTAGGATTCAATCTAGGTGCGTGGGATGTCCAGATGTTTTCAGAGGACCCATTCTACCTAACTTGTATGGGCACAACGATGTTGGCGACATGAACACTTCGTCACAAAATACGGAGTCGATAATTTTGTCTAAAAAGGGTCAAAGCCGTTCTACTGAACGGTCAACTAATTGATCTTGGTCTCGTTCCCTCAACACCTCAACTTGTCGCACCCTGGTTTCCGAAGTTTCCATGTTAATTTCTCAAACAAATCGTCGATTTGACAAGAGCCGATGTTATGCGGTAGCTTTAGGTTCCGAAAATGAGCTTAAGAAGGCTTCCAGAATTATTGACCTCAATACACTTCCTCGAGAAGTAAAGTATAGTACACTAACTTTCCCCTGGGCATGCTTGAAATTAACGTGCTGGTGCCTGGTGTCTGAATTCATGGCACGCCAAGGCCATGAACCAATCAAAAGTTGGATTCAGATCGCGATCTGACAGTAGACTGTTATCGTTTTTGAGATCCAGAATCCATGTGCTTTTATTAAAAAGGGGGAGATGGTGCGATTGTGGGCGCCGTCGAAAAAGTGGTCTGGCTAAGCGAGAATAAGCGAGACGCTTATTGCAAATCGAAAGTAAACAAACACACGATCTGGTAACCTAACCTCAATTGAACTTTTTGAGAATTGAAAGTCTTTGTCGAATACCATGGTTCTTTTTGAAGGTTGACGGACAAAATTAGAAAGTGACTGCCTGACTATCAGCTTTTGATTGGTAACTTCTTTGGCGATTTTTAGTTGACCAGTTGGAAGTATTCCTACGATTGACACCACTTATGAAACCAAAAAAGGGACACGACATACTTGCCCTTAGTAGGATACTCTTGAAAAAAAGTACAGTACGCACTGTCGAGTTTCTGTGGACTGGAGATCTCGGAAGCGTGGCATTATAGGTCCTGATAATGATATTGATTTGTTCCATCATCTCAACACGTATGAAGATAAGGAGAAACAAACAATCTATTAGATTAAATCTTTTATTCTCGTCCTCTCAAGACATGTCATTATGAAGCTAAGTGGTCTAGCTTTTTTCAAGGTGTCAGATTCGTCCAAAAAGAAGGGACACTAAAGCTGGTGAGGGGTAACAGCAATGCTAAAACGGACTTGGATGCTTAGAACCTCAAGGGGAAAGCTCTAGTGATATCAGGCGTTGTTCTCCTTGGAATTGAGCTAAATTGGCACTCAAGCAGTCTGTTCTCTTGGCTTGCATCTAACAGGATGTTGAAGTGGCGAGATCGGTGATGGGATGCCCCCTTTGATAATAACTTTCGAGTTCTAGAACAGTGTTTTTAAGCCAAGCGATCGTTATCTAGGCAAAGAAAACATTTGGGTATATTATTTTATACCACCCTTGTTCCATGTCGGTTCTATGAAGTCCAGATTTTGGCCACGATGTAGAATGCCATCTTTTATTCCGGTCTTGAAGCTACCAAAGTTGAAGAGAGCAGTAGACCAATTCTTGAGAGGGGTATCTTTCTTGGAAACATCATTCCGAATTTATTCACAATTATTAGTGCGGCTTGAGGGCACCATCCTGGCTGCCCATTCAAAAATAAATACCTGCCTCTTTTCCCATCAGACTCGGTCAGAAATCAGTGTTGGCAAAAGCACCACTGATTCATGCGGTTTGGCCTTCGTTCACTTTCTTACGCTTCACTTTTAAATTCTCTTGATTCAATATCCGACGTCATTCCATGCAGCAACGGCACGATACAGCCGTGCTTCAAAGGTGATCGCTACGAAGATCAAGTAACTGGCTCCCAGTTTGCTCTTTCCCCAGCCAAACAAAGGTACGAAGATACTGTACAACATCATAAATGTGCTTTTTGATCTTGAACTGGCCTGCTAATTATGTAGAATAGAGATAACTTACCATCTTGATCATGGTTGTGCTAAAATCGACGGCTGTCTACGTCCTTTTGGCTTCACTTTCCGTGACACCTGTATTCTCCTTTCCATCCGGCCAAGATGGATCAGACATTTCGGTAGACGGGACTAATGATGTCGAAAACTTCGATATGGAACCAAGCTCCAGCATCACAGATGATGCATTATCGGACACTACATCGTCAAGTTCCAGCTCGACTTCAGGCTCGAGCCTCTTCTATGTATGGTCGACCTCCTCAAGTTCGAGTTCGTCGACGTCGGTGACATCGACATCGACATCAACAATTGAGAGTTCGACGGCATCCACGAGCTCCAGTTCCAGCACTTTGTCTAGTCCAAGCTCCATCTCTTCCCTCGTGTCCAGTCTTACATCGTTTGAGACCTCTTCGTCTGCTTTCTCCTCGCAAACCTCCTCTATTGATGCAGCAAAATTTGAGGCTGAAAGCTTGCAATTCTCTGTCTCAGACGATTACTCGTCCACAGAAATCCTAACGTCCGCTGCCTCATCCGTTGTCTCGTTGATGGAAGCCTCGACGTCATCTGCCTCCAGCGATACCTCGACAACAGAAGCTTCAACGGTTTCTTTCACTTCCTCGTATGATACTTTGTCGAGAGGGTCATTGGCTTCTTCCGCCTCCGTCGATTCATCGTTGACGGAAGCGACGACTTCATCTTCAGCGGAAGTCACATCTTCTTCGACGGAACCACAAACTACCGAAGAAGAAAGTTCCATGTTCACTTTTGCCACTTCCACTTTGGCATCTTCTGTTTCGACGGCTTCGACCATGGTCCCGACGCCTTCGTCTTCGCTCAGCCTAACATCATTGGCTGCCACCAGCACAACTGTCCCTAGTCATTCTGGGACATCTTCTTTGGAAACTTCCTCTCTTGAGCAGGGCTCAGAAGAGGAGGACTTGAAACAGGAGAACGCAGAAGAAGGTTCCTCTGACTCTTTAGACATCACCACCCCCTGCCTTCCCTCAACGGATCTTCCCATTACCTGGAAGACACGTCGATCGACAGTGTTCATGAACCAGAGACGGCATCATCGTCCTCTCCTTCCGTTTCGGAGTTTCCGTCATCTGTACATGACAATTCAACTAAACAAAATGGCAAGCAGAGTGTAATTGATATTGACAAGTTGAAGTTGTTCTACTCAAGTAGTTTTGGGATTCCCAAAGAAGCTGGAAACCTGATTGCAGCTTTGGACCCAACAAGTCTTAGTACCAAAGGGTCAAATAATCTGTGAGCAAAGCATCCCAACAGTCTCAAACTCGTTACTAACCTGAACATCGTTAGGTCAATGTTAGATGATGCAGCTTTGCTCTCGTTACCGGGGCTGCGTGCCAACTCGCAGAACCTGAGTTCGGACTACTATAACTATAAGCTTCGTCGCCGTGAGGTTCGTATATCAGATTTTTATGAAACGGAGATGAGAAAATTTCCGGTACTACCAGAAATTGATGCATTTGGCAAGGTTCTAGGAGCTCAGAACCTTAATTGCAAGTTTGGATGTACAAACATTCCTTCACCTGAAGGTATTGCGCAACATGTACAAGAAGCGTACCCTCTCTTGAGCGATGAAGAGCGGGAGGAGCAAATCAGATGGCGATGGTTTGCTATGATTGACGTTCAAATCCTCGCTAATGATTTCAAAAAGACTTACGTGGGTGCTTCTTTCTCTTCCCTAGCTTAACCCTTTTGCAAATCTCATTCGGAGTCCACGGAATCTTTACTGATACATTTTCAACGCTACAGGACAGTTACATCCGTCTGCAGACCAATCTCGGGCAGAAAGCTTTTGACCTCCTCCGCCTTATGATTCCCAGAGAAAATTTCGATGCTCAAAAGGCATGCAATATGAAAGTTAAGATCATTACGTCTGCCGTTTCATTTTATTATCAGTTACTGGGCGCGCTTGCGTTCAAAGCGGGAGATGAAGCTGCGGGCCCTGTGGGCGTTGGAATTGCTTTTCAGAGCTTTATAGTTCAACAAACCCTGGAGCATTTATTGAAAAACAATAAGGATTTCAATGAGTACTTCACTAAGGCAATAAGCACCAACAGCACAGAGTTCGTAGCATATATGCCCTTGTCGGAGAATAAGGTCTGCGCTGCCCTCGGCCATCCTGGTGCTCCTGGTAATGGAGCATCCGGTCACGATGAATATGTTCTTCAACTCTCTATGGTGAATGAGTGGATTCAGAAAACTTTCCAGATGCTAAGAGCTATTGAAGAGGGGGCTGCAACGATTGTGTTCAATAAGTCAGACAGGGACGAGTCTATCATCCTGAAGAGATTGAGAGATGTGGATGACAATAAGCCGCGGAATATATCGGACCCAGAAAGAGATGAGCCGTAAGCAACCAGTTTTCGTATGCAACAACATTATTCTGACATTACTTTGCAGAATTATAACCAAGCAATGGGTAGAATATCTCGCAGGAACTCTCCAAACGAAGTTACATCGCTGCTGGGTCATGTACGTGGATATGAAAGGCGACATGAATAAGAGGAACGAGCTCTGCGCAGACAAATCTCCAAGAGCAGGCTCTCGACTTTGTCTGGAAGAAGGAACCGGGGTATTGCAGGGTCAATGCCTCACGCTCCAAAGGGAGGGAAGTCATCTGGTTCCCATCGGCTCGTCAGAGGCTTTCCGCAAACTCGGCCTTTCGGCCAAGAAGATCATTGCAAACTCATGGCGTCAGTACAGCGGTAAAGATGTGCCTGTACCGTTGCTCGTAAATAATGACTCTGAGCCAGATACTAACCATACCATGCTTGAACTTGAGCAGATTGCGTCGTTCCCGGTCTGTAACTCTGATCTTCTCCGACTGACAGACTTCAGCGGCAAAGAGGATGGCAGTAATAATCCTAAAAGAGATCAACAGTTCCCAATCGGATGTGGAGGATTTTTGTCGCAAGAAACAGCCGCGGTTTATAGAGAAATGGGAATTGGCCTGGGTTCTATCAGTAGAAGAAGAGGTGACATGGAAGATATTCTTGAGATTGTGATGTACGAAGTAAGTTTTGATGGGCCATGTTCTCAAGCGCTCGTGCTGATTAAAATGAAGCAACTCTGGAACCTAAGCCCAATCAGAAACTACATCGAATGGTGCGGAGTCGGCGGCTCACACCCTATGATAGATTCTGCACCGCCGATCATTCCTAAACGAAAGTCACACTATTACAGAGACCCCGACTCTCGTTGTGATGCCATTCGAGAGAAAGTGAGAGGAATGACAGAACACGAAGCGAATGTTTGGTTCTGTAGTGCGACTGATCCATTGGCTAGACAGATTATCAGTGGAGAAAAAGAATACAGTGGATGGCATCCTATTTGGAAGAAGGATCGATATCAAAGCAGATGCGAGAGACATATGAAGGGGAAATAAGGTTGACTTGGTTACAAGGAGTTCTGGAGTCCTGTTTTCCTAGGACGAGGAATTGAGTGTTTGTAATCAGTCATACCCATATTTCGCGTCATGTTTTCGTATTAGCGTCGATTGTATTTACAGTATCACACTTATTAGTCATAGTGTTAACATCTGTACATCAGCTAGATAGACTGAAAGTATTCTGAATTGTGTATAATTATAAAGCACACTGTTATACACATGATTGTCGACTCATCTGCTCATCGTGCCAACCATTTCAAAAATGCAACTGACTCAAGTTGAAACTCAACTGAGCATTAACATGGTAGTTGTTGAATTAGAGAAGCTGAGCTGTCGCATGTATTTGAACAGAATATTATTGCAAAAATAAACAGCTTATACTGGCCCCCTCAAGTACATCATTTCTCGCTTGGAGTTAATAGAGGTATATGTAATCGACCGTACATAGTTTTTACGCATATGAGTAACAAGCATCAAGATTTGAACAATTTTTGTCTCGAATTAAAAGACTTGTACCAGGAAGAACCTGAGAAAAAAAGATTCGGTTGACCAACGGAGATAAAACACGACCACTTGCCAAAGGGAACTCCGCACAATTAACCGTGGCTAAAATCCTGAGCGTTTCATTCACCGATTGAGATTCTCAGCAGTTTCACTATACGAGCCAGTGTACACACGAGTTAATCAAACTATTTAAACAGCTCTTGAGTTACTCAATTTTAAGTCGAGTTAAATTCGAGTTATACAAGAGTTGAATAGTAAACCAATCTATTCCCAAATTACTTACGTAGTTTCGGTGAATGCAGAGGAGGCGGGTCAGCTGATAAAAACATCAAACGGCGAATCAGGAGTCGCTAGCCGCGATTATGATAGACTTTCCTATTAACCATATCTCAGGTGCGTGGTTGCAGCCGACCGTTCTTTAAATAAGGCACGAGTTACGCAAGTATAAATTAAGTTGATAATTAGAAATGATGATAAGTCTACTAAGGCAATTAAGTAGTGTACATTATACTTCACTTAATCCAACTCATGTAGCACACTATACGAAACAGTATACTGTGAGATTGAGAGAACAAAAGAAGAAACGCCGTTGACACGAGAATACGGTCCTAGTCATTATCAGTATAGTTGGCAAGCGGCAAAACCCGTGGTAAATTAACTATTCCCAAATTAACAAGTAATTAGTCTAGGTCGCTAAGGCACACTTAACATAACTCCATTTCCCAACCCCTCACTAAACCAAGACAACTTCATCGAAACTCCATTTCCTCCCCGGCCACTCCATACAACTCTCGGGTTTCAAACTTCTTACACACTCAATTCTAATAAGATTCACACTTACGCAACACAATGACCACGATTTTCAAGGGAAAAGCAAACTTCTCACACACTCAATTCTAAGCATTACACTGACGCAACAAAAAAACCACGATTTTCAAATTTCAACCCAAACCTCTATTTTTCTAATCGATATAAAATTCAAAAGCCTCAAGTCCTACAAATATCTACATCATCTTCAACCACCCCCCGCCCCCTTTAAAAACTCACCTAAACATCATCAACCATTCTCAACCCCAAAAATCCCCAATACAACACCTCCAACAAAAATCCCCTCCACCTCCCAATAACACATTTCCTCAAACCTCAAAATTACACGCCAAATCTCACGACATCATCCCCATCTATAACCATCATCTCCACCCACGCACACAAATTCACACACCCACCCCACACACCCTTCCCAAACACATCCCCGAGTCCCCAACCCAGATCCCCTAACAATAAATTCTCGCGCCCACGTCATTCCTCCTTAACCTACCTATCAAACAAAGATTTGTGCTTAGGATCTATACAAATAGTGTTGAAGAGTGGTGCGTATCTGACGGTTCTTTTGGGAGTTTGATGGATATACGGGAGAGAGCGGGTAGCAGCAATCAAAGCCTCGGAGGATAAGGTGTTCGTCCTCGCGAAAGTAGCGATGTCACGGATACCCATCCATAGAATCCCTTCTCCAACTCTCGAATCCCGAAGAGCTGCTTGGTCTTATCCATCATTTCCTCATATCCCTCCCGTCCTCCCGTCCTCCCGCCCTCCCTTCCTCTACAACCCAGAGACCCGTCTCTCTCCCGGGAAAAGGAGGTACAACAACATATCCAACTCTCAGATCGCTAGGACGACCTTCTAAATTCTAACACCAATGTGTTCAAGACATGTTAGGATTGTGTGTCGCTGCTTAGGTGAGTAGGCGAGATGGAAATCGTGCCTGATACAACTCGAAGTCGAGACATCTCTGAACGAACTCATAGGTTTTAATTATCAACTCTCATGGACAGCCCATATGCTCAGCCATTTAAAACACGCAAAGTCAGAACCCCCAATAACCCAGCATGGGATGCAAAAGAGGAAAAATAAAATATTAGTGAAGTCAATAGTCGAAAACTGTCACACAGATCAAGCAACAGAGGACGATAGATATTGTAAAAGGTGGTGGAATTCCATGTCAAAGTAATATCGTAGGTATTCTATTCTCGTGCTCATAGCCAACACAGCCGCATCTCACCATCTTATACGCTTCACACCCCTCGAGCACCCATCCTGCTCACAATCCATAAAAGTCATTGCATCATCAAATCTGGACCTCACCCCTCACCCCCATAGTACCATCCCACCACCACCGACCCCTCTTCATCATAAAATACAACAAAAAAGCACGTCATCCATCGCAGACCACAAACCATCGTCGAGAACGAATCTCCAGCATGAGAAAAAAGGCGAACGAACGAACGAGCGTAGTATCAAAGAAAAAGCAAAGCTAATTCCCCTCTCATCTCCCACTCCCATCCAAATTCAATTCCCATGCGTACTGTTCCTCCCGCGTAAATCTGCCGCTATTCAATGCAATTCCCCTCCCTTCCATAATGCCCATATGTTCAATTCAAGTCAATTCCCTCATTCATCTGTCATCAAAAACAAAACAAGGCGCAGAAAAAGACAGATGCAATACAATATACGCCCAGAAAGTTGAGAGATCATAAATCCGTTCGTCATCTTTTTCGTTACTGTAGAAAATTTCACCCGACGAATCTCATGTGACTGTTTCTTGGTATTTTTGGTTATAAACCTCAACTCGGTGTAAAAGGAAAAAAAACTTATTATTGAAAAATAGTAAATGCAACGAGGTATCGACCGCTTTCCAACAGTGGAAGATGAAAAATAAAAATGCATCAATGCTCATTTAAGAGATCAGCTACACTACTAGTAAGACACTTCCGAGCGTCGACTTTCTCTCGTCGGTTGATAGTAATCACGACTTGAGTAGGTTTCCGGCTCCCGCGTTCTTCTCGAACTAGATCCATAAATGCCAACAGGCGTTTTGCTGTAAGTGACGTTTTCTGGGCCGTAGTTTGGCGCATATTGAACTTCGCCATATATGGGCTTGGTGTTTCTACTCGAACTTCGGTAGCTTGTCTCTCTTACGGGACCGGCTGGACGTGCTTCACGAATAATTGGTGCTGATTCTGGCGCATAGCTAAAAGTCGCACTTCGGATAGGCATGCCTCGAACGGGTTGTGATTGACTACTACTTTGATTCCGAGCAGCTGCTGGTCGTTCTTCCCGGCTGCCTCGTCGTCCAGGAGGAGATGATTCGCGGCCTCGAGAATGATATTCATCATCGAGATTTCGCAAATCCTCGCGATGAGGACGACTTTCAACTCGCTGAGTTTTTCCTTCTGCATAAACGTAGCGATGTTGAGTCGCCGCCGAATATTCCTGAACCCTTGGACTTGAACGGGCGACCGGACTGTGCGATCGACGATGTGTTTGCTGTCGTGGCGACTCAGCCTCGGAATCAGAATCTGTAGCCACATGTGACTGCTTCAACCGGGTACCGCCACCTCTTTCACGACTTCTATCCGAGCGTTTATGTTCGCCATGAAATGTTGCTGCCCGTGGAAGATGTGGGACGGTATCTTGTCGAGGATAATCTTGCGTCTGAGAACGACTCGGCTTTTCCCTAGGAGCAGAACTGTTAGGGATGACGGGTGGTGCCGACTGGTAGCTCTGAAGAGATGGTTTCTTTGGAGCATCGTCGACTATATAAGGCGAGTTGGGTGATGATCTACGACTTCTGTCTTTACTCGATTTCTCTTTTCGACTTGATGTTTCTGCAGACTTTCGGGACTCTTTTCGAGCCGCTGAAGATCTTCGAGGCGATTCATCGTCACTGATGTACTCGTCCGCATGGGCATGTCGGACTGGATAGGTAGTCGAACCTGCAGCATAGGTTTCCGCCCTGTGGAGAGGTGGTGCTCTTTTCAACGGTTGTGGATGAAAGTCATCTACAGACGGAGCTGTTGGTGGAACTTCCCGTTTAACTTCCCGTTTGACCCGGCTTTTCGAAGCCAACATATACGCAGCAGCTTCCTCTTGGTGTGAAGCCCACTTAGGAGCCAATGGAGCTGCTTTTGGTGCATGAGGACGGAGTGGTTCTTCACGTATCTCGTCTCGATATCTGGTCTCCTTTCTGACCGAGGAGCGAGTCTCATGTCGTCGTGGCTCGTCTTCGGAGTCAGACTCCACAAGTACCCGGGAGTATTTGTCATCTGTGCCTCTCTTTCGCTCCCGATCTCTGGTCTTCTCCTTCTTGCCATAGCCGGATCTTTTCAGGTCCTTCTCGACTCGCAGTCTCTCCCGCTCATCTTCTTCTCTTCTTCTCGTTTTCTCATCTCTCACTGATGCGTGTTTTCGGTCGGTCGATTCGTAGCTGGCGGTCTTTCTTGGTCCATTTCGGTTCTCCTCGTAATGTGAAGGAACATCCTCGTATGATCTAGGAGGGGTATGCGAATACACTTTAGGTGCGGGTTGTGATGTTTTCGCGCGTGTAAAGGTAGGAGGTCTGAATTCGGCTGTTCTAATGTTAACGTCGGATCCTCGGTCGGTTCTGATCTGGTGCTCGAATGGATCCTGTTTATGAGGCATCCCACGACCCATCTCTCTCCTCAGTTCTTCCAGCTTTAAACGTTCATCATACTGGACTCTCTTCACATCGTCGCTCAATATCTCGTATGCCTGTTGGATCTTGTGGAACTCATCTACAGCCTTTGCCTTCAGAGCGGCGTCCTGCACCTTGTCTGGATGGCATTTGAGCACGAGCTTCCGATGTGCGCTCCGAATCTCTGCCAGCTTCGCATCTTTGAGAACACCAAGAGCCTTGTATGGATCGGGAGGTAAAGGAGTCGACATGATGTGTGAACGGACGGGAAGGTGGGAGGTCGTACTTGGATCATAAGCTGACGTCGTGGTATCGATCTGGAATGCTTCGGTGAAGGTCTGCGTCGGTGAAGCAGAGCACGATCTATTGCATGTTGTTGATGATGTAAATAGGGTCGCGAAGTCGGTCTCGAGGTACAGGTACAGGTACAAAGGGGTGTCGGTGAGCTGGGTTGAGATGGATGCGATGCGAGTGACCCGTGGTGTTTGTTGATGGTGTGCAAAGAGAAAAGGGTATTAAAAAGGATTCAAGGGTCGAAAGCAGAACAGAGATGTGGAAGGCGAAAGAAGCGTCGAGGATGGATGTTTGTGAATGGATGCATGCGAGAATGTATCGTAAAGGCCAGTCTGGGGTGGTGTGTGTATATGACAGTTCCTGGTTGTGGTATATCGCGCAAGAGGGTCATCAGGCGGGAACGGGAGGTGGAGGATGGATGGGGAAGCAGAACTGGGAGTCGAGCGATGCTGGCTGGCTGTGAGAGCGATGATGGATGTGGTTGGTGAAAGCCTGGCAAATGGATGGGGCCGGGGGCCTTCTGCACAGTCCCTGACGGTCTCGATTCGCGCGCCCAGGTATGTGCGTGCCTGATGACTGAGGCTTGAGTCAGTGTCCACGTGACTACGATCGAATCGGCGGCGGCGACGTTTGTTGGCGTTGCGAACGTGGCTGAGGTTCCTGGTTCCAGCTCTTACTCGCCTTTACTCAGCGCTCCCGCAGAGGCTTTCGTAATCTGTGTTCTCTCGAGTGGCAACTGTCCAGGTACACTGGTGGTATCACGGAGGACTGATGAATCGCATCCGACGAAGAGTGACAAATTCGCCTTCACATATCGCAAAGGGATGGCAAGATGAGTCTGTATGACGAGGAATGGTACGTCGCTTAGCATTCACGATGGTACGCAAGTACGGGTGCAAGTGCACGTCGTGGGGTGGTGCGAGCAGGAAAGGTGATGTTTGGGTCAGGCTCTGGCCGCAATCAATTGGCTACGGTCTTATTATGGTGGTCGTACTCGAGAACTCGTGGAGGCTCTTGATGACCAGACAACAAGACGAGGCGGTGAAAGCTGCTGCTTTCTCAGGTCGCAGAGTCCAGCCGGGGAACAATGATTCGCAAACCGGATCCTCATACAAATGCTTCACTGGTTCCAGTCCTGTGAGAGGCAGCCTCGAGGTCTGACGGAGGGGTTGAGAGGTTCAGAGGGATCGTGTGGTGGGCGTTGCTGCAACGTGGAGAGGAGCAGGTCGAGCGGAAGCGACCTTTCCACCAGGAACCGAAGATGCAGGGCGAGATAAGGTATGAAGCAGTTGGAGTACCAGATCTCGGTATATGATGTTATGTTGAGACAACGCCCGCCGTTCGTTAGAACAAAGGTAAGGAACGGCTTCTAGAGAAGTTGGAAGTTTACGACTGCAAGGGAGGTTATGCAGGTATTGGGCGCGCTGAGAAGATATCTCGTTGGAAAGGCTATGGCGCTTCAAGGCAGTCAATTGAACAGGTCCAGTCGCGCCCGACAACCATCGGAGCTGGGCGAGTCTGCCAACTGCATTATCCAAGCCCCTCGGCCGCCCGGCTACTATGTGAGAATAGAAACTTCTCGAGAATTGGGATATAACACAGGCGTGCTATGTAGAAGTTTATGAGAACTACGTGAAATTGCTGCGGAAGAGATGTTGGTCTGCGGATGTAAGCTGTTGGATACTACCCACGATCATGTAGCCAGAGCATGAAGCGCAAGGCCAGCGGTAAAAGAAGAGCAGGACGAAGCGATGTGAAATCAAAGCCTTGCGATATCTCTTAGGCTTTTGACTCCATCCGACTTGATTACTTACCAAAGAGGATATTACCAAGGACTCAAAGAGGAATAGGAAACCAGCAAGGCATCATCGTAATGCTTATCCCGATAGCCCAAATAATCCTCTTTCCTCACCAGTTCGGAGCTGAATAAGAAACATGCCTACCACTTACTGACACGAAGACTGCATAAGGCTACTCACTGATCAGATCCGACGATCCATATCATACACATCCCGCAACATCCAAACTAGTCGCTCCACGTTCTGAAATCGCGACGATGATGGCATCACGCACTTGGCTCGTCTCGCACTCTGAGATCCAACAGCAGATCACGATGGTTATCACACTACCACGTCCGATCATCGCACGAAACTTCACCAGAAGCGTAAAACAACTACCCTCCAATTCGCGAGGACCACAGAGACATTGCATGAGACTTGTCCACACCAGCCAACCATATATGAATGGTAGTGTGAATTCTGCACAGCAAGCACAGCCAATAAACGATTTTCTAGGCTTGAAGCGCGGAATCAACCTTAATTCTCATCACGGTGCCTTTAAACGCTTGACAATTAGGCCTCCTCGTGATAGGATATAAGAATAGCAATACGTCGTACCCCTCTTCTAGAATATCGTGCCCTTCACGAGGCTCGCAATAAGCAACCACACCCTTTCCACTGATCTTGTCCTGTTCCGCGTGTGCTGCAGGTAAGTTCCTGGTTTTGTCTCCGCGGATTGGAGGACACGGATTTATGGTGTGTGGAAAATCTTTCTCGTCTGCAGGAGCCGGAATTTTTTCTTTAGTAACACGATAAATCCATCGGGCGGAACGTAAGTGTATATACATTCATATAGACTGGAAATACCGCAGCGGACTTCGATATCGATATCAACAACAACATCATCACAGCTGAAGCTCTCCAGCTTCACAGCTCTCAAAACTGTGCCTCTCCGATACATTCACCCCACTATCAACCCCTCCTTCGAGAAAGCCCATCATCCACACCTCGCCAATGCAAGCCCTATCCAATGAATGCGCATACGTGCGACTTGCATATCCACAGCGTTTACGGCTGTTCCTGGCCTATTACGAAGTAGGAGGGGGTTGATGCGTGGGCGGTGAAGTTGTGGGTGATTGGTGTGCTGAGACTTTGAGAGGATATGGGGATGGAACGACCGATGACAATAGAGAGGTGGGTTGATATGGAGAAAGGTGAAGAGGTAAGTCCAATTGAGTTGAAAGTCGTGGTAGTAGAGCTAGGAGGAGTTCGTAATCATTCAAACTTCTCATCGCCTGTCCAAATCAAATCAACTCAACTCACTCAATCAACACCAGCAACTACGCACCCCCTTCCCCTGCAGAAAGGCTACTCCCGGCCCTACTACAAAGGCACACCTAATACCCAATCCAGCACCCCAATCCAGCATCTCAAAACGTCTTAGCTCTAGAACAACTATCACATCGAGCATCGTACCCGTTCTAGAATCACGAGTCTAAAATCTGCCTCGCCAAGAACCATCCAAACCCCAAATACGTGGAGCTAATTCAATATCCTCGGACTCCCTTAACTCTCTTTGCAATTCAGCCGCCACAGCATCGATATGTTTCATCCATCACGAGATCCCATACCCACCTCCCAGCTCCAGTATACAAATGCACCGTAAGTAAGTACCCCTCTTTCGTGGGGGCGACATCAATGGTGGCGTGGTGGGGTAGAAGGAATCCTATCTTCATGTAAACAATGGATCGTATATCACGCCTCTGAGTTGTCCATCCATCTACGTAATGTACGAAGTACAAGCACAGGTCACGTTTCTGCGACCTGAAGCTCGGGTCTTAGGTCTAGGCTATGCGACCTAGGATATGATACGATTTGGGGTGAGGTAAATAAACAAAGAGTTGAATTTTTTCGTCCGCCATTTTTATTGGGATCAGTCAACTTGTTAATCATAATTTCTTTAGTCAATTCAATTGTGTTGTCAAAAACAATGTTAGAGGCGATTTCCAAGTCACGAGTCTCCCAGCCCCCCGAAAATATTTTTACGAAAATTAACGACGAGTCTTGCCACTTAACGCCGCGATCGTTTCGCCATTGCCACTTGTGCTTGCTGGGCGTAGGGTTAGCACTTGAGATTGGATTTATGTCAGTGTGATATTGATTGTTGGGTTTGATGAGACTTGATTTTATCAATTATAGATAACTCACGTGATAATGTCAAATGGTATTGTTAAGTTAAATGAAATCTATAATGTTTGTAAACATCTATTCTAACACGTGTTGAATGCTTACAAATAGTACTAGTAGTATAAGAAACTTTTATAGTAAGTTTATAATTATAGAATATACCGAAATAGAAAATATAAGTAAAAGCTTAGACTTTTGTGCCTTTCTCGAGTCCCGCTCGCAGCGGACAAAATAAGTAGTAGTCTAAGACGGTATTTCTTGAATTAAGTTAGTAAAGTTCCGTATCCTAATTAGATTAACTTAAAACAATATTATTTATCTAGTTAATAGTTATTTTAAGTAAATAAGACTTTAAGCTCTATTCGCAGTCGACGTATTTTGTCTAGATTACTTACTCGAAGTCGACTTATTTAGTCTAGATTACTAGCTAGATAAATAGTACCTACTTAGTTCTTTATAAGTCCTATTTAGTTATTACTAGTTTTTTAATTTATTTTCTCCCACGTTACTCTACTTTACCTGTAGTCTCTTATGGGCTTTTAAAAAAAACCCAATGTATCCCTTTTACCTCCTAGATACAATTTCCGGGATATAAAGAGAGTGATTTCATATTTCTAGCAGTCAATTGTACCGCGGAAAGTAGTATATTCGGCCACGTTTAGATAGTTTATTGGCTACATAGCTAGTAGAGGAACTTCGAACATCTACTTGTTCGCTACGATATATGGATTAAGATTACTCCATTATTCGCTATACAATCAGAGGCCTGAGCGGAAAGGTAAACCTAGGAAGTGGAAGAGATATTGTGGACGCATTATGGGTATGATTGAGAGTTTTGAAGTGTCTTCTGGCTTTCAGTTTCGTTGCCGAGATTGTAAAGCATGGCTTGAAGGCTTTCACTTGTTTTCAAATAATTGACTTCTAGTAGTGTGAGTCTTGAATTGTTTAATTTTCCGAATAACTGGAGGTGTGTGTAATTTAAACTAGAAGATGACTATAAAGATCGAGTCGTAATTGATAATAATTTTAAGTTGCTAACTTAGTAAATGCGGGAATTAGGGTAAGCTCCGTGACATCAAGATTACTTCGGTAATAATTTCTTCACAGCGTCCTCAGTGAGGTTCGTAGCCTTCGCAATCTGTGGAATCGTCGCCCCTCCACTTCTCATCTTACCTAGCAGGTCTTTGACTTCAGGCCCATCCGGATCTGGGGTGCTAGTCTTGCTAAAGAGCGACTGGAAGGCTAGGGCGGCGGCAAACACACTCCTTGCTACATTGACTGCCGGTATGGCTGTCTGTATCCAGGTGTATATGTTGTCGCTTGTCTCTGCGGGTATATCTTTGAAGCCGCAGTTGCGTAGCCAGTCTGTAAAACCGACGCCGTATTTGCCAAAGGCCCATACGCTAAGTTGGTAGCCGTAGGGCTTTTGAAATGCGTCGTCTATGGAGATTCGTGGGTTGCAAACCCAGAGGTAGCGATTTCTATTGTATAGTCAGCGTTCCGTTTTCAGGGGATAGTTGAAGAGCTGCAAGTTTTGAAACACAAAACCAATGTTGGAATTCAACTCCAATAGAATGAGCAACTTACGCCATTTGATGACATTGACCATCCCACTTCAATTTTCCGTCTGCGCGAACACCGGCATTCTGATAGCCGTCCGTTCGATTCGTTCCATATGTCGCTTGCAGCGGGTGTATCGCATCAATTGGAAACCCAGTCGACATGAGCACAGCGTCCTCTCTCGAACAAGATCCAGTAATGACGTTATCAATCGTTCCTTCCCCTCCATGACCACCTGCACAGTCAAAATACGTCTTGACCACAGGTTTCCCAGGATTGGTAACTTCAATCCAAGTATGGTACCAGCCAAAATACCCTCCTATCGCATCTTGTGCAGGAGCCATGCACATGCTCATGGTATCCTTCCCAGAGATATCGAAGATTGTAAACCTGCCCGAGTATAAAGCTGGCATCACGAATAGCAAATTTTCCCGATTTAACGAGTTCCATTGTGCGATCTGGCCGCGGTAGGCACTTGCTGTAACTGATATAGAATTTACGACCCAGCGGCCCCTGTAGAACCAGGTATCCGCGCCATACTTGATGGTGAATCCTCGGATTGGCCCAATATCGGGTGCCCTGAATCGGAATATGTCCATGCACCCTCGTTCAAAGGGGTCAGCATGCAACTCGGAATTACTTAATCGCTGAAATGGAAGTGATTTGGAGCCTGATGTCAAAGAAATGTCAACAGAGTCATCTGTTCCAGCGGCTATGTAGTCTCCCGTCTCAATCGTTACTACGTACTCGACGTCAAACGGATTTGAAGCCTTAGCGAAGGCCAAACCCTCTATATCCGTCACAGAAGCGGTGATGTTGGCTTGTGCAACTGGCTGACCGAGAGACCATTTTGCAGTTGGAGGAGGGTTGTCCAGAATGTCTGCTAAAACAACGGCACCATCTTCTCGTACTGAGAGCATTAAATTGCTATCAATATGAACGTATACGGAACCATTCAAGACGAATTGTTGCTGGGTATTTCCTGGATGCCATACATCTATGATCAAGGCGGTGCCAGCCCGGGCATTTTGAGGTGCACCGGTGACAGTCAAGGCTAGAGCATTTGATTCAGAAATGAGTGATGATCTGAATGTGTACCACAGATGCTTGGAGGTTCCATCAGAATTTGTGACCACACGAACATTCCCCGAGTCCGACACTGAGATGACGCTCGTCTGGCTCTGGCCGTTATAAATTCTTTGACTGTCGCTCAGCCCTAACCACTTTTGTCGGTCGTCAGAGGAATCCGAAAGTGCCGTGGTGACTGTAATTCGATCTGCGCCAGCTGAGAGTCCAACTGTCGGGTTCGATGTCAGAGCCACAGTACCGTCTGGCTGAAAAGTCCAGGCTTGCTCCAAGGAAGACAAAGCTGGAGTCTCAAATGATACTGCGACTCCAGGCCTAGCAGCTGCTGCTTGAATGGCTAAATTTGAGCTCATTTCTAAAATGCCACCATTCTCGTACTCGCAAACGTGGTCATGACTAGATGCACTTTTGTCCACCAAGACTGGTTTTCCTGAGCGGTTGGCGAGGATTCGACTTGTGCCAACATTTAGTAGCAGACCACAACCTACTCTCATAGGCCTGAACAAGCCTTTGATGATGGTCATTTTCGGCGAACCGGGTACAAACCCTTGGATAACAGAGCGTTTTTGGGGCAAATCCCAGAAGTTGGGATCAGAGCCAGTATCAAAGAATGACAGACTCATGCCGGGTAAGTCTGACTGCGCTAGCCACTGTATTATTGTCCCTTTGATAGAAGTATTTTGAAGAACGATGTTGTCCATTAACACGAAACCACCACTGGTAAGTGAGAACTGCTTGAGAGAAGTCCACGATCCCTCGGGCTGTAAGTCCCGAGACCAGGTGTCGTAGATGCCAGAGAACAGAAAAGTCATGTCGGGTTGAGTGACAGTAAGAGGCGGCTGAGAACCAGACATCATAGGCATGCCTACACTGGAAGTGTCATTATGAGTGATGGAAAAGTCGGAGGCAATGCCATATTCCCCTGGCCAGTAGCCGATAAGGTTTGCTGAGAGGTTGCCCGCTTTGATACGTCGACCCATGAGATGGTTCACATCCTCAAGTTTGCGAGCTTCTTTCCAAAGCCGTATCTCAGCAAGCTCACCGGCGAAGAATTGCTTTGGTACGGCTGAATCATCCACAGCTCCGATAGTCAATCGATCAGAAGACGAGATTGACAAGGGTGGAGTGCCACTTGTGGTCATAGTACCAGACAACGCCGTGCCATCCACGAAAATATGTAACTGGCTGCCCGCCCTTACACCTGCAACATGATGCCAAGTGCCGTCGCAAACTCCTATGTTGTTGACAGTGAGAGTTGCATACTGTCCCGACGAGCTCTTAGTCGATAACGTCACACTACCAAGATCCACGGAGAGGCAAAAGCCAGCTCGTCCAGAAACTTGCTTTCCTAGTATAGGACCACCTTCGAATGACTTGATCCAAGCTTCGATGGTGAAATCACTGGCACCAAGAGCATACGCCGGATTGTCTGGACAGGTGAAGTATGCTGAGCTGCCGCTCATGAGTTCGTAAGAACCGATATTCATGGCGACAGTGTTGTTTCGGCAAGAAATCTCTCAAGAAGTGAAGAGAGTTATCCAGAAAGTAAGACAGAAAGTAAGAAGGCTGCTATCGGCTGTCCTGTACGATAATCTCAGATGTGGTTTAAGTGAGAGTTCAGCTTACAATCTTGCTCATCAGAGCTTCAAGTATGGCTCGTCAGCATCTGAAATATGTATGGTCAACATGTCCCAGATTCGACACTAGTGAGAAGCCACGATGACTTTTACTAGCTGAATATGTAGACAACAATATTTGTACTACAATGCACCCCTCCTTAAACAAACAAGAACGAGTACGGACGATTCGTTTCTCAGCGGCAATGACATCAAATCATGGTTTTGGTAAATGAGAAGGGAAAATGCGTCTCGTGGCAGCCGAATGCGAATGAGTTGTGTTGGCAACCTTCATGTAACTCACCCGATCTAGACGACCATGAGTGGATTGAGCTGAGAGATATTCGACCCTGATACAGCCGAAATGAACATCAAGAAGCAATTGACCATAACAGGCAAACGACCTGCACACTCAGCTCTAATGAGATTTAAATGGCTGCGATCGAATATTTTGAGGCAATGTTGATATCGAATCGAAGGCTGAGATAATCAACATATTGACTGAAAATATTAACACGAAGTTTAAGGAACTCTGGATTTGTAGGTCGGTAGGAATCTTTTGAGCAAATCTGTATAAGTGTGCGGCCGAATTTTACAAAACATCAAAGTTGTGGCTAGCTGAGTACAATCAGTAAATCACAGTGCGGGGTCAAAGTTATGTGCAGCCATTATGGGAACGATGTGGCTTGCGTCGCAACCGTTAGATATGCACGCCAATACAAACTTAAGACCAATCTAACCTCAGACCGTGGTATCAAGCTTCTTCCAACTTCACTGATAATATATCTCCGGTTACCACTGGCGGATTTGACTAAGTGCTGAAAGCTGAACGTAGGTGCAACCAAGACATGTGAAATTTTGTAGATCTCCATCCAGGAACAGCCATCACCGTATGACATCTCATATTTATATAAACCTCCTTTAATTAATGTCGTTGCTTCAAGCAAAACTCAATCAACTTTACAATCTTAACACTTTTCTAACAGCTCAACGACCCAACTGCAAACCCAACTGTCATTTTGAAAATTCAAGTACAGCATGGCTTCCAATCCAGTGACAGTCACCATTCCAGCCAACTGTCAAGGTCAAATCACAGCCATATCAAACGCAAGCTACACGCAGCGAGTCGACATCAAACTCGACGACTTAAGCACTACGTTCACAGGCACCGGAGAGAACGTGTCCATGACGACAACTTCCAAGTCAGACGTGTTCTTGTTCATGCCTCTGAGCACCGAGAGAACCTGTCGACTGACATTCATGTTCGATGCCGGTAAAGGTTGGCAGAAAGCCTTCGTCAACAATCCCATCAAGACGAGCAAAGGCCCGTTCACCACTTATTCGATCAAGTCGGAGGACGCTAACGATAACGACAATAATGATACGGATGTGAACATTGTCTGCTTTTCTACTTCTGCTTTTGGGACTACGTAGGTGGGCAAATGGGGAGATCTGCCGTTGGCTTCTGTGGTACTATCGTGAAGGGACAAGACACTCATGTAATGGTGGGCGCGTGTTAAGTTCTGCAGTTGACCTTGTGGTTGGTTACTATCATGGCGTTACTCATGGATGTTTCAAATCAGTATGTCTGGAAACAATGATGATGTGAGAGGTGATTGGAAAACTTGTCATTAGTTGAGATAAATTCGACGTTTGAGTATCATATTATTAAAAATAAAATGAAGGGTCTTACTCACTGCTTCTAATGAACGTAGTTTCTCCCCAGAACGTGATTTTTAGCCTTAGTCGTTGTGATTAGGAATCATTATGAGAGACCACCAAAGAGGCAAAAAGTACGCAAAACTTTTCCTAGAGCTTATTGACTTTGATGGAAATCATGGAATTGTGAAAAGTCCCAGACATTAACACTCGTTACGAGAACGAGGGAAGAAAACCAGTAAGCGAGGAACTCAGAACAAAAGCCGAGGGCTCGAGTAATCAGTGTATTCACTTACGAAAACTTTCCCAAAGATTTTGAGCTTGGAAGGAACTACGAGTAAATGCATAATTGGCAACATTTTATATCTTCTCAGAACTCAAAATTCGTCGTCTTTTATCCGGAAACAACTGCAGCAGTAACTTTTCCAGTCCTCGCTTGCTACATCGACTCCACCAATTATCCCCGTCTACCTATCCACTCACAAATCCCACTTCGTTTTCTTTCGACTATCATTCTTTCATTTCCTCATCATTCATCACAAAATGGAAGTACTGTCGTAGAGATTGCCGTACTCTAGAAGCGAGAAGTTTTCGAGCTCTTCGTTTCGACCCGTCGACCGTTTTTCTCCTCGGCCGGCTCAAAATAAATGGCCGCCTGGATTTGTCCCGCTCTGATTCGGAATCGGAATACAACGCCACATTGTATCCAGCAAAAATAAAAACCTGCAAGGTACCAGAGCGAAAGATCGAGGTTGGCCAAATGCTCACCGACTTTGCAAAAGTGGGAATCTGATGGGCTCAGGCCATGTGCAGAGTGATGACGCGCGTCACGACTGCTGAAACCCTCAACCTTACAACTACAAGTATCTTTCAGCTGTGGAACAATTGACGCAATATCAAGCGAGACTAGTTGTTCGACAAATGGGAGTATTAGGAGAATTTATTGAAGGCATTACTTTAATAATAATAAACATCACACGAACTTGTGATTGCACACCGCAGTGAAGGGAATATTGATCCTATGCTCTTTTAAGTTACTTGAACGGTTTCTGTGTTCGAACATTGACATCATAACAGCTCTCGTTTCTGCGTCGATTCTCTACACAGAGTGAAAAGAACTACTTCATATTTCTCCACCTTGATAACCTACGAATATTCCACCCGAGACGATACTGTTTTGAGACATTTCCGTAAAAGATTGTTGGAAGATTGAAATCACATAGATGAGCGCAAAATCGGACTTAGCCCTACGGTGGTATCAATGGGATCCATTATGGATCTGTCTTGTGGACTCAAAACGAGAACGAGAATTCCCCGCCTTTGCCATCCCCACACGAATTTTTACCCCGCGTTTGAGGTTGCTTTAGGGAGGGAAATGAATATTGAGCACATTCTAATTTACGTTCGGGCCGATGGACTGCACATAAGCCCGCGTGGCTTGATAATTTTCCAAGTTTCCTACTTTCTGATATCCATAGCTATACTTGTTAACAGACTACACTAGGCTCCCGTAGCCCCTCTTACATGTCTCTATTCTCCAGTCGAATGGAGTTACTGCTGTCATTGAATAATCACCGGACGGTGGGTAGCTTTCACTACGTAAATTCCCAGCCCAGGTAAGTCCTGCATTTTGGAACGGAAACACATAGCCGGAGAAGATAAGTGCAGTGCCCTCAAACATAAATAAGAGCAAAACAAGTAGGTCACCCTCGTATGTTACACAACATCTTCAAAGCACAATGCCGAAATCTTTCGTTTTTCTAACTTTGGCGTGCTTCATACCCTGCCTACTTGGCACTCATCTGTCCGAGAGGGCCTCTGGAGCACCAAAGGTGACTGTAAAAAATGGAACTTATGTTGGTTTTAATGATCCAGTACTCAACACAGATAATTTCTATGGCGTAGCATACGCAGCACCGGCCATAGGAGACTTGAGATTCAGACCCCCAACGTCTCTCAATTCTAGTTGGGAAGGCGAACGAGTCGTAGTTGATTATCCCAAGCAATGTATTACAACTGGTATGTTTATGAAATCATCTTAGCTGAACCTGTTCTGATTTTCTTAGGAAATAACACCTCAATCGAGCAGATTCAAAATGTTTGTTTTGCAGTTTGAATCGTGTTTGGAAGTTTTCTGACTAGTTCTAGATGTCCGAGGACTGTTTATATATGGGCATTATTCGACCGTCGAATGTCACCATAGAGAACCTACCCGTTCTTGTAAGCTTTCAGAAGACCCTTGGCTATGCCGTTCAAGATTTACTCATACCCTGAATAGGTTTATCTTGATCAAGGTGGATTTGCAAATGGTGGTGTTGGCTGGCTTCCAGACTTTAATCAAACTGGCATTGTACAACGTTCCGCGTTCATTGGACACCCTATCATTGAAGTCTCCGTCAACTCTCGACTAGGTCCATGGGGCTTCATGTACAGTCAAGAGATCCAAGATACTTTGAACACAAACTTGGGATTAAGAGACATGCGATTTGCTCTCCAGTGGATCCAAGAATACATTGCAGCTTTCGGTGGTGATCCAAATCGCGTCACAATTCAGGGCCAGAGTACGGGTGCTCAATCAGTTGGTCTTCAACTTCTCGCATACGGGGGAAAACATGACAATCTTTTTCAAGCCGCCATTTCCGAGAGTGGTGCTCCAGTATGGCATGCACCTACAGCAAACGTGGCATTGTGGCAACCAACCTACAATGGCTTCGTTAATGCCGCTGGGTGTGGAAACTCCAGTGACAGTCTCAACTGTCTACGAAGTGTTTCCAACGAGACGTTGGTCGAGATATTTGCCAACAAAACACTCAATCCGTTCGGAAGCAGCGCACCAAGAGAGTACATGTTCGCGGTTGATGGAGATTTCATCCCAGAACCAAACAGCGTTCTACTGCAAACCGGCTAATTTGCTCGAGTTCCATATCTAATTGGAGCTAATTTCGACGAGGGCACGGGAGTTGGTTATAAAGTCGCAAACACTACGGAAGAGTTGAATGTTTATCTCATTAAAGAAATGCTTACCATGGACAACGCAAGTCTTGCAACTCTTGGCTATCTTTATCCTGATATCCCAGAAATTGGTATTCCCTCCACCTACGACGGAAGACCGCCGGCGACCTCGCAAATGGGTTCTCAGTACAAGCGAGGAGCTTCCATCGGCGGCGATATTATCATGCATGCCCCAACTCGTTTAACTACGCTATCAATGGCATCTTTCAACTCCACAGTCTATCGCTACCATTTCAACGTTGGGCCAAACGGATACACTAATCTTCAAGGATCCACACATGCTTCTGAGGTCGCACTCACATTTTACGACTTAGACGGATCCGGCTACACAGTTCCACCAATCAGTGGGCCAAATAGAGACAAGCTGCTTCAAATGGCCAACACGATGACAGCTATGTGGATTGGATTTGTCTACTACGGAGATCCCAATTCTATAATTTCTTCTCTTGATCCATCTATTCCTCACTGGCCCAAATACGAGCTTCCAAACCCTCAGAATTACGTCTTCACTATCAATGAGACGTTATACACAGAATCAGACACGTACCGCGCTCCAGGAATTAATTACATGATGGATCTTATGGTCGTTTCAAAGAATCAGGATTGCACGAGCATTGCAGCGTGCGGTGGTGGATTCAACATTACCAATGGGGAAACTGGCGGGGTGTATGGGTATTGAGGGAAACGGAGACGCCGTACTGTGGGCAATAGCATTTGACCGTGCATAAAAAGTTCATGTTGTATCCTTCAATTTACCTTTAAAAGAGTCGTGATATTGTGTCGTACGGAATCGAGGTCTTCTTTGACCTAAGTTGCTTGGAGTTCAAATTCCGTGGAAGCAGCCCTTGAGATGTGAATGAACGGCAGGTCCTTCGGCTGTATTATTTTCTGCTTTGATGAACAAAAGCGTTTTAGTCAAACGAAGCGTACATGAACAGTTTTCCCTCCAAATGTCGCGCGAGCAATTATCTCATTTCTATTTCTGTCTTAGAGATTTTGCTTGGATGACTAAAATTATAGCAATCCAATAATTTTCAACTGTAAAACGGGTTCTGCGGTTCTCATCGTATCTTTCACTGCGAACAGTCTTTAATAATGAAACTGAGCTCATTCACCTGGTTCGGCCAAAACCCCGGTAAATATTTGCGGTCACTCCGACTGATCTATGCCAATACCAAGATGTGTTGAAGAGCATCGATTGCACATCCAATTGAGGGAATATCACGTTGTACTATTTTACAAACACTATTGCAGTGATAAGAAACTTGTTTTTGATTAATGATTATATTCACAATTAGGCCCTCCTCACTTCGTATCCACATACTGGCTGATCATTGAGCTCAGTGAAGCAGAGATGTTAGTCTCGGCACAGGATCCAGGCATGAGTTTCGACCCAAGCACCTGGAACGTCTCATGATCCCAAGACAATGTGTCAGGTACGTACCCTGACGAGGACTGCCCATTAGACATCGCTACAAGCATCGTCTTATTCATTGAAGAATCATCCTTGATTCGCCAACCGATCCTCATGAATATTTCACACCCGACCCATGCTACCGCAATGTCGCCCAAACCAACGACTCCCGTCAGGATATCGATATCAGGCCCCGAGGTATACGTTCCCTGCACCCCTTCACGGGCACTATCAAGTCTTAATCGGCCAGGACATGTGACGTTTTGCTGTTTACTCCAAATACGAGGGTTGCTATCCCATTCGCTAGTCAAAGACATGGCGCGAATGACTTCTTCGCCGACCATAATTCCAAGAGCTTGCAGTTCGTCAAATAATTGGCGGATATAATGTTGATCTGGCTTTGAAAATGGAACATATGCGTCTCGCACAGCTTCTTCCACCGGCTCGTGAGTCAGCTCAAATCCCGTGACTGGTATGGAATTCTGTGATGCGAGGTTGTTGGTGCCGGTCCATCTTAGCAGAGGATTGACATCTCCAGCCGCTTGTTGTGAGAAAATGGCTATGAAGGTGTCATCTGTGGACATGGACTTCTCAACCCAACGCATCATAGCACCTGGCTAATCGCCTGTAGTATACTCGGATAGATATGATTGTACTGGATGCATAGCGTAACTAGTCCAAGCAGCTAATGGTTCTGGTGTAGCATCGGTGCTTAAAAATGTCAAGACTTGGACTTCGCGGTCCACAGGACCAGATGTGTTTGAGGCTTGCGTCCAGCGACCAGTGAGAGGATTGAGTGCATCTCTGTTAACGTTGTGATAAGCTGATCCTGTGTTATAGCCGACTTTCGCAGGACGCATCACAAGAAGGGCCTTCTCTACTGCCGCAAGCGCGGCCTCTGCCACCGAAGGATAGGTCGAAAGTGCTGCATTCCCATACTGATTTGCAGTGGTAACACCGGCAGGACCAGCACTATGAGCGTGGGTAATAGAAACGATGACATTTGATGTTGTTGTGTTCAAGTATGCAGCAACGAGAGCATTGGCAGCTTTGTAGATCGGATCCTTGATGAAGGCAAGCTCGCAGCTGATGAAAGCGCCATACACACCATCATTGTTGAATACGATGGCGCGGACGTAAAGTCTTTCATTGTCGTATATATTTAATGGCAACCATAAGGAATTTGGAGTTGGTGTGATATCAACGCGAGCGGCACCGACCATGAGACCATTCGAGCTTGCTGTGGTGTTTGCCGCCAGCGAGAAGCATGGAGTCAGGGCAAGGACGATTGCCAACAAAACCCCAAAATTAATGAATGGCATGTTTAGCAGGAGATTTGGAAGAGCGTGTTGATGCTACAGGAGAACGGAAGAAAAGCACAATTGATGTATTCAAACTACATATTTATCAGGAAGAATATCTCCTGCCATACGGCCCATTGTTTAGCTCACAACCGTCCCATACTCATTTTTGTCCACAGTGAGTATGATCTTACCCTGAAACACATTTCCGGAAATACTGATAGATTCTTTTCTTTCAGCTCAAGTAAAACTGGCATGTTATCACTCGGTCCTTCTACGGTTGATCTACCCGGGGGAGTCCAGGCAGTCTGGGGAAGAGACACGGGTGCATGCTTCCTCATTGCAGCTTGAGCTTGGCAGACGCGCGGATTAGTCGATAGACTCCTGATTAATTGAAGATCATACTCATATACTGATCGTAAACAAAATTTCAATCACCAGAAGGAGAATAATTACAAAGTATTACAATGTCACTACACAACATGATATTAGAAGCAAGAAATGCACAGAAATTCTGAAAGCAGAGTGCTATCTTTCAAGTTAACACAATAAGACACTATTCGGAGTCGTAAGTCTACCGCTTTTGAATCTAAATGAAAACTCAAAAGGCATATCCACTGTTGCAGTAGCATTCAACGTCATCTGTACCGAGACATCACCAACCGTGCCGTGCCATGGCTAAGATTATTCTCCACCCCCATTTTCCCCAACTTCCCCACCTAAACTATTCTCCTAGTATTCTCCACAGCTATCCCTACAACTCGGTAAGGTTAACCTTGATTTAATCGCTTCATCCAGGCTAGTAAAATATGACAAGATGCGCCGAGCACGTCAAATTTTAGCACATGAAGCTTAACTCAACTTCGCTCATCTATTACACCGGAAAGATCTTTCCATCACATATGCACGCTAGCTTGCCAATTTCTTCTCAACATGAAGCAAGCTCTGAGAAGCTTAGACAATCTCAGTCAGGCCCCGCTATTCATTTTAGTTCCGTTGTGTCTTTCCATTCAATCCTCTATCTACTTGATAGAAGACTTGTTCTAGTTACTAGCTGAGCTCTTGTAGCATCTTCAGTTTATTTATCAATTTCTAGACTTCCAATATACTTTTCTAAGATTCAAAAAGTGTCACAGTGTTTTCACATCGATCTGCGGATCCAACAATCATCAAAGCATGAAGTCCTCTGCTCTCACATCCCTCGCCATAGGAGCGCTCCATGTAGTCACTGCTCTCCGCTTCACCAACCCCAATTTCAACAACATCACCATTGGAAAGCCTCTCAATATCACCTGGGATGATGCATCAGGTCCGGTATCTCTGACTTTGGTCAAAGGGGGAACCCCCGCACTTTTCGCAACCGTTGGAACACTTGCCAGTATGTTCTTCCATCTGTCTTGAAAAATTTATCAGCCCAAGCATATTGCGTAATTCATTTCGATGCATGGATTTAACAGGAAATGTAACAGGTGACTTGACAGCAACCTCATACCTATGGACTCCAAGCTCCTCCCTACTGCGTGATACATACGACATAGTATTCCGCGACTCGTCCAATTCAGTACACAGTTTTCAATTTGAGCTCGTCAACGCTCCAATCAGTGTCACCACTACCAGCGCGGCGTCTGTAGCTGCGGCTGCTCCAACGTACACGACCACATTCATGTATCCCAACTATGCGAATGGTGCTGGTGCTTGAGATATACTTATCATGGGGGTTTAATTGATCAAAGAAATTGGTTACTGCGGAAAATAATGTATTATAGCCTATGAAAATATTGTCCGCGTAGTAACTTGGTAGTTTCGTTGTTCTACTTCTGAAACGTATTTGATTCCCACTTGGGAGAGGTCTCAGTCAAGAAAGCGTTATAGCCTTGAGCTTGCAGCTGAGATTATTGGTGGAGTGAGGAGAAATGTCACGAGGAAAGGCTATTTACTATATGTTTAGATAGCTATGATATTTGGGTAAAGGAAATTCAACAAAGTCTTGCACATCTGGTTATTAAGGTATATACTAAGAGCCCTCCTTAGTTGGTACTAATACTAATACTAATGTACCAAAAGATACTGCGGTACTAAGGTATATACCTTGGTTGCCACTGATTTCGAACCGATGACACCCCGAAAAAGTCTCCGATTAGAGTCCCGATCATTTGATGTTCGGAGGCGATCAAATAGTTCTTCCGATTATCCACCCCCCTCTGCCTCCCTTTTTTCAACCGTCACTCACCTCTCTCCGCGTCGCCTCGCGACGCTCCTACAACAAAAACCGTGGGTAACTGATCAGGTACACCGATAAGTTTAAAAGGTTAGTACCAAGCCCGAAGAGACTATGTACTAAGGTAACTGATACCAAATTTGAAGACTGACTCAATAAGATATCATCACTACAAAACCCTGTTAGTTGCAAAAGTTAATTACTGAGCACTCTACGGATCTAGTTCTCAAACAGCCTTCGTCTGAGATCTCTCGAGATTTGATATCAAAAAATGTGGAACAATTCCGCAGGTCCCGCTCGAGAAGTGAACAGACGAGAGCGCTCTGAAACTCCTAATCCATGATCAGGACTTGGCGGATCCATTTGTTCTACCCCGTTCGTTAATTGATCTCTCTCATGAATGTGGTGAGACAGTGGGTTGCAAGTCGTGTATGTTGATGAACGGGATAGAACTCAATTTTCCCCTTGTAGAAGCTTCAAATCTCAAACTAGAACTTCATCTCAAACACCCAAAGCACGTCCAAGTTGAGGGGAGATACCAAATTTCTATTGCCTATACTGAAATGCAAACTCCTTTGTCTATATCTACAACACAAAATCTATTATCTGAGGAATTCCACTTAGCCAGCCATCAAAATGTACCACCTCCGCCAGAGTATGTCCAACTTCACATCACTGGTATAGTTGAAGGAGCCAAGGTTCTCATATCCAACGCACTTCTTCAGTACCACACCCAATGAGGTTATATCGGCAGTGGTACCCACGGCCTAAGGCTCTCATTAATATAATCACAAGGACGCCACTCCCTATCCAGAATCGTGATTGCAGCATTGAACCTCCCAATCGTCTCAGAGTCCTTACTGTGCTCAAGATCACAGCATACTCCCGCGAAAATTGATTCCATACTCAAATTCCCAAATCCCCTTGTATTTTCAGGATCACACGACACAAGCACGTTCACATTTTCAACGGCCTTGTCTGTCAGGTCTTCCTCCTTTGCGCGTGCTGTCCATCCGAGGTTGGGTGCGGTAAACTGAGTCATTGGAAGATAGAGTAGAGTTTGGTTTCGCTCGTTGCTTTTTCCTTGCCGTTCGATCTCAGCAAGATCGAGTTCACTAACACGATATACTAATCCCCAAACTACGCAAGTTCCCTTAAAATATGAGAAATGCGAGGCAGCCATACAACTAGCTTCACCCGACTCGGTAAGGAAGATTTTGTAGCCATCAAGCTTTGCGAGGCCGAGGAATTGGGCGCTAGGATATAGCTTTGTCATTTTCGAAGGCACCAATTCGGTTCCGTAGGCAAGATATAGGTGTTTTGCTGGTACCACCGGGGTTTGTTGATTTCCTTCAGCGCAAAGTGCGGGCGGTTTGTATTCATCTGGAGGAGCTGTATACTTCTGGTCGTAGCCAGAGCTGGTGAAGTAGGGTGTGGTAGAGACTCTTCCGGGGGTTGCACGCTTGTCCAATTGTGAGAGCTTTTGTCGTTTTGTGGAGGAGATCGGCTGTTGCCTTGGGAGTGCTGGCGGTTGTTCTGGCGTTTCGTTTTGTTGACATAGAACCTTCAATACAGTAGCGCGAGCTGCTGCGATATCGTTGGCATCGAAGGAAAGGCCTTGGTTAGCAGCCTCTTTGTCCTCTTTCTCTTCTTTGTCAAATGCCTTTGACGCCTCCGCTGGCCAAACGCACGGCAGTCTGGACTTTATACAATCTATAGATCCGTCAGCTAGTCCCGCGACCTCGAGAGTCATGTAATCTTACGACTGCAGTTCGGCTTCGGCTCGTCGCACTGGTATTGATTAGTTGATTGTATTTGATAGTCGCAGGACTGTGGAATACCTTGATCTTGCGCCTGCTACACGTCAGACATCCCGTCTTGGGTCGTGCCATTGGAAAGCGTATTGGAGGCCGCTCTCCCTTGGGAGAGGCGGCCCCGAGCTTGAAACCTATGCCAGGTACTGGTTGCGACATGGTGGTATCGCGAGGAAGTTTCCGCTGACAATTGTTTGTGCGCAGATAGATCTGCGAAACGAGAAAGAGGTCGATGTCGCGTAGGCGACGAAGAGGTAAACATACGCTAGCTGCCGAAAAATTGCTAGCTTGTTGATTCACCTGATTTAGACTGTTATCACACAGTGTTCAGACGAACGGAGGCTAAAATTGGGCCCTCACTACGTCCGCTTCAATACTTGTGAGCGGTCACCTCATATAATAATATTTAAGCGAGGTCAATTCAAACGGAAGTGATGTTTGTTCTGATTCGAAGTGTTCATTGTTTTTGGCCTTAGTCTGACAACGATAAGTTGGCTATTAGGTACACTACAAGCTTCCCAGATTAGCAAAGTACAAATTGTCATCCAATTGTCCCAAAGGTTCTCGCTTACCATTCTCTCAAAATCCCATCAAACCACGAATCTCTCAGGCATTATAAATATCATCATCTCCTTCTCCTCCTGGCTGCTCAGTTGATTGAACAACCCCACCATCCGAGTTCGCCATCGCAGTTGTAGCATTTGGTTCCTCAGCTTGAGGTTGAGCTTTAAGAATCAGCAAAACGTGACTACTTTGCGAGAGTGAGGAAGATACTTACTGACGACAATGGTAGGCGGTGAAGGGCGGAATGGCTCCAGAGGCGGCTCAGGGGTACGAGGGGCCGTAGTCATCATTTGTTCAGACTGTGGAGTGACTGGAGTGTCACGTCCAGAACCTCGTCCACGAGGAGGCTGTCGTCGAGTTGCCATTTGTACTTCAGGTTTTTATTAGCAATAGCCATTATAGGTAAATGGTGTGTGGTCTTACCTGGAGTTGGATCTATCTCTTCTACCTTCTTCTTTGGCGAACGGAATTCAGGATGAATAAAGGGAAGACTAGCATTGCTGTCATCATCCTTACAAGAAGGTTGTGCAAGCATGTTCCTAGTGAGTCTCCTATGCTCAGCCGTAGGCCCCAGAATAGAAACCCCGTTGTTCATCTGTCTTTCCTGTTGCATCTGCTGCTTCATTCTTGCCTGTGACCTCTTGGCGGAGGCACACTTTTTGGGAGCTGGCTGAACGTGTTCCCCAGAGTGAGGGCCTTGGGAGCTGGTATAAGTGCCTGTTGATGTCGAGCTGCTTGAGCATGTCTGGATATTGGCATTTGGAAATGCCAACACCTGTGGCTGAAATATGAGCATTCCTTCTGCAGCATCTATTTCTCTCTGATGGTACCCCCGAATTTCTGCATCCCGACGGTCTGCGTCTCGGCGATCACTTTCTGCGGCGGCAGCGAGAAGCATTGCTATATTATCTGCATCTGGTGATGTTGATGCTGGGATGATCTCCATTGGCTGAATATCTTCAGTTTCCTCTTCCTTTTTAACATCAACATGCTCTGCTCCAGCGTTGATTTCTCCCAAGCCGTCACTTGGAGAGCTATCAACAGCGTCTGAGCCTTGCTGTTGCTCAGCAGTGGACTGGTTTGCTTCTGTTGCTCGGTCCTGAATTGCTCGAGCTCTCCTTGCACTAAGCTCGTTGGCAATTTGTTCCATAGTCTGGAACTCTTCGCCAACTACAGCACCATCACGAATCACCATGATCCGCGTGGTGCCCTCAGGAGTAGGTACCCGAGGGCCACCATATGCCTGTTCTCTTGCAACTCTTGCAGAAACTCCTTAAGATAAACTATCAGTGCGTGCTATATTCTAAGGTGGTGCATAACACTTACCAGGTCTGGGTCTACCAGTCATATAGATGGGAGGGCGCTGAACTCTTCGTGGCACGATCTGTTCCTCGTCTGACTGAACTTCTTCTTCAGTAGTATCTCCAGTCGGAGTAGCAGATCCTCCGTCTCTTTGGGAGACGCGACGTGGTGGTAAGTTCGCAAGAATTGAATTAGTGACCCTACGAGGCGCCGGTGAGTAGAAACCCTGTACGAGACGGCCTCGAATCGGCACTGCTTCATCTCTGTAGAATCCTGGTTTATTCTCGGTTAGTACGTTTATTCCGGTCAGAGGGAGATCCTAGTCGAGTAGGTTTACTTACCAAGAGGACCCGGTATTGGAGGGACTGTCTCTTCAGAGTCTTCCGAAGAATCATCAGATAACGTCCTATCTGGATCGAGATCTGAAGACTCGCGTGCTGTGTCTTCCAGATACGCTGCAGGGAGAGAAGGTGATCTACTTCCTACGGAGGAAAGGTCTGAACTTGGGGGTTCAACCAACACGTTTCCTGTTGATGATGCTGTATGCTGCTGAGTATCGTGATGCCTGGTAGATGATCTAGTATCGTTAGCCACAAGATCCAAACTCTTTCATATAGTGGAAGCAGTCTTCAAGAAGATCGAGCATGTTGAGGAGGGCCACGAAACAAACTTGGACGTAGCAATACGCCTACTCTACTTGGATAGGGGAGAACTTACTCTGACGGCTCAGCTAGTGGAAGGCCTAGATCGGTTCGCTGATTGATGTGCACGACAGGAGACGGAGGGGGGTGCTGTGTTGCCTCTCCTACCTCGGAATGAGGATCTCCGATCTCTGCTTGATTATCAGATTCTCGCTCGTGTGTGCTGGCAGTGGTAGCCATATCTCTCTCTGATGGATACGACATGGTGTTCTTGAATCTGATGTTGATAAAAAGGCTGAAATGGTATCAACAAAGACAATTGCGAAACAATATCAAGATTCGGAAAAAACAACAAGGACGCAACAATGCCTGAACTATCGAGGTCGAGATGATCGTAGGTTCTAGGATGCAAGATAGCTTAGAAGAATCAGGAGAAGGTGGTGCGTAGATGGTTTTCTTGAGAAGTCTTGCTGTGTGTGTGATCAAATTCCATGGGAGAGGACAGAATTTTTTGAGGCGGTTCTCTGCGAGATAAAAACAAACCTTAGCGCCATTTTCTGCTCTGTTCTGGCTGTCTATTCACAGTGAACTGTCTTCCGTAGCTCTGAAGTGAGTGCATGGGGGGTGCCCTTGCCCTAGCCGAAATTCGCGGTGGGAGACTATCATACGTTTCTGCTTGACTGGAGGGAGAAAATACGGCGACAGATAACCAAAAACAGGAGATTAGTATAAGTATGCTATTTCTGTAGTTCTGTTCTACATGCTGGAGCATTCCTCGAGCGAAATTCTTCAGGTGCGTAAAATGCTATTAAATTTTGTTGCATTTTAGAATAGATTTTCCAGAGAATCTATCAATTTAATACTTCTACAAGAACATGATTGCTTTTTGTGATGGTTTGCCTATATATATTTGCTGTATTGAAGTCATATAAGTCTGCCATCAGGCCTCAGCTGACGTGGCACACCTTCGGTGTGGTTCTTGATTTCGCATTTTGGTCACCACTGCTTGCCATTTTGCAGATTTAAAATTTAATGCAGCACTGCTAGTGAGCTTAATGTAGAGATGGTTTGCTCTAAATTCACGTACACGAAAACAGAGGAGAAAGTGGATGAAAACAGACTTGACCAGAGGGGAAAGAACAACAAAATGTGACCTGCACTTGAATTTTTTGATAAAAAACTTGGACAACAGAGCATTAAAAACACTTTGCTAGCTTGTAGACTTGATAAAGATGATATGTTGCCTATTTTGGTATCGACACTGGATGTAGTGGTGGGTGAAGATCAATAATCTGCTTTTTCGCAAAATTCTATGCCGACCGGCGACCCAAGAATGATGACTCCAAAGAACTCCAAACATGTAATACACAACGTTTCGCATGCATTGTGAGAAGCTCAGCAGAATGCTCTTGAAGTTGTCTTCTTAATTGAGCTGTTTTCTCTCGCAGGCCGCAGTTTGTTCTGGCAACCTTTTCCCGACCGGGGTCAGGAAGCGCTCAGCAGAACTTCCCCATTCATCACCCATCGAGACTAGAAATCTTCTGCCAATAGAGCCAGAGATTTATCGCATCCTTCGAAAGTGTTCCATCACCACATGCTGAGCGAAAGAGCCGACTAGGAATTCGATCGACGACTCGACACCTAGCTTTACAAGACTGTGAAAGAACAACTAGACGGCAGCAAATACACTTTGAACAGAGAATTAGAGGAACGGCCTTTGTTTGCGCGGCGGCACAAGTCGTCGACTACTCTCAAAACTAGAAGTGCCTGCGAAGATATCCAGTTGGTCGGTATAGTTGACAGGATCTCAAACTTTTCAATCTCTGCATGACTTTGCTAACTTATTAAATTACATTACAGACGATCCTCTTTACGCTAAAGCTAATTTCCGAACGAACCTTCCTTTATTCCTCGAATTCCTTTACCAAAAATCCACTTTTCTCCTCGGCATGCTCAGCAAGCCTTCCCTCTTAGAGATATCGCATTGGAACAAAACCACTGAGTCAGGGCGCAAGCCGTGCCGAACTCGTTATATAAACGTAAGAGTTCGGAGCCATCTCCGCTGACCATCAACCAACCAAACGATCCGAGCATCCCTCATTCAAACCATCCTTCCCTTGGCCTTCCAGAGACCTTTGCCTCGTCGTAAACACCATCCTAGGACTACATCAATTTAGCCATAAATATCGAATTTGCGAGCCAAGTAAGTCACAGGCAGTAAACAAACACAAACTACTCTCTCGATCAGCACCAGCAGTACAGGCTTGCTGTCCGACGCTGGGACGGGTTTATTTGCGAATACCTCTTAAACCGACGACATTGAAACAAACACTGTCACAATAGCCTCCCCGATGGCGAGGATTATAGATATATACTGAGGGGAGGAGGAGGCTGCTTTGGCCGCAGACAGAGAGGAATGTGGACCTGGCTGCTTGAGGAATGTGATAGGAGGAACTGACGACCCTACCACAAAACACAGTCTTTGTTATCGGAACTTAGATCTCTGCTTCCTGACTGTCTTGCCGGCTGCACATATGGTCGCTAGTTTCCCAGTCGCAGTTGCGCTTACTATGACAAGTAGGGTACTACTGTGTTGTACTTGGAAAGATACCAGCGCCCGAGTCAGCGCTTCTATATGCCAATAGACTCTTGCAGTATTCAGAATATGCTATAATGGCGTTAAAATTGACGGTAGCTCCGCTTGTTGCAACATCTAGCGTGGCAGGGTCCAGGGGGTCAAGATATATGGATATGTATCGGAAATGGCACATTACACAAGGTGACTGGCGTGGATTATCTGGGATGAAGCTTGAAAAATTTGCCGTTCTTGATGCTCGTGGAGACACCATTCGTAGCAGCAGTACCTCCGCAGCAGTTGCTCAGATTGCAATCAGTTACCGATTCTATTTGCTTTGGAAGATTTTTGAATAAATAGCTTGGGAGAGTGTGAGAAATTCTTTTCAAATAGGGGTTTCTTGCAGCGGAAGTGTGTTCTATCTCCCGACGTCTTGATCCCTCAACTTTAGACGGATCGCGCTTGAGCTTTTATACGTTTATTGCATGGAATGTGATATGCTGAAATTATCGCGGCCTGTAAGTAGCTAAATCTTTTGATGTTGCATTGGTGGACCAGAAAGAGTATATGCAATCTGTCAATTCCGTCTCCAGACTCTGTGTCTTCTGATGTTATAGTCCTGAGATTTGCCAACTCCCGGACCCATAAGAACCTTTCCATGATCGCAAGTGTTTGGTCCCAGCAAGGGGTTCTCAAATCCAAGACCCTATATCTCTTATTGACGTCGGACATGCATCAGTATTTCAAAGTCCAGATCAACGAATACCGTCGAAAAACGTAGTGCTCGCTTACCTCCTAAAGCGCCTTGAATCCAAATGGCCGATGCTTTCTTGCCTCGAATTCCATGAAACTAGCAATGTTCACGGTAAGGTGTTGCTCAATTACACCGTTTTTACACAAACATCTACTAATCCTGGTACTGTTCTAAGCAGATTTCATATTCTAACCAGAACTCGATCAACGTACCAACCTTGTGGGTTCAGCGCACTCTTAGATGCACGCTGCCATTTTTGAATTTCGTACACTGAATTTCAATATCAGCTCAACGGTAACGGTAGGACTGTACTCAAGAATACTTTCCCTCTGGTGATAGTGGGGTGAAATCGTTTGGTGGCTAGCTGGGTCTCTAAGCGAGACCAATAACATTCAGACAGGCTAGAAAGAAGAGTACAGTGTGCATATGGGAAGCATTAATGGGACTTCGAGGCGTGCCGCTAGTTCTCCCCGGTACCATAACGATCGATATGGAAGACGCATACTATCTTCGGGTTGTTCGTCAACCATGCTCCTGACCCTCAGCTCTGTGTAAATGTCCTCTCGAGAAGACGGATGACGGCCTTGGAATTCGTTCTAGAGTGGAAGTTAAAGACCTTTCCGTCGTCCTTCTGAAGGCTTTACTTGCTGCTACGAAAGGTGTTACTACCATGGCAAAATAGAGAAAAGGAATAACGGCAGGATCGACGAGTTGACAGAAACGCAAACACCAAAGCAAAGTAAACTGAAGGATAAGACCAAGCTTCTGGTAGCAGAGCAACGCAACTATTTGACAAGCTCTAGTATTAAGTTTGACAATGGAACTATCATAGTTGGGTGATGAGATCATTCTCGTAAAGATAAATTCCCGGATTTCAATCGAAAAGCGCAAATTGCACGTGACTCCGATTTAGATCAATTGTATCGCAACTGCTCAACAGCAATCTGAGGTAATTCTTAATTATTTTTTGCAAAATATTCTCTACGTTCATTTTGGCTCCGACCAGTCTACCTGCTCTGTCACCTGCCCAGCCGTAGGGTGTAAATATGATACCTTCAACCGTAAACGTAACGCGGGCTAAATCATACATTGTTAGTATCGAGATTGAATTTGAGGAAAGAGGTTATACGTACTCCTTTGCTTCCTGTGATTCTCATTGTCTGCGTTGCTTCACCATTTGGACCAAGCTCGGGATTAGACATTGCGTTCAACTGCAGCTTTTGCGTCTTCGGCACCGCTGCTTGGAGGGTCACAGCGGATAATGTTTGGTGCACAGAACCGTTCTTGAAACGTGCCATCACTTGCACAGTACCCTCAGCGTTTCTTTGAAGCTGGAGGGTAATGTTGAGATCGTTTTTATTGTAGCAAGGGTGTATGGGAATAGAAGGCGTTGCTGCCGGAGGAGGAGGTGATGACATGCTAGAAAATAAATCATTCGAGGCGACCGAAGGTGCTTGTGTTTCAGTCTGCGGTTGTGAGGGTCCAGAATTGTCAAAGAGATCCATAATTGAGTTCATGTTCGATTTTTGTGGGGGTGCCGACGTTGTCGAGGGGGAGGTTGTGCCCCCGAGAATATCGGCGAGAAGATCTGCATTGTTTGAAGACCCATTTGCCCCACCAAGGTCTGAAGTTGGGGGATTTCCATCGCCCATCAGATCAAACAGAAGATCTTCCTCAGCTGGCTTGACGCTTTTTGATTTTCTGTTCGATGCTTTGTTCGATTTCTTGGCAGCTTCGCCTAATACGCGCGATTCTTCTTGTATTTGTGGAGGCGGCATCTTCTCCAACACTCCTCGTCTTATAGCATCGTGGGCAAAGAGATTTCCGTACTCGACCGCGCGCTGCTGCACTTCAATATCAAGACTTGCGGAGTTTCCTTGTAAGATGCGACGGATGCGGTCAATTTGCGCAGGATCGGTAAAGCGAGTTGAGAGCTTCATCAAGGAGGTTATGATGTATTCCGTTGCAATCTGTGTAGCATATGCACTGTTGAGAATCGAAGAGAAGAGATCGATAATTTCGTTCTCTTTGACCTCCTGTACTAGCTCTGCATCTTCGTACTGACCACCACGAAGCAGAGCATCACCGTATTCTCCAATACACCACGCGCCAGCAAGAGTCAAACTCTCCTGAGTAATGTCTTTCTTCAGATTGGTGTATAGCATCTGCACAGCGTATGTCTGCAGTTCAGGCGTTGTGGCAATGAGTCGAATGAAGGAGGACAGAATCTGCTCTTTGACATAGTTGCCTGCAAGAATCAAAACTTTCAGCATGGTATCGATATGCCACCGCTTACTTGGTGAGAACCTGTCGGCAGCAATACCAATTTGACTAGTCATGATTGGTTTGAATTCATTATCTGCCACTTCCAAGAAGACCAAAAGTTCTCTAATCAGCAGCCGGACGTTGCTTTCATTAATCAGGGTGAAGCTCAGATCCAGAGCACGTCTCCTGATACTGATATCTGGATCTCGCAGGCATTCCAAGATTGTGTTTCGATGTCTCTGCACTGCATTTGGCTCAATAGCCACTACTTTGATAAGGGTATTTAACGCCACATATCGAATGTTGTTGTCTCTGTTCGACAGAAATTTGCCCAGAATGTTAACACCGAGCACTCGCAACCCCGAATCAGCTTCGATGTCGAGAATGGTAAGTACAGCTTCGTATAGAATAGAGTTGCCAACGTTTTTGGAAGAATCGGTATTAGTGGCCACCTGTGCCAATATATCATTGATAAGCTCGCTCGTCTGCGCGTCGCCGCGACCTAAGACTCGTAATAACTGTAAAATCTTGCATTGTAGGAAAGGATCGGTTATCCCAGTAACGTCGTGTTCTGGGGCGTACCCAGAGCTTGCCAACGCTTTTAATGTCCGCACAAGACTAGCGCTATATGGGCGGAACTTTTCGACAATTCCTTCTTCGCCGCCCTCTAGCTCATCGGCTTCGCACAGATTTACAACAAGGGTCAGACCGCAGAGTAGAACTCCGTGGTTTCGATCGGATAACAGTGTTGCGGCTTTTTCCAGAAAGTGCTCTTGTAAATCCGGAACCTTCCTACATATTCGCATAGCACAGAGCGCTGCCTTCCGCCGGATATATGGGTTCGCCGTTGACAATAGTGTTTCTATTTCCGGGAACAAATCCCTTGACATCTCGACCGAGGCAATATTTCCAAGCGTACACAGGGCCAACCCAACAATATATTGGTTCGAGTGGTTCAAATCACTGAACTGTGTTAGCGTACTCAACCTGGCGGTTCTACAGCTTCCTACTTTTTCAATGAGTTGGTGACCAACGTCAACACCTCCTGATTCTCGTCCAACAACAACATCGTTCCTAAATAACCCAATCGTTTATCTGCGAATCGTGGAGAGGCGAGTAACTTGAGGCATTCGATCTGGCCAAAATGTGTTCTCTCCCCGAGGGTAAAGAGGTATAGAAGTTTGGCAACATTGTTTCTCCTGTGTAATTCTGAGCTTGATGGTCCAACAATGGTGCTCACGAGTGTCTACCTAACATTCGAATCCCCGCTCTCATCCCGGAAACTCGCTCGAATCGCAGCGCTTTCTTTCTTTACCACCGCTCGCTCGTCTGCAATTGTTTTGGATGCTCGCACATTGCGAATAAACTGCTTGACTGGAACTTGTCAGCGGGGAATTCCAAAACATTCGTCAATCTCACGAGAGCTCATCCTGGACTAATCTGAGCCCTTGCTGGGCCAGCCTCACAATATTGACCAGGCGAAAAACAAAAAGCAACAACGTTCATGAAATTCTGATCCGCGTATGGTAGAGCCAGGCTGTCAATGAATGCGCCTTGCCATGTGGTTGTTGACCAAAGCGCTCGCCTGCGCGCTTAACTGCGTTTAAGCATTATCGCCTCACCTTGGCGCTTGACAGATTCAGGCAGCCAGCCTAGCGAGGCTGTGAAAGTCACTTGAGTCCCTGATCTGCAAAACCTGGAAGCTCGTACATTCGTAACCGTACGCGCTAACCGCTTGAGTAATAGACAAAGTGACGTTCTGGTGGCTTGACATAAATCCACAGGCTTCTTTTGGCTGCTCTTCTCCACGTTCGGAACCTCGGACACGTTCCAATATCATGACCAGGTAGTCTGACCTCTGACATATGGATCGCTTTCCGGTTCTGCCTTAATACATCTATTTTACTTTTTGAATCGCATCTTTCTTTTATTTTCTGTTCATATGATGCTTATGCTCGGGAAATAAACATCCCCGAAGACCACGAATACCTGAATCGGCCGCGTAGCCATACTCCGTGTCTAGGTACATAATACCTGTCAGCAACCCAAACGCTCACTGTGGATTTCTTCTTGACAAGATTTACCATGTCGACATCAACGGATATCACAACAAATGGCAATGGGAGGGCGGACCACGATCATATTCTTCGTCCTCGAGCAGTGAAGCCAGGAAATCCTGGCGTTTTGCGAGCTCAGATTGAGGAAGGACTTCTAGCAGTCGCGCCAGAGAATGGTAATATATCTGGACAGACAAGGTATGGCTATCCTCGACCTTCTAATACATATGTATTGACTCTTTCAGTGGTCGTTCAACACCAGTTCCTGAGGATGCGCCACCATCAGTACATACACTGTCCTCGGCACGCAAACAATTGAAAGCACAGTCGCGACGAAGGCTCTTTCCAACCATTGAATATGCCTCGAGGGTTTCACATTTCGATCCTGCCAGCGATTATCATGACTTCAAAGGGTTCTTCGTCTTGTTTTGGATTGCGCTCACTATCATGGCTATTACAACGATGCTGCGGAACATCAAGGATACTGGATATCCTATGCGGGTGCAAATATGGCAGCTGTTTACTGTGAAGGTTTGGGAGCTTGCTCTCGCAGATGGGTTAATGGTTGCGACTACGGCATTGAGTTTGCCACTTCATAAATTATTTCGAAGCGCGTTAGGACGGAAATTGGGACTCAGATGGGCAACTGGGGGGATGGCAGTGCAGAGTATTTTTCAGACAATATGGTTCCTATTTTGGGTAGCGTGAGTTGTCATCCTTGGGATTGATATTGCGGTGCTGAAACTAACGTGTATTACTAGAGTGCCATTTCTTCGCGACTGGACGTGGACGTCTCAGGTTTTCCTCACACTTCACACCTTGGTTCTGCTTATGAAGATGCACTCCTATGCTTTCTATAATGGTCATCTAAGCGAGACAGAAAAGAGATTGCATGCCTTGGACAACCCTTCGACTGCTTCGAAAGCACCCGCGTATCAGTATCCCGCCTCCAAACAGCCACTTGCCGCTGGAAAAGAAGAACAAACAGAAGGGGAGGCTGCCGATCTTTCTCAATTACGCGAAGATCTGGCGATAGAACTCATATCTCCTCTTGGATCCGTCATCTATCCAAATAATTTGACATGGTCCAACTATACAGACTACCTCTTCTGCCCCACTCTATGCTACGAATTGGAATACCCACGGACAAGTGGCATAGTATGGTCGGAGTTGGGCTACAAGATTCTCGCAGTTTTTGGGGTAATCTTCCTCTTGACTATCACATCTGAAGAATTCATTCTTCCGGTCATGTCCGAATCTGCCTTGCGTCTCGAAACGGTAGAGTCGGCTTCTGAGACGGCTCTAATTCTCGCGGAATCAATATCGATGCTTTTATGGCCTTTCATGATCACGTTTCTCCTCGTGTTTCTTGTCATATTCGAATACGTTTTAGGAGCTTTTGCGGAAATTACATGTACGTTTCATATGGATCTTTTGATACCCTCATCGACTAACATCTCTGTACAGGTTTCGCAGATAGGCATTTCTATTCAGACTGGTGGAATAGTACCGACTGGCTCGAGTTCTCTCGGGAATGGAATATTCCCGTCCACCATTTCTTCCGGCGCCATGTCTACAGCGCCTCACGACCCCATATCGGCCGTCCTATGGCTACGCTCATTACTTTTCTTATCTCCGCCATCGGTCACGAGATCGTAATGGCTTGTATCACCAAAAAGCTTCGAGGATACGGTTTCCTTGCTCAGATGAGTCAACTCCCCATCGTAATGCTGCAACGCACGAAGTGGGTAAAGGGCAAGAAGGTCCTAAACAACGTTTGTTTCTGGTGTTCTATGATACTAGGTCTGAGTATGATGTGTTCGCTATACGTCCTGCTCTAAGTATCTGGCTTTGGATATACCCTTGTGGCATTTGGTTCTGGAGTAGATTTTTTTACTTTTATATACCCCCTATACATTGCGATGTAACTTTCCACTCTGTACAACATAGGTCGTTACGATCTTAGAAATAAAATTTTCTGCTTAGAATCCTCGGGTCGCCCTGTTGCGGTATTTTGTCATTCTGGGCATCTTTCTCGTACAATGCAATAGTAAACAAGCGGCGTGAGTATGTCTGTAAGTGAGGACAAGCCTATATGGTAGTCTTGTTTCACAACAACTTCCAAACAATTACTTGGCCATTCCATATTTATATTGACAGAGACATGAGGTGAGTAATGGCATCGTGGTTGAACTGTTGGTCTTATCGTTGGTTAGAAGAGAAAGAACGAGGTGTAGTTTACGCTGTTTTAGTATCTAATGATGCAGATGCCAGGTGGTGGGTGATGCGAAGTCGCAAGCTACAATTGCTGAGGGGTTTGTTGGAAGTCATCTTACACCGACGATTATTTTTCGTCATCTTCCCGATTCATCAAGGACTTTCGAAACGCAGATCTCTATTGATGATTTTGGAAAAGGTGGTGTTGCTAGGATGTGTCAAGAACAAATGTATTTGGTCTCATATTAAAAGTTTTTAGAGGTATGATGGATGATTCAGATATAAGTTGAGTCAACTACACTTAATCCATCATCCTTATTGATTTGCGGCCTCAGTTATTTCCTTAAAAAGTTTTGAGCACTCCTCTTGCTTGAGCCGTAACGCCTCGATTGAACTTTGAATCCAACGAGTGAGTTCCAACATCTGGCCACTCCTCGGGTCGCTGGACCTCAGTGTATTGGGGTCTGGAATGTTAAGAAATTCTACCTGTAGCTTCCTTTAGTGAGAAGATCTAAAAATCGATCAATGAGCTCTGCGCCAGGTTGGCCTACCGAAAATGGATCAATTTTATCCTTCTCTGCCTCTGCATCCTTTTTCCTCATATCGATCCATTCGTCCATATCGGCCATCCATTCTTCGACACTATTACGAAAATTCCGTCAGCGAGAAAAGTTTCACGCTTTGCTCATTTCCTTACTTATGATATACACGACCGGTCTTGACATCTTCAATAGATACATCCTCGGAAGAACGTGGGGATGTGACAGCCAAAGCTAGGCCGGTAACAGAGAGGAGACAAATGGCGGCTTCAAGAAACAACATTTTCATGTGGTTGGAAGGTGAGGTATGTTTTGTTGTGAAGAAAGATTGGGTGGATCGAGGGATGAGGGCACGAAGGAAGCAGGGAGCGAAGGGTATAGATATAATCAGCTGTTTCAGATGGCGGAATAGTACATCATCAGCTACGTCAATTTGAGCTAATCAAGTTGCCAGATATCGTTGATGAACTTGATGAAAGCTCCAGCCTAGGTGTGAACGTCATACAACAATACGAGTAAGGACAGAACGCGAACAGATGAACGGATGGTGATGAAACTAACTATTCGGTGAAACCAACAGCTTTGAAAGCCTAGAATCTCGGTGCTAGAGTGGAAGAAGGATTGTTTGTGTCTCAAAATGGTTAAAAAAAATCAGACTTTACTCGAAAGATTTGGTGCGATCCAGTCAAAAACCGGCAATGTGTGCAGAAAATGACGCCTTTGACGGTGCGTCGATGGCACTGCTTGGCAAACGCTGGTAAATTTAGAGTCTCGCTTGGTGATTCAAGGGGGGCTAGACAGCGAACATGCAACGATGAGTTCAAGCTAAACAGCCAAGAACAAACCATACAATGCTGAAGTTTCTACTAGAAGACACTTAAAATCATTTTTCACAGCCAATTTTACCTCAAATGGAATCTACAATTTGTCGTGCGAATTCTTTGGCGTCTGAAGCCGGCTTTGGTCGCCGTGATCAATAATCGAAACTTGTTGGCAAGATTCCAAACGATCCGTGCATTTATTCCAGCTCTCACGATTAGTGAACTAGTTCATATGGTTTGTGGGGCGCCAATTTGGGTGATAATCTAGCGAAGACAAAGGGAAGTATCGTAGAGAAATTGGGAAATCGGACGATCACTGACAGAGAAGAGAAATTTGGCAAAGTTACTGATCGGAAATTGAATCGATATAGCTCTACTAGTGAGGCTTGAATTCTCCGTACGTCTCGGATGATATCTATACTGTTGAACGAGGCTCTAGAACAATTCAGGGACAACAAGGGGGCTTGTCACGTGTCGAGATTAAGCGAGCAGACACATCAAATTGTGAAACACAACAATTATTGAGTGAGAAAAATATGGTCATCGGCGGCCTCAAAGTATTGCACGCTTATTCGTCCTCGTGGGAGTTTTTGTACTGGATGGTGAGAGTATACGTATATTTCGCAAAGCAGGAACAATCCGAGTACTTATTCAAACCGCTGGGAGATATAAGGAAAGTTCCCTGTATAACAAAAGTAAATTTAAGCAACATATCGGTAACAGGGAGTACCACAGCCAATTGAGCACTGAAATTACTTCACGTAGACTTCCCGAGACAGTGAGATTAGCGGATGCACTTCTGCTCCGAGAGCTTCAAGCGTCGTATGTTAGATGTACTCTATACTTGCTTTCGGTCAGGCTTGACATTAAACTAGACTACCAAGTTTGCATCCTACTCGGAATCAGTGGCATTGATGACATCAGCCCATATATCGTTGGGTATAAGTAATCCGAACTGTTCAATGGTATTGCCGGTCCTTTTCCCGTCACTTGTTTCTCAATTATTCTTTATGCCTGCTCATACGTCCCTCAAACCTTCAGACTTTAACCTTCCGTTTTCCTGAGAGCTCAACTTCTAAAAAACTCATTCACGTCTTCGTTTCATGTACTTTACCCACGAACTGCTTCAAGCCTCTACCAGGTTTGGAAGAGCACCAAGAAAAACATACTTCAAGTCACTATATCAATACCTCGGGCTTACACACACTTGAGCTACACTCCAGATCCGATCGAAATCAAGGCCAACAGGTTCACATACAAATTCAAACAGCCAACATGTTCACACGGGGTATCATCTGCTACTTGGCTCTCTTGAGCTTGATGTCCATAAGTATTGCCTCATCTCTACCCTCGGATACGACAATAAGCGATAACTTGGTCACCGGAGTGGAAATGGTCGATGATTTTGAAGATGTTGACGATTCCGATCAGGTGGAAGTCTTTGTTGAAGGTGATGCCGATTCGACCACCACATGGTCCACCTCTTCATCTTTGAGAAGTAGTACTGGAACTTCGACTCTGAGAACCAGTATAAGGACGAGTACCAGCACGAGCTTCAGGTCGACCAGCAGCAGTAGCAGTACCAGCAGTAGAGACATCATCCTCAGTATCAGCACAAGCGACACCAGTACCACCGTTAGCGACACTGCGATCAGTACAAGAAATGGCGATATTGGGACTTTTAGTAACAGCATAATCATTACCAGCACCGATGTCAGTACCAGCGGCGACACAATCACCAGCAGTAGCGACGTCATGACCACTAGCAGCGATGCTATTACCAGCAGTGATATAGTCATCAGTACTGGTAGTAGCAACACCATTCTCAGTGTCAGCAGTGGGGACACCATCACCAGTACCAGTACCAGCAGCAGTAACAGTCCTAGCGACGCTGTCACCAGTACTAGCAGTACCTCACTACGCAGCTCAAGCATCAGCAGCAGCGATAGTGTCACCAGTACCAGTACCATTAGCACTAGTACCGGGAGAAGCTCCACGCCTGCTTCCGCAACAGACTCCGAGTTGTTCTCAATCTTGTCTGCTTCGTCAATCGAAGGTACCACAACGGTGTCAAGTCTGAGTTCAACGGTCTCAGAAATTGAGAGTCAGAAGATCTCAGGCGAGGGGGCTACTTCTTCCTCATCCTCAACCATTGGTCCTCCAATTACGGACACATATGATAGTGCTGCACCGGCAACAAAATCACCTTCAAATCTCGTCACTCCTTCCGAGAGTGATTCACAGAGCTCTCGGCAGAGCACGTCCGTCTCTTCTCCGTCACTGACGACGGATGATCCGTTATCTCAACAGTCAATGCCAAGTTCAATCTTGTTCAACTCTTCTATGACTGTTACTCGCTTCTCGACCACGAGTCATCATCGGGCGCCCTCAAGCAGTGTTGAATATGCTGTCTCTACGTCTACAAGCCAAATAGTTTCGAACAATAGTAATCCACAGACACTTACTTCCCAGCATACCTCTGTGTCCTCAAGTCATTTGGTGTCAAACATTACTGGACTAAAAACGATCGCTTCCCCATCTGTGTCTCCATCCTGGATTTCAGTTTTTGCTTCTGGAATTGCTGCATCCACCCTTGTCACGGCAGTCGTCAACCAAACTAGGCTACAGGTCTCGGGATCTGGGGCCGCTCCTACCTCTGCTTCGAACGATTCAGATATCACTTCTCAACTTTCCGACATGGCAAACGTCCATGCAATACCTTGGGATGACCATGTCGAACGACACAATGGTTCCATACCAATTGCTGATGGTAATATGACAGCACCAGATGAATTATACTTTGCATTTACCCAAGCAAACATCGATGAGTCCAAGGTTATAGACTTTTATGAGAGTGAAGTTCAGAAAATCCACAAAGAAGCGGTCTCTCGTGGGCAAGACCTCACGCATGGTGGAGGAGAGTGGAGAGTCATGAACATCCAGCTCTTTAACGCTACAAATACCTTATGCGGCCCTCTTCTACCAGCATGTCATGGGCTGCCAAGTCTCAAAGACCTTCAGGATAGGTTACCAGGGGAGCAGAACCGCGCCCATGTACGTCGGCTACACTTCATTAGCGAATTTGAATATCTTTTGCATCAGCACGATATCATCGCCTATAGAGTAAGTGAACCACTCTAACATATCAAATCACTCTTTACTAAATGAATGATCAGCAACTTGTGACCCGTGTTATTCGAGCGGTGTTAGTTAAAGTAAAAGACATCATCACTTCAGGCACATTCCAACAGAAGGAAAGTGATACACAAAGATGCAAAGCTATTGGGCAAGCTATCGATGCGTCGGTTTCTGTGCTGATTACAGCCGCGAGCATAGTCCTTGGTGGCGAGCTCGCTACAACCTGGGATGCCGCTAAGGGCATAGCTGACATTGGTCAACGTTTTGTTGCCTTTGAAAAGGGTGAAACTTTTAAAGGTAGTGGAGTTCTATTCAGAAGCCTTAAATATGGGATGGCGATACAACATGACATTTTTGGCCGTTTAGTATCCCACTTTGCTAGTCCGGGTATGCCGCATGGTGGCATCAAGTCGAAATGGCTTACCACTGGAGTATCGACTAATCCATTCTGTACGACTTTTTCCGGCGACTATCCAGATCTCAATGAAGAAAATATAGAGGCGCTGAAGAAGGTGGTCCATGAATTTTTTGAAGATACACTCGACAAGTTTGCTAATGAGTACTTCGACACTATGTATAATGGTGCAGGCCCTGATAAAGATGGACAGACCATGACATCTCTTATGATGAGAAACAGGCAATGGACGGGTAGAGATTCTGTGATAGAGACGCTGAACCAGGCTGTTGACAAGCGTCACGGGTACGTGTCACGCGATTAGATTACTTTGCCTTACTACCTGCCACTGACACTTCTATAGTCCAATGACCACATGGGTGATTGAGCGCTTGTTGGGTGAGGTTGCTTCGCAAGACAGAAATATGATGATTTGCGTCCTCAGCGATACAACTTGTTCAGATCCCAAAAGTCCAAAATTCAAGCACAACGGGGTAAGTTATCAACCCCAAGTCCGGCATGCATTCGATTGACATTGTATGAATAGTGGAGTGACACTGTGATGTGTCCAGATCCGAACAATCCATACCTAAAATGTGCGCTACAACATATACACTTTCACGAAAAAAAAGGTGTATCTGGAGCCAACTCCACTTCTGGACGGCGTGAAAATGTTGGGCGATACCACCATTTACGATTTAATGCGTCAAAGTTTTGAGCACTATCGAAGATTCGGTAATGCTGAACCTGAGATGGATATAGGCGACAAAGGCTCAAGTGAGAGAAAGCTTGGCTTCGGTGGCTTTCACTTACCTGTTTGCATGTCGCCTCACGGCATAAGTAGAGACATCACTGTATGGAACGGAAAGAACGCATATCTCATACCGATGATATGCGGTGGTCCCACCGGCGAGGAAACGCAACTCTTTTTCGACAGGATGGGTTTGTCTCTCGGCAGTCCGCAGAGAGACGACAAGTGGAGGACAGAGACAGTCCCTCGTGTGAGTTTATTTTACAGCAACCCCTCTATTGTTCTCAAACACTGACTGCCAATAAGTACTTTTGGGTGATGGATCCAGGTCCAATGACTTGGTTCAGCGGACTTTGCCACCATGACCTCCGTTGGCCAAAGCGGTCAGAAACAGGTCGTATCAAGAATGGTGCACACCCTTTATGTTCGAGCATTTTGGGTCAGCTTCAGGACATGAGTTTTGAAGAGGGCAATAGGTGGTTCTGTAGTGAAGCTCCAGAGCCTTCGCAAGTCCGATTAGACGCGGGAAGGGAGGTTTATCTCTCACAATCGCACCCTATAGCAGATATAGTGTATCCTTACGCTTCAATGTGTAAGGACTTCAACAAACGATGCCCAACGAGTAAGGCTGGCAGGTGCGACATAAAACATTACTCTTATCTAGGTAATGGTACCGAATACATGCCTGGGAATCCAAGGCTTGATGGCGACGAAGATTAGCCGCGAATTTACAGGAAAATTCATCCTAGTCAAAGAAGTGACATCGGTTTCGATTTTCTGCAAACCGAAAATGTTTAAGGAAGTGCATGGTCTGTAGTTAGTCGGAGTTGGTAGGAGTTGGTGCAGAAGATTGTGGGCTAGCGATTGAAGGGATACACCCCGAATTATGTTGGAATTATCTGATTGACATATATACTATACAGTTTCTCTTTGTGTTGAGGAGATGACTACATCATCCAGCGTGGGGCATTTTAGGGTAGAGAGGTTGTACATCATAGAGCGTTTTGTGATAAAGTGTTTTGTAGCGAATTATCATGATAAATTGTTACTTTTCTTGAATGTGTCGCTGATCAAAGTGTTAAGAAGACCACTCCAAGGCTAGCAAGGATTTTTGATTTGCATGATAACACGTCTGTATCTCTTTTGTGTCTCAGTGTCCGCTAAGTTTCAACATCTTTCAAATGAGCAGTGTAGTACTAGGGAAGTTTTGAAGCTGAAACAGCTGTAGAGGGCTCAAAATATCGCATTATACAAACTCTTGAAAAAAGAAGCTTTTGTATAAAATTAGGGCTATGAACCCGGCAATTTTGAGTTCTCAGTTTCAGATATAAAACTCTAACGCTAAAGAAAATTCTTCAGCAATCTTGGGCACAGCTACGCAGCAACTGAAGAACCGGCCTCATACTTAAATCCCGACTTTACGCACCCTGCATCTCAAAAGTGAATTGAAAAACTGTGTTCCAATCGTTTTCGACTGAAAGCTAACTATCGAACTTGGTGGGTTAGTTGCGGTAGGGTCTGAGACCATGATACTAGTAGCTCTACCATTACCGTTTTCGTTCGGAACCATCTAAGTCTTAGCAGACCCACACACTACTAGATTTCTCAAACCCCACATGGTCTTTCTATAGACTTAGATTTGCACTTATCCGCGCTTCGAACTCGACAACAACCTATTCTTAAAAGTGTTAGATTCTTCAACGAAGCCGTGACATCGTGACATCACATCAAACCTTTAGGTCACAAATAGTACAATAAGACCAAGACATCCCACCATTCCCTTTTCTTCGTCCTCGAAATTTTCTCATCCTATTTCACTCTCCACTCAAATCGATACCTCACACTTCATCGCATTCCAAAATGAAGTTTCTCGGACTCGCCATGTCGCTCACAGCGCTCTGCGGAGAGCTTGTATCTACATTTCCAATTGCGCCACAGAAAGCCAGAGTCAATGGAAGAATTCTTCTTACATCTTGTGGGGGTTCCTACGATAAGAGCACCTCCATCTGGGACTCATTGTGGCGTTCACGTATGGAACATGAGGACTACCTCGAGTCAGCACACCTTGTACCTCGGAAATGTGATATTTACTAAAACAAATTAAGCCCCAAGAAAGTACAAGCATATATAAATGCTTTCAAACATCACAAGAGAAATGAGCTGTTCGAGTAAATGGGTCGTGGGTCTGAAGTGAAGAATTACTGCTGACAAAGTACAAGGAACGCAAATTCTATGACCGAAGTATATTTTACGATTCTCATGGTGGAACCGGAAATAGCTCGAGTCACTGTAAGTTATACCCTTTACACTCTTCTTCATTGAAAGACTACTCCGCTGACATGGTACCAAAATTTAGAAGGAGGATTGCAGGGAGATGGCGGAAAAGTCGACTCACTCTGTCAAGAAAGGAAGCATTGAAAAGTGTACTGGTAGCGAGGATCGCACTCAGGACCTTTTCAAAGACTTTGCCAACGGGCTCTCTGGTGCGACAGCCAAAACCGAGGAGGAACTTATGATGAAGAATGAAATTTGACTCAAAGTTGACGTATTGCGGTGCAGCCATCGTGTTTGTTGCTGTGGGGATGATTTGAGTATTTAAGTTGAGGGGTGAAAAAGTGATGAGGTAAACGAGATCATTTCAATTCCGTAGAAAAGATTCTACATGATCGGAGGAATTTCTTTCATGGATTGATTGAATGTAATTCATCAGTCGGTTTGACTTTATTTGAGTCGTGACAAGGTCGTTGTTTATAGAGTGTAAATCCCAACATTCGATTGTGAGTTTAAGAGATGAGTATTGCCATATTCAGTACGCCTTATTAACATCGATACTAATCACTATTCACCTACCTCTCTATAACTGCATCACTAAATATCTATGACATAGTCGTGTAACAAAATGTGAGAAGAAAATTCGGGTTTCAAAAAACAAGTGTATTTTTATCTCTTACCTTCGGAAGACCCTCGTCTTTTTCATTTCACTTGACCTACAATAATCTCAGTCACGAAAACGAGCAGAATATCGTGTTCAAGCAGAGACATTAAAGTAGTTAGCTTCCTCAACATGGAAATAAATCGACATAACATAATGGACTCGAGCTTAAAACAAAACCTCCTGTTGATAAATCAAACACTATTCCATATTTTTCTGTCTCTTTATAGAAGGTAATGGAGCTGTGACGATGTACATGTTTTCGTTTCTTCGTTTACCCCTTCTTTTTAGAATATTTGTAATAGCTCGAATACCAAGAACTTTTGTAACTGCAAACAGCTATCATTTTTCCTTTCTATATTACACCCTCTCCTCTCGTACCCCACCGCCCACTATCCCCCCAATTGACCCGCTTTCATCCCCCCTCCAAAGAAATAACCCTTTCCTTCGTCAACATCCACCCAAAATGTCAAAAAAAAAATTACAGACCGCTACCCACCGCCCGTTGCCTCATATACTAAAACCATGACTTTTACCCTCAATCCATCATCAAATCAAGCGGCAAAAAGGATAATTGACCTACGCAGGGATCGAACCTGCAATCTCTTGATAACATTATAACCTAGAGCTGAAGTCATTCGTAGTCAAGCGCCTTGCCATTGGGCCAGCAGGCCAGTTTGATTGGATGTAGGAATTTTCAGATTTTTGACAAATATACGTTGCTGAAAAGTGGAAAGGCTGTAGTGGCACAAGCGAGGCCGAAGTGGAGCCGGTGTCCTTTCTACCGACGAAATCGCGAACAAGAAACAATTTGATTTCCAAAAACATTCCTCAGCAGCTTAAAATCATTATTCCAGAATTTTCTCTCAATCTGACATCATTTTTTTCAATTCATTCTCCGGTAACAAAAGATAACAACATGCCATCCAATACCGAGCCAATTGCGCCAATAGGCGGCGACCACGTCCAACAGTCAATACCGATATGAAAATAGCCCTCATTTCGATACAGAGTTTACAGAACACAGTTCGTCGTACCCAAGCCCGCCAAGAGATTCTTGCAGAGGACTTCTAGGGAAATGTCAAGGAAATGTGGGTTTGATCTTTCTGTTTAGCCAGAATCGTGACCATGGTCGATCTACCTGACTGACTGCCCGAAGACCCCATGTGTCTCTCACTGACATCTGGACAGCTTACTGGAGTCAACCGACGTCTCGAGGCTAGGCCGCATGAGAAACAAATCTTGCGACAGACAATGGAAAGACGATATTTCTTCGATTAAGTTGACAAATTGTCGTATACTGTCGATTAACTTGGCACAATTTCACACATTCCCTCGATTATTACCACCCTCTTGAGCTCTTTTCGAAGTAGACTCGTTCAATATAAAAGTTGATAGGATGATGCTTGATACTTTTCTTAGTATTGGGTAGGGAATCAGACTTGTCTTGTCCCTAGCTAGCCTTATTCCTCACTGACATCTTGGCAGGGTACTCCAGTTGACTGAGTTCTCGAAACAGGCCGCAAAAGAAAGGAGCCAAAAGAGCCAGAGCCAGAGACAACACAGGCTGAAAATCCAACCAAAAGAAGCGGTAACCAATAAGTGAAGCAGCACTGAGAGTGTCGATCTTGTTGGGCGCAAGGAGGCCACTCTCACTCTAGTGCATACCAACGTACAAGAAATCCGGCGGCGCTTCATCAAAGAGCAAAACAAGGAAGAAACTTGGATACACGTTGACAGAAATGGAAAGAATACTGGATTCAAATGGGAGCAAAAAGTCAAGTCTGTTGTCAATGAATACTTACGCCATGAGGCGGAAGACACCTTCGCCCAAGCCAGCACCATTATCCTACCAAAGAGAAACGGCGTCGTATATCTCGTTGCATTGGGAGGTCAATAAGGTATCCAAGCGGTTGCGCAGAACCTATGGAGTTCGAAGCTCAACAGTTGAGAGCCCATGCCAAAGACATATTTCGGTAGACATGGGCTACAAGATCAGCTTGATTATGAGTAAAATTACGACCTCTATAGATCTGTGAGGACCACATGAACTTGCTTGGACCCTAGGATGTATCTGTGGGGTTCGCCCTTGCTCAATTGGACAGTCTCGTGATCGAAAAGGAGATTTCCTTAGGTGGCGTGACATTGCAATCTTTAGGGCGGTGACGCTTGATGATGGTTAGTCTACTTGGGGAAATGGAGGGTCTCTATTGCCAGACCCTGATTCCCCTTTTCTAGTGTCTTTCTGACGCTGGTGTAGCGGTTTCTGCGGCAGGGAAGTTTACGGCCAGGATTACATTAAAATTTCTCAAAGCCAATCGTGATGATCAGGTTGTCAGGGCCAACAATGAGAGAAACCCCACTCGTATTAAATATACAAGCACCACAATATGCCGAGAATATTCCCCTCGGCCCTACATTACGACTAATCGGCATAATGTTACGTAGGAAACTTTTGGTAGGCGAACCAACTGTTGACTCCCTCCTCGCCCCGGATGGGTAACTTAATCTCGTCATCAAACCGGAGTTTCTCAATCAGCCAGTCTTCATTGCAGGAATACCGGGAGGTCGTGGTCTCAGTCCGGATAACAAACCAGCGCCGTCGAAAACATTAACAAACAATCTCAAACGCCGTGCACTAGCTTTGGGATACCCGGAGAACACATGCTTTTATTCCTGGCGAAGAGGATTCGCAACTGCTGGTCGTAAGGCAGTAGGCAGCGATGCTACTCGAGCTGCAATGGCCCGCGACCCAACTGGAAAAACTCTCCAAAGCAACTACGACAATGTCGCCACCGAAGTAGACGTCTCTGCTATTGGACTTGTTGAGACCATGGTGGATTTTAGCGAGCAATCGCATGCAATACTTCAAAAGTTTTACTACACTTTAGACGCAACGGAAATAGAGAAAGTCCTGCAAGAGGCAATTCATGACGATATCGATTATCAAGGGGCAACCACGGCAGAAGAACGGCTGCGATACGCCAAAAGTGCGAGACTTAGGGAACAGTCAGCCTTGAGAGATTACTTTCGTGAAGAGTTCGCTAACAAAGTAACAACGCCAGAGTTTCGAAACCGAATTTCCGAATTAAAAACCCCTAGTAAGGTATTTCAGGAAATCCAAGATAAAATTCGCAGCGCCCACGCAGTTGACGAAATTTTTAATGTTTAGCATGCGGGGCTCGACACAGGAGACATCCTAGGCGTCCAAGTTTCGGACGACGTCGAAAATTCCACTCTCTCCGTCGATCATCACAATAATAACTTTGATATGCCCACGATAACTACCAACACTGGTAATGGACCCAACAATACAATACGCACAGATATCCCGGGGGCAAATTTAGAAGAGGGGACAACAATTACCTACGCCTAAACAGCTCGGTTTTTTCTCGACGAGCTCCTAGGGAGGTCTTCTAAGAAAGTCGAGCTAAGTCTCGCTCTAGAACATGGTACACTAGTATGTCCACTATGTGTAGAAGACGCAACTGTACCAGAAGAGGACAAAGAAATGGTTTGGAAGCCTCCAAACCTGCTCCTTCGACATCAACTGGGTAATTTCCATGCCCTAATCACTCGCTGGCTCGTATCACACGTGAAGCCCGGGCGCCTGGGGAGCATGGGGAATCTATCCGTCTGGCTGCATGGCTTACTTCAGATGTTCTCGAAGCGAAACCCCTAAAAGCGACGAAGCGAAGAGGAAATTGGAAAAGACCAGACAACGCAGGGTCGTAGACAGGAGATTATCCGAACATCGTGGTGGATAGCTGGCGGCTCGTTATTCTCGAGACAGGGGTTCGCAGATGTCAAGATAAGTAACAAGACCTTCTGTATCATTTATTACCTCAACAGTCAAGAGCAATTGATAACCTTCAATTATTAACTCATCTAATCTACCTTCAAACCCCTGTCATTTTCTGAAAACGATAGACAAAATATGGGATATTGTGTCAACCTAATTTAATAATTGACGTGTTTGGACAGCCAGTTATTGGTCTATTATAACGAGAAGAGGCGTTCCACTGGATTCCGTCCTTTCAAACCAGCCACTACCCAACTGGTTATCTTGACCACCACAGAAGAGCCACTGGCGTTCATTTGTCTAAACCCGCAATCACCTAATCTTAGCTGGAAAGCTACTACACTATTACAAGACAATCAACACACTATGTATAGCTGTATTGCTACAGAAAATCGAAACGGTGGTCTCGAGAAGTTGCGAGCAAATTATTTTGACCGTGTCAAGAAAGGCTATTTGGACTACTTTCACTGTTGTCTTTCAGGTCTGACGCGAAACCTTCTTACGCCGGAATAACCGTACTATGCCTGAAACGGTACAATCACTCTATTTATTAGAGTAAATACACCTTATTTCGCCTCTTGACAAGGGTATATATCTATTAATGACGAGTTATTAAAAGTCGAGTTCAAATGATATTTTACTTAGAGAGTAATTCGTAACACATGGGTGATTATAATTTCCTAAACGAAATTCTCCTGAAATTCCTCAAGCAAGGCACGCTGTATTCTTAATCAAACACTTTTTGCTAGTTACTCCTTAATATCAGCATTCTTGGCTTATTTCTCGATTTCTTCACGACTAAAGTATACTCGAACTTCTTGAGGACTGCACGATTGTTTCGCTTAAGTTCCGAGACATTTGTTTGGTAGACAAGATCCTGAAGTGGCAGTGTCCTCATAAGGCAATAGAAATATGCGTACTGGGTAGTCACCTAATTGCTCCGGTGGGTAGACGGATCTTGATGCCTCGCGACTGCCTGAGCAAGCAGTCTCTCTCACTTCACCTCGACAATTTCACAGCAGACCAAAATCTCCAGATCTACTAGAAGTAGTCGACGAAATATCGTACATCCCCTCATTTCCAGATGTAAATATCGGGTTCCTTCACTTCGAGTCCGAATTAAACAAATTCTTGTGCGGTGAAGCGGCCGAAACGACGAAATCTCCCATATTCCGTATACACTATTTCACGGCATCATTTACACGCTTCAAGATCACGGACTTCTCTGGACGAAATGCGAAAATGGAGGAATGGAGTATCTGGTTAATCACTCCATGTGCTTCAACGTACTCTCTGATTTAGCTAGTCCTAAATTATACGACTATCACATTCAATTCAGATCATTCCCTCTCTTACCCCCCCCCTTTCCTATCTAATCCCCTCATCTACCCTTCCCCCTCCACAACCCCTCGCCTACCCCCCACTATACAAAACACGCACCAAAAACAAAACCCACCGAAACATCCCCTCCATTCCGCATAATCGTTTTATTTGTAACTTTGCTCTACTAATCAAATACACAGCTTGTGTGTCAATGCCCTAGAACAATGCGGAAATTACTTGTTTATTTTCCGTGTTAGGTTTTACGTTAATAGGTATATGATAAGTAGAGTTTATAGTATCGTACTATACTTTCTCTTCTTTCGTTATATCGAAAGTGTGGTTAGATTTATTAGAGATAGTATATAATTACTCGCATCCCTCCACTCTACTGTAGTGTGACTGAGATTAATAACTGTAAGCATACTTCGATAGCCTTATTTTTTATTACAAATTTAAATTAGTGTCTACGAAGGATCTAAAAAAGATATATTTCTACTAGACGAGTTAAAAGAGTGTACTTTACACAGCGACAGATTAGTATATAGCCTCACGTCTTAAACGCATCAACTCACTCACCCCCAATCCTCAACAACCCAATCTCACACCCCATGATCCAATCCCTCAATCTCATACCCTACAAACTCTCCCCTTAATCCTAATCCAAAACCCTCCTCAACCCCTCAACCCCCCCTCACACAACCAATCCCACCACCTCCATCCCACCCACTCACTCTCCTCCATCGGACTCCATCCTCGCTCAACGCCCCCAAATCCAGTCCAAAAAAGTCATCTTTTCAAGTTCGACGCTTCGAGATGGGGATAAACTGCTTGAAAAGTGCGAAAGCTACGCATATCTATCAGAGACACAAACAATCACACCGTGCGATAAAAAAATTAAGTTTCGCTAGCTATCAGAGACGATTATGTGTATCCTCCAAGCTCTAGCACGCAGCCAAGAAAAAAAACGGGAAACGCATTTTGCTATATTCTCTATACCTCGACGACTCTGGTTTTTCCAAAAAAAAATAGGAAAAAAAAATACAAGTGTAAAGAGATCCTAGTTTCCTATCTTGATAATCAAGTTGAAATATGTATATAGACATTGTATTTGTATTCATCGTAATATAAAACCAATCAGCGATTTTTCTTTCTCCCGCGTGTCTGGGTTGTGTTGTGTTGAGGAGGGGAACTTGGAAGGGAGATTTGGTATGTTTCTGAGGGAATGGCGGGATGGATGTGTTTGAATAATAGACTGGAGAGGATGTTGAGATTTGGTAGCGAGGGAGATTTTGCTGGAGTTCAGATATCTGGTATACAGCAAGATCAACAATATCACGGAGTCTTCAACAAATAGGACGGGATAATTTATAGTTTCAACATTCCATTTCCTTCTAAACCTAACACCTCTTAAATTGTAAAACAAGGAAAACTCCCTTAATTCTGTGAAGAACATCCGAGGAGCATCAATCTACCTAAACGCCTTTTGCAAGTTTCTCATACCCTTTTAACTCCTCACACCCCACGTATCAATCTCTCCCTCAATTTTTTTTTGCTCTCACGCTCTACTCGCTCACCCATCAACCACTCCTACCCACTCACCCACCAACCTCCTCACACCCACCTCTCCCCCCTAACGCCCTCCTCAACCCTCCCCACCTCCCCCGCAATCGCCCAACTCGCAACCCCGAAAAGCGCCCAAACCCATCCCTCGAATTTCATCCGTTCAACAACCTCATCATCCAACCAAACCTTTGCCATCCTCCCACCCTCTCTCTTCCCTGCCTCCCCCTCCCCACCCTCCAACACAACCCCCCCGAAAACCCCAAGCTTCTCCCTAACCTCCTTCCACCCCTTCCCACCAGCCTCAGTCTCCCCCTCCCCCTCCACCTCCCCCCAACTCGGATCCAAGAACCTCCTCGCATTCCCGTAAAACTCCCTCGTCGCACCCTCACTCAACGCCTTCGGATCCCAGAAAAGTAGCGTCAGCGCCGCTACATTCTGGACGGGGGCGTCAATCGATAAAGGTTTCGTGACGGGGAAGGTGTAGCGAGATATAGATTTCGGTAGTATTTCCGGCGCGAGTTTGAACGGAAGGAGCGGCGCGAATTGTTTCGCGAGGACGGACGTTTCGTGGACGAACGGCGCGGTACTCAGACGTTTCGGCGCGTGTTCGCGTTTGGCGGCCGATGTGGTGGTAGGTGACGCACGGGGCGGACGAGCGGTGGTTGTGATTTTGGAGGTGAGGATTGCGGTCACGGCTTCAGAGAGCCAGTGGGAGGGGTAGCCGATTGTGCGGAGTTGGGCGAGGAGACGGAAGAAGATGGATGTGGTGCAGGGGGAGAGGATGATGGTGTATTGTTCGTGGAGGTTTGTGTTAAAGGGGAGGACGATGCGGAAGAAGAGAGCGTAGAGCCATTTTAAAAATTGGGTTTTGGGGAGGAGGTCGTTGAAGTGGAAGGGTCGGGAGTGGAGGTAGTCGTAGATTATGTAGTCGGCCATGGGTCGGGAGTCGTTGTACATGGGTTCTTGGTAGCCGACGCGGGTTAGTTGTTCGAGCATCTTTTTGTTGTGGATGAGTTGGTATTCGGCGTGGAAGGATTCGAGTGTTGGCCATGATGAGGAGTTGTAGAGACAGGTTGCCAGTACACAGGATATAGGTGATACGTTTAACAGGGGTGCAAAGTATAAGCAGGTGGATAGATTTCCGTTCATGTAATCGCTGAGAAAGTTAGAAGAGTTGGCATTAGGTGGTGGGTACTTACGGAACATTGCTCAAATGAACACAATCAAATGAATTAGGCAAATATTTCGGACGCACTTCAGGCGTATTGCCCGAGTCCAATCCATCCTCACTGCTGAAAAGATCAAATCGAAGTTGTTCCGCAACATCAACACAATCTCCAAGAAGAACCTCAACCTTGAGTCTTCCACCCAGCTTGCCAAAAGCGTCAGCGACCGCAGAGAAGAATGTTGACACATAGTCATATAGACATTGCGGCTTGGCAGGAGGTCGAGCCTTCATATCCTCATCCGTAAACTTCACTGCGGCTTCAAAAGGATCATGACCAAAGTCGATAGAATCCTTATCCCCCAGACTGGCATACCACTCCACATCCACCATTGTCGTATTAACTTTCCAATTCTCCAGTAGATAATCTCTGCATTTCAATCGAGGAGTGTTTGTCTGAGGTCGATTCGCACAATCTTGCAACTCCTTCAGCATGATTGGATCGTATTTTTGAAGCATTCTCTTTGGAGGTTGGAGAACGAGACTTGTGAGGTAAAGATTTCGCTCAGCTTTGCACTTTGGTGGAAGGTCCAATGCATCTCCGATCATCATAGCCATCTGGCTAACCTGCTGCTTAGCAAGTTTGAAGACTTCTTTAGTGGTAAGAACCGTCAATGCTTCTCCTTGCCATGATTTCAAGACTTTGAGATATTCCGCGTAGTGTCGCTCGTAAAGATGGAGGAGTTTGCTGGGTTGTTGGCGAGATTCTAGTGCGTTGAGAGCTTTGCTGATTGTTGCTTGCATTTTATCCAAAGCGTATTGTGGTATGATAACCGCAACATAGACAAAGTAGATGGTACTGAGAACTTCGAGATATTCATCAGTCCCCTTCTCAAGACCCATCAATTCCTCAACCAGCATAACCACCACAATATCCCGAGCCAGCGCCGATTTATTGATATCGTTGATAGTAAAGTGGTAGCTCTTCTTATCCGTATTTTCAGTATCCGAAATGCCAATAATGGTCCTAAACATGTTACGGGCATCTCCAACACCAGCAAGAAAAAATGACACCAGCTCTTCCTTCGGGTCAGGGATGAATTCTTGATTTCGAGCAATAGCCTTGTTTTGTTTAAAAGCGGTTCCGAATAACTTTCCCTCTTTCATCTTATCGGTTGCCGAATTATACATATTGAAAGCTTGATCATGGCCGACATGATAAAATTCCAGTGATGTATTCCTGCGAATACAATTAAAACAACACCATTTAATTTCTGTCAGTGTACTTACATTTTCGGACGATATCGCGGCACCTCTTTCATCAGCTTGATACGACAAGCACGCTGATCTTCTATCGTTGCAACATCATCATGAGCATTTGCTTTCACAATTCTCTGTTGCAGCTTCAAAACTTGTGGACTCGCTTCGTCAAAATCATCGCTCTGTTTGCGAAGCATCAAAGCCCGTTCAGCCATGAGACGACATGTTCTGTACTGGCCAACCTCCAGATAAGCAGCCGAGAGATTTCCATATGGTGCAGGGTCATTGGGTGTAATCTTTGCAGCCTGTCTGTATTTTGATATTGCTGTATGGACGTTAGCATGGAAGAAATCTTCAATTGAGCTGCACTTACCTTCTGAAAGATCACCGCTCTTGTACAGCGCATTTCCTTCTTCCCGCAAGATACTAGATTCCTCTTCCGAAGACATCTTGAGACCAGAATCTTGGTGTGGTAAGCTCGAAACAAAAAGTCACACAATCCCAGTAAGCTCGCTCGTACAAACCAAAAAAAAAGATCAGGCTGTCGAGCAAACTCCCACCGCCAGTTCAGGTGAACAAGAAACCGCAACAACCCGTAAATCAACAGGGCAATCCTCGCACCAACTGCAAACCTCAAAATGCAAAAGAACGATGTCCTAACAACAAACAAAATATAAGTTGCAGTCAGAAAAATATCATTCAGCTGTCACAAGTTCAGCATCAGACCGCCAGAATCCCCCATATGCATGCAGGAAAAGAGAGTTCATGCAGGTCCAGCTCTGAACCGCCAAATGGGAACCAACGTCGGGCGATACCAAGTTGCGGTGAAGTGCTAGCGTAGCTGATGTGTGGGCAATCACGTGTGACGAGCAAGCCCACGTCCCCTTACCTGGTCAGTGCGATGAGGCTGTCAATCGGAACGCGATTCTTGGATACTTCGAATTCGTCTTTGTACAGCTGGATTTGATGTGCTGTGGATATATACCTTGATGCCTCGTCCCAGTCCTCCTTGTCCAATCCAATATCCATCTCCCGAGAACGCCGGACGCCAATCTTACCACATCTTGATTACAGAAGCCTCTTGGTATGCATATTAATCTTCCATCTTTACATCTCCTCCACCATCTGTGGGGTTCTTCCCAAGGTTCTTCAGTAGATAGCTCCTCTTGAAATACTCATTTGGATGTACAATTGTCTCTAATTGTGCTGCACCCCACGTTCCATCATCTCGAACTTTCTTGATTTCCTGCTTGTGAGCATATTCAAAGACACTGAATTCGTCAGAACGTCACTCGCATATTAAATTAAAGGCAAGGAGATGACAGAGATGACTAGAGATGACAAACTTACCGGTTACATGCTAGATGGAATTTCTGTTTTTCCTTGTCCTCCTTGACACCCTTCAACACCTCGTGATCTTTGACACCAACTTGCTGCAATAAAGCGGTCAAGTTATCGATGCTAAAATGCCTGTACGGACAACCGTGTGCTTCACCCGGTCCAGGCGGATGTTCTGTAAGGATCTTCTGACACGAAAATGGACTGTATCCGTTACCTCGCCGATTCGAATCACCGCCAACATCACCATATACGTGGCGAACGTTGTATCGATATTCTTTGTTAAACGTGTCGTCTGTGATTTTATTGAATGCACCCCGCCAGAAGACCAAACATTCTTCCAAGTTGAGACCGATTCCTTTGAGGAAGAGTGAGTACTGCAGTCGTCCGAAATGTTTCAAATGTGCATCTCGCCGAAGTGAACGATGTAGATTCTGCATGCAGAGTGGGAAGGAGGATGAGAGGGTATCGATGTTTCGAGCGGAGATGTCAGCGCCAGGTAGAGACGTGCTCGAGGACGAGTAATTGGCGTCTGGGGTGGTAAAGTTCTGGGAGAGATGGGTGAGAATCGGCGATAATCGGTCGTCTTCGTCGAGTCGTGGGAGTGCTCGGGAAGTAGTCTAACACCATTAATATTTTTCAGGTAAAAAGATGGTTGCCTTACCTCCAGAGCCTTGTCCAATTTATTGGTAAACTCTGCAATAACCATAGATAACTGCTCTCTGCCAGGAACGTAAGCCTTACCTCCCTTCAAGAACACCCTCCTGTGTTCGATCAATTCAGGCACTTTCTCCCAATCAACCTTGTAGTAACTCTCCTCCTCAATTCGTTTCGGGAATCCACCACCTGCAGCCCTTAATTCCTCTGCATATTCCCTCCTCTCCTCATCACTAACAATTTCCAAGTCCAAATTCAAGCCCTCAACAAACTTCTGTCGCTCCCTCGAATCATTGTCCTGAAATCGTATGCGAAACAGGGTCGTCTCAGCGCGTGAGAATCGTCGACGAAGATCTTCAGTCGAAGCAAATGCGAGGCGAAGAATAAAATGGCTGTAGTGGTCTTTCTGTCTTTCAATCTGTGTGGCCGCTGAGTTCGACGTGGATGAGGTTAATGGAAGGTATTTGTCGAGAAGAGGTTTCATATGTGCCGCGGTTTCTGTAAGATTTTTATTTCTGAATGAACACGCCTCGATTTCCGCGAGAACTGCAGTAATTAGCACATGTCACCCCGAGTATAGCATTGTAATGCATACCTCGCAGACGGTCGATTGCCCATTGCTCAAACTGCTCGAGCGTGATATCCGCGGTTGGAGGAGTGACATAGAAATTCAAACGGTGTTTATATTCGACATTCTGGAAAGTCGCTGGTGCAAACTGTCGTTTCTTCGGATCGAGGGCTGTGCGTCTCTTTGGGTCAGCTCTTGAGAATTCTTGACGGATCATTTTGACGGTGGTTTGGTTATTTGATTCTTGTCTTCGTTTTGCAGATTCGAGAGACGCGTCAGTGTATCGCGACGACGCGTCAAGGGGAAATCAATTTAGCAAGCGAACGCGGGGACCGGGCCGCTTTACGGACCACGACTTCCAACCCGAACATTGAACATGAGTCTACAATATAACAAGCATCTAAAAGCATTCCTCTCCTCTACACTTGATGACTTTCCTACACATCTCACGCAAAGTCGGGTCAAATCCGAGAATGAAGTAGATAGTAATCGCCTCTCAGACTTATTTCCTAGATATTCAACCATCGACCAAGAAACATCCCAATGAGTGTCTAGTTGAAACACATTCCCATTTCATTTTCTTGTATGGGTTACAAAGTCATTACAGAAAAAGGGTTTCCATGGTTCAACAGGGGGGTGCAAAATAGTAATGCTAGGACTGACCCAGACTTTATGAGATGGCCGTGGCTAGTCAAGCAGTCAATAAAACCAAACCAGAATGCCTTGAAGATAAGCTACTCGCTATTTCCTGGTCAAGCAGTCAAGTCACAGTCATCACAAGAACAAACATCAAATGAGTAGAAATCAAACTCCATTTTCTACGCTACAGTCTACAACATCCGTCGGCGGAAAAACAGGACAACAGAACCAATCATCTCGCAAGCTTGCTAATTCCCACAACAGGACTTTTAGGATCGCTCACGCTACCAGGACCACTACCGCTTCCACTGCTACCATGCCGATCCTTGTCGTAAGTATCCCAAACAGCTTTACCCATCTGAGCATAATTTAGGGGAGGCCCTTCATCATCGCTCTGAGTAAAACTGGACAAGTTGCTCAGCATGCTGCTGCTTCGACCGCGGGTGCGAAAGCTTTGTGGCGGTGGCATCGGAGGAGGGCCATAAGCGCCGAATGGTCCAGTCGGATTTGAGACAGGTGGATTCCATGGATAAGCTGTAGAAGAGTGACCTTCTGTCATCATGTCCGGGGCAAAGGGAGAGTGGGCGTGAAGGTTCGGGACGCTCGCGGACGGACTTGTGTTGGCATAGGCTTCTCGTTGCTCCAATTCCGCAATTCCGGCAAGAAGACTTTGAATGCTTGCGTTGAGGTCGGCTATCTGAGCTTCATAAGTAGTGAGGTGACCAATATAGTAAGATTCTATATTTGCCCTCTCCTGTTCTATGTTCAGCCTCTCACGTTCTTTTCTCTGTGCCTCATCCAGACCCTTGGCATTAGCATCGGTGATGCGCTCGTGTTCGCCATTCAATTTAGCTATCCTAGCTTGAGCGCGCTCCTTCTTGCCTTGGATTGTGGTGAGATCACTGTTCAAAGACGAAAGGTCGCGTTCAGCTGCTTCGCGGACCTCTTGAATCTCAGCGCGAAATTTCTTGTGCTTGTCCTTTTCAGCATAGTACTCGGACTTTGATGATGAATGATTTGCAATGTCTTCAGCGGGAATGACCTCTATTGCTTTGATTTCGTCCGCCAAAGTAAGGAGCGCATCTTCGGCTTGCTTCATGTGCAGGTTGTTCTGCTGAATCTTTTGCTTGGTTCGATCATCGTTTCCTCCAGAAGTCGACATACTGTTTGCAAGTCTCTCGATTTCCTTTTTGATAGCATTCAGCTTTGATTTATGGTCTTTGCGCTCCTTTTTACATCTGTTTCGCTCGTCCGTTAGCTTCTCCTCGGCGGTTGCAATCGCGCTTTTTAAGGTCGAGGTTGGAGAGCCTGGTCGTCCTTGAGGAAGCGGCGATATCGCACCAGACGTATCGGTGTTGGCGAGTGGCAGAGTCCGAACACTGGTTGAAAAGATGACGCTGTTATCCACGGTGCTTAAGAACTCGCACTCAAAATTGGAAGCAGCTGCTAGACCTTTGATTCTCCCCCTCCATCGCTTGTCTTGGCTGGTAGACGCTCCGGATTCATCGTTGCTCTCAATTTCCACGAATCTCCAACTAGCTTTATTGATTCGAACCATGAATGGCTTCGACTTGTCAATTCCTGATGAATCCACTGTTTTCTCCTCGCACTCCTCCGACGTATAAAATGGAAAATAGCTCGTGCTGAAGCAAATCTCGTCCGAACCCACATGTGTGATCCAAATACGATCCGCCTCGGTATTAAACGGTGCATTTCCGAGGTTGTGAATACCTTTAGCATTTGCTCCAGCAGACTCGGCTGCCGTGTGTGATGTTTCATACTCTTTGATCATCACGATTTTCGTACTTGCTAATGCTGCCCACAGCGGCTGCCTCACACGAACCTGTGCATTTTGCTTTCTCTTCTTTTTCGAATTCCCAGCGGTGCCCGACGTGAAGTTCACCGAATCGTCGACGGTCTGTGTGCTTGGCGTGGAAGAATCATTGGTAGAATCTCCTGACACCTTGCCTGCTTCGGGGTCGCTAATTGATGTGGATGTCTCTCTTTTTTCTCTTAATTTTCCTTGAACATATAAATCTCGAATGAATCGTACAACGCCCTGCGTAAGAATGTGAACAGCTAAGATATTCTGTATCCACATATGCATACCCCCCTTCTTACTCCTGGTCGGTGCAATTGGCTCGAGAGGGTCGTCCGGGTCCGGGGAAGCTCCAAGTATACGGTTCGAAGACGAAGATATCAGCGCGCGAATTCCCGATTGCTTCGCATCCCCGTTGCGAGCGAAATGAGAAGCCCCTACAAGACTAAAACAGACTAGCACATTTTTTATCCCCGCTTCCCTACTGCTCGTACCTCCTCCTAATGTGAGGGCGATCACCGTTTGCGCGAGGTCCAGTGCTATCTCTTGAATTGGGGTCCATAGGAAGAGCCATATAAGCAAGACAATCATGTCGATTACCACAATTGTAGCAACCGAAGGCGTGCCCATGGCCCCTTCAAAGATATCGGAGAAACCCATTCCAGAAGTGGTGGATCCTGACGCCGGCACGAAGGTCAAAGTGGCGAACAGGAGGTGTACGATCGAGAGGACGGTGGGTGGAAGCTGTAGGAGGACGATGAGAATGGCAATGGTGTCGTAGAGAGGGCACGACCGGAGGACGGTAAGCGCGAGATTGAGAGGACCAAGATCACGGTGCACCGCGGGATTCTTGGTAGCATTTACATCGATTCGGCGGTGGTTCTCCTGGGAAACGGAAATGGTTGGGTGGTTGTGAAATGAATCGGATGAGGAGGACTCGGAAGTGGCACCAAACGATGGCCTTCGAGCCGGGCGAGACCCCATCTTGACATCTGCGGATTTTCCATCACCCATATGCAACTGTCGCGCATTTCCGTTTGTTGCTGGCGGAGGACTGGAAGGCATCGGCGGTGGTGTTGACGAACTGCTGTCTGCGGGCTTGGCGGATCCATTGATGTGACCATTGCTCCTCTGTCTCTGCACCCTCTTGCCAGGTCCTACGAGACCACTCTCATGTCTAGTATCGCGCTGGTTCGCAACACCTGGCTGTCGCTTGGTCGTGGCAGGGCGAGGAGGCATACGTCTTGCTGACCCAGAGCGACTTCCGAGTCAGCGAAGAGCTGGAGCTGGGGCACCGCAGCCTTGACGATGGGCGGCGTGGGTGGTGTACACGCCAATAGCTATGTATGGCGACGTCGACCTGGATGAAGATATATTTGAAGTCGTACGGGCCTCATTCGAAGGTCGAGGCCGCGCGTGACGAAGAGGATAAGTGGTGTGGGTGGGCGGAGAGGCGGTGGTGTTGTGGTGAAGATGTTGATGTTCGCACGAGGTACTGTGCACCTCTCTTTTCCTCTCCTGGTACAAAGTTGGTATGAAATGCTCTGTGCACGGAGAAGGAGCTGGCTGGGTGTTACAGTGGTGTGTTTTGCGCCAATGGGGAAATGCTTCGAGGGATTGGCGACACTACGGCGACTCTACCAGATTCTGACTCCACACCACTGCAGACACCCACTGCAGACACCCACTTTCGTGATGAGATGATGCACTTACATTTGATCCCTTCGAATCCCATCAGTTACCGTTATTTGATGTTGATTTAATTTTGCAGTAGTTTTAAAAATCAAGATACAATTTTCTTCGTGATAATTCAGTGTGTATTACCTGGTAACTTTGATCTATGAATTTCCTCAGTCAGGTTCTAAACACCCTGACTCTCCCCTTCTTGGCATCGACTAGATCTTCTCCTAGACCTTCTCGCTTTGTCCATACAAATTTTGTAAAGTCTCTGCCAGACTTGTTAGTCATTGCCCCGCGCACCAGTCAGGATTTGCTTCATTGCTTCATTTTGCTGGACTATTTTCATTTCATTTAGCAAATCCTTATTGAGTCAATACGAGGTGGTTTGGGGTCATTTCTTCTGGAAGATTATGGTTCTCGCAATGCATCTTCTAGCCACCTGGAAGTCCCTTGAAGTCAACCCGGTTGCATTACTTTCAAGCGTTCTTACTTCCAACATGGCATAGCCTTGTGAGAACCATGCGTACTCGTACTCAGACGTTCTCGTACAACATCAACCAGATCCTCCTTGACGCAGGGGCAAAGGCACAGTTGTCCGCAGTCTTTTCTCACATAAGCAACTTCACATAATCAATCTATCTAAAGAGGCACATCACGAGTCTTGACGGCATCGTCGGCTATCATCGCTCACATCGCACAACGTACTCCGTACTGTACCAGCGGACAAGAACAAGCACAAGCACATCAATCTAGCACTACCGGTGTGCGGTGCGGTCACTGCCGATCGCCTCGGCACGGTACCTGTTCTGTCACGTGGCCTACTCCCTACATTGACAGCGGCCGCGGGAACAGGCGGTGACATGTGGATGTGATAACAACATCGAAATTACCTTCTCTCTTCATGACCTGACAAAATCTTCCTCTCCATATTTCTCCCCATGATTCCCTCCTCGCAACAAGCGCGGTCAAAGCCCTGTCATGCGACCTCATCTTAATCCCCCGTCGCTAAGCTCCCCATCGTCGATCATGATATAACTTTTCACAGATAAGCGTTGTGACGATGGTTCCCCAGCTGCAGATATTGCGACTCTGCGTGTCTGTCTTGCAGCATAGGTAGCTCCGTACTGCAAACTTATCTGCACCAACGGAGGAGAACATGATTACAAGTGTGCGGAGAAATCCCGGTCCAAGACAAAATCACCAACCATCATCCGTTCTGCATCGGCACTTGTTCAGCCTTCATTGATTGACTCCCGACAACGGCTTCTTTTGGTGTGGGTGGGCAGCAAGATCATTCGATGAGGGTTGGAGAATCAAAGACTACCGTGTGAGAGTTGCCCGTGAAGCGGTTCGATACACTTGAAGCCATCACGACATCAGTCCATCTACAAGAGTAACATATCAAACCTGAGTTTGCAAGATCCTCAAGGATATCCCATCGTCTTCTCCGCTCACAAGACCCCCTCAATGCCAAGCTCAACAGGTTTGCCCTCCATCAAACACTCGATCCGCTCCAAACACCACAAAGGATACCTAGGAATCCATCCACCAGCGGTACTGGCGTATGGCGCGGCTGAATCATCCCACCGCATCGCGTCCCACAAACAAATCACATATCCTGATTGGGTTTCTGCGACGACAAGTTTTCTCCCACAGTGGACAACGCATCGACGACTTCGATCGTCTGATTCGGTCATCGCATATGCATGGCCTGCGAATTGGGGAAGGGGATTTACATGACATGGATTGGATCTTCTTTTCAAAAGCTTCGGCTCGGTTTTGTTTGGTTGCTGAAGATGGGGTTCGATTTTTAGTTGGGTTTTAAGGGTCAGGTGTCACGTGGGTCACCAGTGGTCTTGCCACGGGTGGTTTCCATCTGTGGGGATAGGTAAGTATAAATCGGTCTATTTGCATTCTTGTAATCAAAGAGTAAGGTAACAGCTAATACAGACTCTGAGACCGGGACTAACGTTTGATATTCACAATCCTTGAACCTAGGCCTAGGCAGGCCATTCAATCCATTTCAAGCACTAAAATTACCATTGAAAACACTTAACAAAGTATTGTATTACTTTAATAAATACTATCTTCACCCACCCTTTACAAGTAGGATATTCTCCTGGACTCTTACATACATCCGAACCGAAGCGATCTTAGCACCCACGCACTTATTCTGGCACTCCAGGAACCTCGGCGCCCATGCTAATGCCGACCTGCGATGTTGGAAAGTCGAAAACGAGTTATGTGCCGCAAGGTGGCGAGGTGTCTTTTGTATCTGATGCTTGTGAAGCGATACACCCAATCTGGGAAATCAGTTGGACGTTCGATCTCGCTGTAGGAGTATGATGTCGTTTCCCACTCGTACTACTACAGAAAACTCCGTAGCGAGTGAAGAGAGAGCTTGTCGTCGCTATCGAATCTATTAAGTATCCGAGATCTACTGACATCTACTATTAGCTGGACCAAGATACCATCTCTAAGCTGAGAAAACGTTTGCACGAGGTCTTTCCTATAAGTTCTAGACGATTGAGAATCTGTGGATATTAAGCAATGTAGGTGTAGTGGTCGCTAATGAGAATCCACGTAGTATGAAAAGACAGCACCTTAAGCTCGCGAGTTGTGGTCCTGTTCAATGTGTAATATTCGGGTTAACAAAGATGATGTTTTGACTCCGAGAGTGGAGTGGCTATATAGGTCTACTTGACGAGTGCGAGAATGAAATACAGTTATTGCGGTCAATGGCTGACGATTCCATCCATATACCATGACCAGTGACCACGAACAACTTTCCAACTTTCCAAGCTTACCACCTCAAATATACAATTCTCATCTTTCCTTCTTGTAGACCAAGAGTTTCGAGTGATTTAACTTTCGTATATTGACTAGGGTTTGGAGCAATGAAGGGGGTGTTAACAGATGGGCTTTGGGGTTAAGTACGTGGGTATCTGAATTTGTACGTTTTAGGGGTAGATTGGTGAGTGTATTTATCCATAGTCAGGAGAGCACTTGGGAATCTGGGAGTGTTACATCTGAGTTTTGTTTTACGAGGACAATGATTAAAAGACTAGGTAGGTTGGTCTTAAGAGAGTCATTTACTTAATGATAGACGGCGTTTAGTGAGTTTATATATTAAAAAAAAGGAGGTTATTAGTTTCAAGTATAGTGTTTCAGTAGTTATTGTGGAAATATTAATATGTAAGGAGTTAAATGTGATTCCTTATATAGTAAAATGTAAACACTAATGCTTCGAGTGTTGAGTAAGATGCAAGAACTTACAGTACTTTTGTCATGAGATCGTAAATAGCGAATAGGAAAGTTTGAAATACCGGTACGCTTTCTCGTTTCGCCCAATCTCAAATAAAAGCTGCTACCAAGTGTGCTATTATATAGTAATCTTACATTCACATGTGATATGTAAGTAAAATAACCAGAGTTCAGACTGAAATAAAACAAAGAGCGAGAGATTCCCTAAGTAAACATTCAGCATCGCTGGCAGCTCAAACCTATTGACTGAGTGAATTGACATGTAGTGAGTGTTAAGGGTTGAACTTGCCACGGTTCTACCATGGATGGCTGAGATACCTGAATTGCAGCACTAGACCATAGATCATCGACCATGAGAATGCTGTTTGTTCTGTAATATCTTGCGAATTGCTTTCTCGAATTCTCTCACGGACATCACGAGCTTCCCAATTCGCTACTTTGCTACAGAACCGAAATGTACTAGTATCGGCTGCCATTATTATCATTTAGCATATATTCATATGTCAACCCTTATTGCTGGGCCTATACAAATTAAGGAGGTGTAAAGTATAACACTCGAAACCCCCAGATTGCAATTAAATCCGCGGCGCGGGCTCCCTTTTATAGAGTCTTTACATATGGAGGAGCTATCCGGAGACATAATTTCCACTACCCTGCTTCAACGAGTGAGTCGTAGGATCGTTCTTCGGAATTTTGGAACTTGCAGTCCAGAAGCTCAAGATCAGAGGTCCCAGAATCGGCTGACAGCATCGCACCGAGTTCTAAATCAGCTAATAGCGAACCTTCGCACTTTCAGTACACGAAATTACTAAAAGATCTAAACCCCTTCCTCGCAGAAATACTAACGCTGCCAGCGACTGGTGGAAAATGACTAGGACGGACTGCTTGCAGTCATTTCTCGCTGTCTCTTCGTCCGCCTGGGGGAGCTTTTCTGTACCTGGGACAACCTCTGCTTGCCATAGCGAGGTGTTATTTCCATGTTGATATTGTCATTGACTGATAGGTGATTTACTGGTCGTGCTGTTATTACCTTTTGCATTCGTCGATCTCAATACCAGAAATCCAAAGATGGCAGTCAAATGATTGGTTTCCTCAAATGCTAAGCGATATTCAGGGAGTGTACAGAGTGGTTGGCTGTGAGCAGCAAGAGTCATTGAAACTTCTGCCTTGTAAGTCTTGCTGCAAGTGAGATTATTTAATCTATCATGACAAGTGCATACACAAATTGACATACCTGTAACAACATACCCACCTAACCGCTTTATTAACGCCCAACTCCCAATTCATAACCCCATCTACACTCCCCCCATATCCTCCACCGCCCCCTCGCGATCCCAACTCTCCTTCTCCAACTTCCTCACCGCCTCCTCAATCTCCTGAATCCTCTTGACAACCCTCTTCTTCTCCCTCTCCTGCTCCTCCCACGTCCGTCTAAAGCCCTCCATCATAAACGGCCTAACCGCCACCTTCTTCCCAAGCTTATAATCATAAACCACGATATCCTCCTCACACCTCGCAGCCGGTCTCTGTTTCGACTCGGACATAATCATGACATCAAGCAGGAAACTAGACGAGTCGTCCGAGGGCATCTCGCGCAGTTTATGGAACACGGAGATTTGATCGGGGTATGTCATGGGCTGCCACATATCAGCCAAATCCAAAACCACAAAATGAAAGAGTAGAGATGTGACGCACAAACTTATAATCCACCCTAATACTCTTCAAAATCATCCCCGTCCCCCTCGAACTACACAACTCCTCCCAGCGCCCCGCACTCCCTTTATCAAAGTGCACACCGAAATTCCGCACCCAGCCCACCCGCGCACTCTCCGCATATCGCACGTACATCACGTTATTCACATGACCCTATCCCCATCAGCCTTTGCCTTTCCCCCCAAAACTCTCGACTCAAAGTCAAAATGCGAGATTCACAAACCATACTATCCATCTCCCCCCACACGACCTTCTGGCGCACCAACCCGGCGCGTTTCGGGTCCACGAGAAACCCTTCGCGGCCAGCGACTAGGGACCGCCATTCTGTGGCTAGGATGCGTAGGATGGGGGCGAGAGAGGCGGTTTGAGGGGGCGTGAGGCCGAAGGAGATGCATTTTCCGAGGCGCGATTTGGTGGTTGAGAGCCATTTGGAGGTGGGGAGGGGATGGGGTGGTGGGGTTGAGAGGTTCGGGGGTGTGGTGTGGAATTTTCGGAGGAGAGAGGGGAGTCGTGGTTTCATTGTTGGGTGGATTGTAAGAATTGGAAGACGGGGAGGAGGGGAGGTTCAAGATGGGAGCTGTGAGCTTGAAGCTTCCCCAGGAAACCGAATAACCCCCGCGTTTTTGAGCCCCGCGAAAGGCGTCATTGGCAGCTTGGTTGAGCTGAAGGTACTTATGTATTTACCAATTCCTATTTTCAGACTAAAAGTGTAGAAAGAAACTCGTACCTAGAGGATGATTTGATAGAAAATCATTCTTTTCGACAATCTGCAGCGACAGAATCCATAAACCACTAATTCATCCCATGTTCACCTTAAACAAACCTCGGATGTGGGGCACGTCGTATTGTCGGTGACATCGCATCTTGCTCGCATCACCACAAGCTTCACAACACAACAACAGCTTTCCCAGCTCTCCCAGCTCCAATCCAACCCCGGCCTATACCTTCGAACCTGCAACCACTGATCTTGATCTCAAAAGCTCGATTCCTTCACCCGCCGCAATTACAATGGCCACCCCAAGCACCGCCCTTCGAAGCCAGGTAATCACCATCTACAAAGGCACATTGTCCTCCTTCTTAATACTCGCGCCCGTATTGACATGTTATATCGCAGAACTTCTGTACCTGGGTCGCGAATACCCATTGGGTTTCGATTACTTTCGCCCGCGATTACACAAGGCGTTCATGAGCAATGCGAAGATATCGGATGAAGAGGAGATACGAAAGGGGATCGAGAGGGCGGAGTTTGTGAAGAAAGGTATGGAAGACAAATCTTATGCGGGGAATTGGAGTGCTAATTCGAGACTAGAAATTGAGGCTCTGTAAGGACATTAAGATATATGGATATCTATTTCTGTAGCCCTGATTTCCAACTAACCAGGGTATATCTAGGTACTATCTAAAAAGATACCGAGTTCTACGCAAACGATACGACAAAGCCTGAGGAATACGAGATACGACGAGATATAGATCCCGAATCCGACGTATATAGTTCTATGGATACACCCGCTGCAGCTCGCTGCATAGTGATCCTAAATGCAACCCCACCAACCCAGCTCGCCACAGACGAAACGGGATATACGGGTAAATAGACAGCAGACAATGGTCCAACCAAAAGGGTCATGCATCGTCACGTACAACCTCAAGCGGACGGTTTTTTCTTCCGTGCCCACCACGCTCCAACCTCGAGACACTCACCCCAAGACGTGCCGTTGTTCTTGAGCAGATCATTCATCATGTTCCCCTGCCAGCGATCCCACTCGTCCTGGCCCTTTCCGCTCGCCTCTTTCAGCATGGGCTCGAGACTTTCGATCATCTGGACTACTGTTAGGAGCGCTGTCCTCCGTAAAGCTGCTTGACCCGCCGTCAGGATTTTTCGATCCGATTCTTTGGATTTGCCCTTTGCGTTGGCTCCTTGGGTGACGGTACCACCGACTCCTTCCCTCTCCCATCGTACTTCGCCTAAAGGAATCGCGAGTCGCCTCTGATCTATCTCGACGAGATCTTCTGATTCTTGGAGGAGCATGGCTCGCATGGTGGTGCAGGGCATGGGTGTTAATTTTCTCAGTTCTAGAGACTTCGTCATCCATGTATTATAATCCGCTAGGTATTGGTTTTGGGCTGTGGCCAAAGGTGTTTGTGGTGTCAACGTATATGTCCCCATCGCATTCGTATGGAGTTGTTCTTCGTCCTCGCTGTCGTCTGGTGATTCCTTCGTTGATGGCGGAGTATGTGGTAGTAACATTCGTAATGCATGATCACCGTCCCATATTTCCAATGTTCCGCCTGGCTTCAAGACCCGTAAATATTCGTCCATCAGCGCCTGTAGCATTGCCCCTGTAGGCATAATCAAACTCATGTCCTTGATCATGATCAAGTTGAATTCATCATCGCGTAGTGGCAATGGTGTCCGACGTAGATCGTGCTGTATAAACCGCCAATTCATATCGTCATCCGATTCCATTCTCGGTGCCAGCGGTGCAATATCAATGCCCGTAAACGCTATCGATGAGAACCCCCGCTGGGAAAAATGCCTGTGACACATGACGCTCCAAAATCCCGTTCCACAACCAACCTCCAAGACGCGTTTCGGTGGCTTGCTGTCGAATGCAGGCGAGCAGATCGGCCCATTGAACACTTGACATAACAACATCGTCCTCAGCGTCTGTCTATGTATCTCGGTCAGGTCGCAGGGAAGCGGATATGGTAATGTCGTGTCTCGTAGGTACCGTCTGCCATTTTTTCGGGCAAATGGGTTTGTGAGTTGCACATCTGGGGGAGGGGCTTCGCTCGAGGTGACTTGCGTCAGCCCACTTGATGCCGTATTGCTGGAGATGCTGCTCGACCGGCCGGCCGCATCGCCCCTGGCTGCCGCCGCAGCATGCGATTCTGCTATCGAGTTGGCATGTTTGCTTCGCGAGCTGCCGGTGGAGGACGAGGTGCGGTTGGCCTGGGCACGAGCTTGTGCTTGAGCGCGGGTTTTCGAGGATTGGTTGGCAGCGTGCTTGTAATCGGGTAGGGGCGTGGTGGATGATGGGAGAAACATGCGATCGTGTAGCTCTTTCTCGGTGGATTGGGAGCTGGTGGTGGTGGTGAGCGAGGTGGTGATGTTGGAACTGAGACTCGATGCCGAGGACTGGAGGTCGGTGTAGATGGCGTGTTTTGAAGAAATCGACTTCGAGGTCCGGTGTGACTTCTTGACCAACACTTTGTGCTTCACAGACGGTGTCTTGGAAGGTCCATTTACTGTTCTCTGGTTGTGGGTGGAAGAAGAGGGGTTTTTTGAGTTGTTGGAATTTACACAGACGTAACTGGCAAAGAAGGCGGCCTCTGCCATAATTGTCGCTGGGGCACTGGCACTTCTAGGGGTTGCTCTAGACCTTGGAGGGGGTTGTTGCAGCGGATCCAGCCGGTACGGTCGCTAACTGGTCGGCGGTGCAGCGTGCTTGGAGCTTGTCTGGTAACGATGCCAGGCTAATCTGCGAATCTCAAAAGTCTGGAGAACACCCCTCCGCATCACGACCCAATGGAGGAGGCAAGACGGTGTTTTTGGCAGTCCTCATCGGTGAATGTGACCTTGAGAAGCACCTGGGCACTGGAATCTGGCCGATCTCCCACTCCCTCCGACCGTTTCTGTCAAACTCGAAACTCGGTCCCGCACGACCACGATCCTCGACGATGCGCTTGGCGGTGGGAATTGACACGTGAATTGGGCTGAAGCTGGAGGCGGAGGCTTAATGGTCGTTCTCCGGATTGGGACGTCAAAAATACGAAGATTGTGGCCAGGTCAGCTTCCTTCGTCAACGATGAGCGAGAACCTGGAGTATAAGTAGTGCTTAGCATGAGGAGGCGGTATTCTTATCGACGCAACTGCGGAAACCATCCTCATTTGGAAGGTCCGGGAAGAATCGTGAATTCTAATACGCTCCCCTCATCAGTGCAAATATCCTCATCGGTTCGCAAGTTGGAGTCTCAGATACATTTCAGCTTCGTGGGATGGGCCATGCTAATGCAGGGTTCGGAAGAGATACAGGGCTCAGTTGCTTTTTGCTTGGTTGCCTTTTTCGAAATGCTTAACAGAATACTTTATTCCAGGCAAAGACGCGGCGATGGTTACAAACCCGCGTTTTGTGTCATGCCTATCTACTGTTTAGTTGATGCTAGGTTGGTCCCCCACATTCGGTCAGCTATCGCAAAAGCGATAGTGATCTCGGTTTAGTGTAGTAATGAGAAAATGATATTGGGCAGCCTTGTGCGCTGATTGGAAGCAAGCTTCAGTATAGTAAGACGATCTTCTTGCAAAGGAATGTACATCATGCTGTGTCCGTCCCTGCCTTGAATTTACAAGCAGTCGTTCTGGTACGTAGTGAGAGCAAAAACACTTCTATACGTTCAAACTTGGTAGAAGATATGATGATAGCTACAAGTGAGAACACGCTTTTAGCATACAGTCTAAAGAGAGTGCAATATTGTAAACAGGTTCGATGAGAAAAGACCAGAAGGAAAACGAACCTAAGAAGTGATAGGAACTGAGCAACGGGAAAGGTTGTAACAGAACGGACATTCTCGAGAGACAAATTCAGACATCACTTCCCTTCCTCTACGGAAACTCCTCTACGGAAGCACTACCATGAGCGACTGCTAAAATTTGAGCACTTTTTGCCCAAACTATCTAGCCGTCGAAGGCCAGTGCCTTCGCTCGAAACCGATTGAATTTTGATAACGGCTCATTGATATCGTAAAAATGCTTGTGGATAGTCGAATCAATAGCCCGGGACTTCAAAAAGTTAACCACATCAATGGACTGATCATAGTAATCCAACGTAAATTTTTCGATGTTTCATGAGTGAATGCAGGAGTTATCGAATTGCACCTGTATTTGGAACGAGACCGACAATTGTGCATCATGCCTCGAGTACCACAACAACGACGGGTAGCTCCTCTATCCAAATTAATTGAAGATATTCAGCAGCGCGGAAACTGAAACGACCGATAAAGTTTGATTCTCTGTCGCTCGCCGAAGTCGGGATTGTGTCTTGTAATACGCCAGACCTACCTAGCTAGCTAGAAATGTGAGTAGTTGTTGTTGATCTCCTGAAATTATCCGGAACCTGAAAGTATTTGGGCCACTTGTTGCAGCCCAACATTAGGAGTTGGATGAAACAAAGAGTTCGCTTCGTGGATGCTAGGAAGTCTCGCGGCAATTGAAACAACGAAAAGTACAGGCGCGTGTCTTGTAAAGCCATGGGGCTCACAGATGAGCTCAGAAACAACCAAGGGAATGAATTTTGAATTATCGATAAAACTGATAATACAGGAGGTATATAGTGAAAACAGACCGTCAAATGGATGGCTTTTCCCCATACTTAGAAACGAGTCTAACAGTTAGAACGACCATCGTCTGGTCGCGTGCGGTGTGTTGCAAACGTCAAGTCGACGGTTCGAGCCGACGGATCGAGCAGCTTCGAAGACGGTCGCTTACCGCAGCGTTTAAATCACGTGGCTGGACCAGGATCGCGCTAAACCATCTCTATTGACGGGAACAGCATCTACAACACCAAAGCACACGGTAACCCATTAGCAGCATCTCGACAACCTCCTGCTCGACCGATATTGCCATTGATAGTCTATTTGCGCAGTACCTCGTTACGGAATCCGGTATGTATTACATGTGCTGCTCCCACTCGAATAGCAAAAACAGTTCACCCAGCTTGGATCTTGCGCTTCGAGCTCACACCTTCTCTAGACCCTCAACAGACTCCGCTGCTAGACCTCGACCTTCATACCTCCCCAAGCATTAATCACTGCCTCGAATCTCGTCTCTCACGCTGCCCCAAGACCAATCCCACGACCAATTGTAGCTACTTGCCAGCTACCCCCCATACACGCCTCCAAGTCCGACAGCACTTGGAGTGCACAGGTTTTCCGTGCTGGCAAGCACCAAGATTCTATCGCGATAGATGCTCAAGATTCACATACAGCAGACCTATGTGCCAACGAAGAAAGTTCCGATCCCCGCTCTCCAGTGCACCTCCACCGACCTCCACCCCAGCAAACCGAATTCTTACTCTCCTCGCGCGGCCTACACTATATTGTACGCGCGCACCCCCATACCAAATATAACCGTGGAGGAATTAGATGGCCGATGGGTACAGATATCTACAGCAGAGCGCTGGGAACCATTTTTACCCTCAACAATACACGGCGAACCATCACGCGCGCCAGCAGATAATACGCAACAGCACTCCCCCCAACAACCTCCGATCCGCCTTCTCTACTGAAACTCCATCACCTTCTCGATCTCCTGACTCACACTCACCAGCTCCGAATTCTTACGCAATGTACGGCCCAGGACATTCAGGACAACCTGTCCGTGTGCCCGGAAGACAACCACAACAGAATATGATGTTTAATTACCCCCATGCACACCAACAGCAGCACCAGCAGCATCATGCGAACACGCAGCACGATCATTCGTCACACCCAACAAACGGCTCAGTGCTGGGGCACCACGCACACTATTCGTCGGGCGTCTTGTCAAATGCGACCCCAAGTTTTACACCAAGCAATTTGCAAAATGGACATACATCGACAACTCGCGGGGGCCAAGCACAGGCGATAACAGAATATTGGGCAGAGCAGATGAGACTGCACAAAGAATCCGAAACTGCGAACCAGTCTATGGTGGAACACGGGGCACCAAATCATTTTGCGAGAGCCAGAGCTGGGGAAAACCGAGGTTTAACTACGAGTGCCGACACAGGTTCGACAGACGAGAATAGTGAGGACCGGAGTCGTCCTTACCGACAAGAAATGGTAAAGCGCCAGGATTGGCACAGTATGGACATCAGTGGCCAAGGTCTCAAAGTGTTGGCCACACCGTTATTTGACTATGTGTTCCTAAGTGAACTCTATATTGCGTCAAATAGGATCACTCGTTTGCCAGAAGCGATTGGCCAATTAAGATATCTCACTCATCTGGACGCTTCATTTAATCTGCTGACGGAGTTGCCAAAGGAGCTCGGCATGTGCGTGTACCTTAAAAAGCTCCTCGTATTCAACAACCGGATTGAAACTGTCCCTTACGCTTTGGGAGCATTACATCAATTGGAGCAGTTAGGAATTGAAGGCAACCCACATCTGGACCCAGATATCAAGAGTGCGATCAGCGAGAGAGGTACAAAGGCTCTCATCAAAGAGCTGAAGGAGAGCGCTCCTGGTAGGCTTTGGAATCTTCCACACCTCAAACTATCCTCTGCTAACCTAAACAGCTCCAGCACCACCCCAGGAAAGAAAGTGGATAACGCTTCAAGATGGCCTCCCTTCAGCCAGCAACGAGACGATAAAGGTCGCCTCATTCAACATTCTCTGCGATCGAGCCTGCACCCAAGCACTTTATGGATATACACCAGATTCAGATTTAGAATGGGAAACGCGCCGGGAAAATGTCTTGAAGGAAATTCTGACCATCGATGCGGACGTCATTTCCCTCCAAGAAGTCGATACAGATACGCACTACGAATTCTTGAGCCCTAAACTCGCCTACCACGATTACAAGGGCATATATTGGCCGAGACCTAGGTCGAAAACTATGTTGGAAAAAGAAGCCAAGCGCGTTGATGGTTGTGCAATATTTTATAAGGGCAGTAAATATATTCTGCTAGATAAGCAGCTCATCGACATGGCAAATGTTGCCATCAATCGACCAGATATGAAAAACCAGCAAGACATTTTCAACCGTGTCATGCCAAGAGACAACATCGCCATTATCGCTTTCCTCGAAAACCGTATTACCGGCTCGAGAATAATCATTGTCAATACTCATCTCCACTGGGACCCCAAATACGCCGATGTCAAGTTAATTCAAACGGCCATCGTAATGGAAAAGGTGGAGGTTTTGGCAGAGAAATGGACGAAACGATCCGCATGTACAGACAGAGAGAAGAAAGCCGGGTTGATGGACGAGAATGGAATTCCAGAAACAAACTTTGCAAACTTCACGCCATCAATGGAGTATTCGAGCAATACGCAAATTCCATTGATCGTCAATGGCGATTTGAACTCTACAACCGGCTCAAGTGTGTATGATCTGCTTTCCAAGGGAAGTGTGAAGCCAAACCATCGCGAGCTTAGCCAGTACCAGTACGGAAACTTCACCAAGAATGGTATCGACCATCCGTTTTCGCTACGCTCAGCGTACACCGCGCTCGAAAAGACACCTGACCGTTTGCAATTCACCAATTATGTACCTAACTTTCGGGATGTTATCGATCATATATGGTACTCTACCAACACCCTGGAGCTAACGTCACTTCTTGGCGGTGTCGACCCCGAATACATGAAGACAGTACCTGGATTCCCAAACCACCATTTCCCCAGTGATCATTTGTTGATAGCATCTGAATTCTCAGTCAAGGCGAGGAAGGAAAAGAAAGTGCATGCGGAGCCGGATTTCGGGCCTTCTAGTCGGAGAAGGGATTAAATAATCGTTCTAAACCTTGAAGCAAATTCTACTGTCCATGGCATTTGATATAGGTTGGCCTGGATGCAATGTGAAAACTTCTCTCTCTACTCGTGTATCAATTGGAGAATGGCTGGTGTTTGGTTCGTCCTGGGCAAGGCAAGGACCAAAGGGTGAATGAAATCTGCATGTAAAGTTTCTCTTCCTAGGAAACAAAACTATATGCGGAAAATGGGAGATGGGTTTTGTCTGATGTTTGGTCAAAGCGGCAAGAGGGACGATGGACAACGTGGGGGTTTTGCATGTTGAGGTTGTCTTTCCTCTGAGTCGTTGGGGTGTTTTGATAGGAGGCGTTTTCCGTTTTCGTTTTTCCCTCTTTTGTCGTGGTGCTTTTTTTGAAACGTCGTTGGTTGGCTGGTGGATGGAATTGGTTTGCGTGCATACTTGCGTGTGTCTGTGTCGTTGGACTTTTATGCAGAGATATAATGGACCTGACTGACTGTTCCCTCGCTATATTCTTTGATTCTTGATTATATTGGTCTTTTGTGAAGTGAGTTTTGCGTGTGGTTAGGTATATATTATAGCGATGGTAGATGGGTGGTTCGAAAGACTGTTTGACTCATGATATGATCTTTCCAAATAGAATCTTGATCGTTCGTCCAACTTTACACTACATCTTTGACGTTCAAAAGACAAACAGAAAATTTGATACTCGAACCGTCGTATTGGAGAAAAAAGACAGCAAATACTCCACTGGTAGTTCAAAGGAGTCCACAAACAGGCCTGATAGACCTCTTGTCAATTTATACCATGACAGAAAGCTAAACTCTTACCTCGGAGTAACGCTTCTGAAACTCTCAATAACTTGCAAAACTTCCTCATCCTAGCTACATCGCATCGTCACTTTCCTGCTCACAGTGCAAATATTAAATCACAGCACACAAAAACCAAAACTCCAAGAACAAGATCTCATTTCCCACAAACCCTCCCACTAACTCTCAAAATTTTCTAAATACCACACACCCCCTGGCCAAAGCTATAGCTTTCTCTAATAACAACCATGTAACTCCCCACCCCAAACCCTCCCTTGCCAACGCAAAATATCTATCTTTACTACGAAACTCGGTTCGAATCATCGAACCTCACTTACACATCGACCACCAAACCGAGTACTCCACACACGTAAACGGAGGTCGACAGACCGTTCCACCGCGCCAGTCTCGACCGCCGCATTGATTCCATTGGTTTATGTAGTCTGGGGAGTCGTTTGGTGGGGTGGGGGGTGAGGTGTTGGATGGAGGGTCTGGGATGGTGTGGGTGTTTTTTGAGGGAGTTGCTGGTGGGTATTGCGGAGTAACTGGCGTGATTTCTGGTGGTGAAGTAGGTAATGGGTGGGAATCGGGTTCTGTCATGTCAGGTTCTGTTTCTGGAGCTGGGTGTCCGTACTGCGGGATATTTGGAGTGTTGTGGTTTTATTGCTCGGTGTTTGATGGAGTTTGGACTGGTGAGTACGGTGTGATTTCTGTTGTGGCTTCTTGTGGGGTTTTATGCGGCGTGTACTCTGGGACGTGAGAAGTAGTCTATGTATGTTGTTCGTCAGTGTTCGAAATTTGTATCGGCGTATATGGATCAACACTTTTCGTGCCCTGAGGTGGTGAGCTATGCGGTGTGTACTGTAGGGCGTTGGTAGCTGGGTGTGTAAGCTGTTCAGCAGTTGAAAGTGTTTGTATCGGTGGGTATTGTGGAACATTCGTTGTGCTTTCGGTTGATGAACTAGGTACAAGATACTCTGGAGTACTCTTCGTAGTTTTCGTTTGTGTCTCCATGCTTGTCTGGGTATACGTCCGCGTCTGAGTATATGTCGAGGTACTAGATGTCCCATGATATTCCTCATTGGATGCGGTTTCGGTCGGTTTATCAGGCGGTAGATAATGTGGGACATTATCTATAGTCTCAAAAACAGTAGATGTGTTCGTACTTGTTTGAGTATTTGTCTGGGTGGGTATAGCACTCGTCGGCTTAGGTTGTTCCTCGTGCGTTGTAGTTCTTGTCATGGTACCCGTCGAAGTTTGATGTTCAACACTCATGGTATCATGAACGGGAACTACTGAAGAAGATGGTGCCTGTGAAGAATATGGAGGCATCATCTCCTCCATCTGCGTACTCGCTGGCTTCACCGACGTAACCATCGTCGTACCCGGTCCAGCAGGTAAACTCAAACATTTAGTTACGCCATTCAGAAACCCATTATTTGCAAATACCTGACTCATATCCCAGATCATCACTCCTCCAAAACTAGAAAACGTCTTGGTATAACCAATGATCGCCTCCAAGCTACCTCCAGACATGTAACCGCTCCCGGCAGCGGTAGATGAGCCTGGGATTCCGAGGAAAATCTTCACGTTTTTATTCAACGACTCGGTCTTTGCCCACTTGTCCCAGGTTTCGAAGTTGAATATCGTTTGGGTTGTGCTACCTGGAACGTAGGATGGGAGACCACACTCGTTGTTGAAAAATTGAATGAAAATTGCGTCGAAGTAGACAGCTCCAGCGAGCATTGGTCCGACGTTCCCGTCAGGATATGGACATTGGGGAGTTGTGGTGAGGTAGAATTTCTTCTCTCCACCGGCGGTGCAGGCATCCATTGATTTGCGGAGTTGATTGGCGAAAGCAACCATATTTGGGCAAGTCATTTCAAAATCGAAATCAAACCCATCGACGGCCGCGTTGCCGAAGGGTCTTGAAGCAGTGCTTCCTACGGTTTTGGGACCGAAAATAGACCAGATGTTGTTTGCTGCTGCTACTGCTGCTTCAGGAGAAGGGAATCCTCCATCTATATAGTTTGCACCACCGATTGAGAGGAGGATAGTTTTGCCATATTGTTTTTGACATGTTTGAATATCTTCTCTGTGGAATGTGAGGGAAGGTTGATGGTGAAAAGTGGTGAGTTACTTACTCGACTTGTGAACAGTAGAGCAACGAGCTGCCAGGAATGGCAGTACATCCACCTTCAGAATTTGCTAGGTTGATCGATGGGTTATGGAGTGTAGTCAAAAATGCAATTGGAATGATCTGTTTTCAGTAAGCGCGTGAATTGGGGTGTTTTCGGTGAACGTCTACATTCAACTGAGTGGCTAGAAGCAGTTAATAAAGTAGCTTCAAAACGGACAGTGGATACTCTTACTTGCGCAATAATGAGAAAGTCTTTGCTGAGACAAAGGTCCATCTCTTTGGCCGTAGGAATTTTGTCCTGCTAGCTGTCAGCTCGTCGAACCCGAAGACATTCGACAGATCACTTGCCCCAATATACAGCGACATTGTTCGAAGCAGCTGGGTCGAATCCAGCTCTAACCCATTCAATGCAAAAGAGAAAGCTCGAAAGCAAGGAAAGACTCGGTATGGACAGCATGTTCGACTGTTGAGAAGTTTGTGATTCTCAAGGAAAAGAACGTGCGCGACGTGAAAGTTATACATCGGATCTGAGAGTTTATTCTGAATTGAGACAGTTGAGAATTGAATGATAACGACCGTCCGGTCCGTGTTGGGACAATCGAAAATGGAATGATCCTGATCGGCTGTTCTTCCGAGTTAAGAAGATTGAGAATTTAACCGAACCTGCCCGTGGAAGTATATATTCGAATTCGGTCGTTTACCGAGTCAAAAGGTTTGTGACCGAAACCAGAAGGACAAACTTTAGTGTACGGGAATTTCAAATAGAACAGATAAGCAATGTGCCTTCTATGTGAAAAGTGAAACTACCCAGGTAGTCTATGAAGGTTGCAAGCTCCTCATAACACAGATTCTCTCAAAGGCCGACTCATAGATCCGTTTTGGAAGGATTTGATTAGGCGAAACTTGGATTGTAACCGTTATTACAATTTCAAACTTGAACGAATCATTACGCTCTTGGGCAGAAGAACTAATTTCATCACATCAGTGAGATGAGTGAAACAATTCGTGGCCTCAAATCTGTAATTTCCACAATGCCAATGAAGTATTCCGAGGAGAGAAAAACATCAGTTGTGAAGCGAGTCAATTGACCGCCTGATAGAAACGGTCCAGAATAGTACCGTCTCCGCCCCGTCAACTATAGTTTAAGCGGCACAGAGAACGAACACCATTTGAAGTTCGGACTTCGTAGCTTATCGAATACAAGTCCTTGACAAGTGTCATCACAGAAATCTGAAGATGATATTGAGAGACCGAAATTTCGAATTATGCCAGTCCAAGTCCAGTAATATTGAAGGAAGAGCAAACCACTACGGCCGCGGTAGCTTCCAAAATTCGGCTCGTACTCGCGATACGAAGAGTCTAGATTTAGTCGAAGCATTTAGTGGATATAATTAGATGTAGATAATTCTTATAACATTGCCTAATGCGGATATTCGAAGGTTTAGGGGGGATTAACCGAGCCTAATTAGACAAGTTATTTTTAACACTTTACAATTTCTCGACTCTTGTAAAGGACAGAAGAGGAAATATAATATGTAAATTTCAGAAGAAGTTGGGTTAAAGAGTTCACCGATAGATTTATATTTGTAATCTTAAATTAGACGGTTGGTGAGATAGTGAATATGTGAAATAGGCTTAAGATTAAAGGTTATTAGGTCGCTTCGATTCCGACTATTAAAACTACCCTAAAGAAGCTATCCTAGGCTTTCGAATTAATTGTATACTAGTAAATAACACTAATGAAACGGTTAGCTGTTAGTTGAACTTAGGTAAATTGAAATTTCTTGGAAATAGCTTAGCCTGGGAATTGATGTTGTTTAGCTTACTAGTATAACGTATTAACGTTACAATAGAAAGTTTTCTTTAGTAGGGTGCAAGTTATTATAAAAGAGAGAAATAACATTAACTCCTGTGGCTAGACTTAGTTTCGTAGACTTCTTGTAAATAATAGTAACGTTGGCAAACATGTTTATATTAGTTAACTTACAAACTTGAAATTTAAATAGCTATTCTAATTCTACTTAGGCTAGACTTATATACAAGAAATAACTCAAGCTTTACTTGATTCTAATAAGTGTCTTTAACACAGTCAACCTTGTTATTCACTAGAGGTGACCTAAAACATAACATCTAAAACATAACATCTCCATAATGTCGCGGTAGACAAGAAGTATTAACGAAACTCCACACCATTTTCAACCTCACCATAGGGGGTATAGAGGTTCGCTGTATGATTTAGGACATTTTCGCATACAAAGTCAACCAATGCATCTATACACCTCTTGTGGAACTACAAACTAGCGCAAATATCTGCTTTTGGTTCAAGCAGAATTTGACTAGAGTCTAGAACTACGCTGTCTTATTAACTCGCAGTAAGAAACACAGTAGGATATCATGTCATTCCGATAAACCACATCATGTTCCTCGAATGCTACGTGTCTTAACAACCACTTAGAAGCCCCGACATGTACTGCTTCAGGATCGCTCACTCGTAGTAAGTATTCTCATTTCAAAGTAATAAGTTGCCTTCTGTCCAGCATACAGAGCTGATATTCCGGAGTATGTTCGTCCATACAAGGAGACGCCTGCTGAGCCTTTAACACTTCAGAAGAACAAGAGTAAAAGCGAGTGTATGTATAATTTACTTCGAAGACATTTGAGAGATAGCAGAATTTGAGCGTGATGTAGCACTCGAAAAGCGCGGCGAAGTGAATTAGTGATGAAAACGGTCGTTGCTACTTGATCAGAAACGTATCGATTTAACGTACAACCCGGATGCTACCTCCCGTCTCATTTAAACCAGAACAAAAAATACTCATAGGAAGTAGTCAGTATCTAAAGCAGCGCAGCGATCATCCTGAAGTTCCCAGCACAGATAAACGCAATGAAGCACGAGTCTGCGACTGCATGTCTATGTTTCCAATTGTCACATCACCACGGTGAGTTAACAGACAGGTGTCGAGTAAATACAACCTATAACTTCATTCAAACTCGCCTTCAAAACACATCCCTCCTGGAATAGGCATTCCCACACACTTTCAACCACAATAGCTGCATGCAAAATCAAAGCCGTGACATCAAGACATCAAACCTTCAAAACCAACTCCTGATAACCTCCACCTCCCTCCCAAACCCACTCCATCCACAACTGCACCACCACCCCACCACTCCTCCCCATCCAACCCACCTCCTCTACTTATCCGCACAACGCAAATCTCACCAACTCCAACCCTCCTATATTATCCATCCCCCCCCACCCAAAACCAAATCCACTCCCACATCCTCCCGCTCCAAAGACCCCCAATCCATATATTTCCCAGCACGCAACCTCGAATCGGAGAATTCGTCGAGATGGCTTTGTTGCACGTCGAGGCTCGTCTCCGAGAATGCCGGGTATTGAGTTGTGCCTTTCGTCCGAGGGCGCGCGGTTTTTAAGCGAGACGATGGTCTGGCAGCGCACTTTGGTAGAGGTTGAGGATATGGATATGAAGATGTGTGTTTGGGGGGTTTTATGGTCGGTGTTTTGGTTGCAGCGTGGGATTTGATGTGGTGGGAAGGAACGGAAGCGTGTTGTGAGACTGAGATGATTTCTGAGGTTGGAAAATTGATTCTTGACATTCCTTTTCTTAGATTTTTTTCCCCAGAGAAGATTCTGTATGTTTACTCAACCTGTTAATTGAATGTGGAACTGTTGGCAGCATATCGTTGTTTTACCTTACATTATTAGTGTCTTGTCCGGACTGCAACATACTGGCGGAAGATTAGTTGTATTCGGTTTTCTTTTTTGTATGTCTTGATAGTAGTCGACGTAAAATCATCCGCATGACATGATGAGATTATGCTAACATTGTGAGATTAGTTCAAACTGAAAATGTCAGTGATCTTGTAACATCTGCCTCAGGAAGCTCAGCACAACCAACCAAACAATCTCATCCTAAATGACGCGTGTAATAATCACAACAAAAAAACCACAATACTCAAAATCCACCTATCACGGCAGATTAACTCAACCGTATATCACATTCTCTGGTAAGACCCGTCGCTACGGGAACGACCTGAACTCGGGAATCGTAGATCTGCTAGATCTTGAATGAGCTAGGTTGGTTGAGCTTGTGGGATGACGAGGGGATATGAGTTGCATTTCGTGGTATTTGTATTTGTCTTTGGGATGAGATGAGCTAGGTTGTTGTGAGGTTTTGAGGTGGATTGCGGAATGAGTTGGTGAGAGGGATAAATGGTGATGGTGAGTTGAAAATAGGAGTTTGTTCGAGAACACGGTGAGTTTAGGATCTTGGTTTCATCTAGTCATATTGGACAGTTCAATCTCCATCCATCTCCTTCTAAGGGATTCTCCAAACAGCATCCTCTGCATATACCAAGACGCCGAAACCACACACCACCTTACTACCGATTTTCAGCACCCAATTCTAGAACACCTCGCACTCCGAAATATTTCAATACGATAAGGCAGACCAACAACCCATGACGTACTGGTAGCGAGGACCCAGCGCGCCGGTTCACGATCTTTAAGGGCTGCGGGAGGGGAATGGAGATCTGGCGCTAGGGAGTTTAGCTGGCGATCTTGAGGCTAGTGAGGAGTTTTGCGACTTGGGCTGTGAATTATTTGGAAGATAAGAGTGTGAAGTTGATGTATTTGTGGAGAGGATGGTAGTTTGATGGTTGAGAGGGGGATTGCTGAGGGGTTGTTATTGTGTTGTGTTGCGTTGTGTGTTAGCAGTGTGCTGTCTTCAAGCAAGGGTCAATGAATCAAACTCAATAATCTCGAATCTTTGATAAGTTTCTCTGCTCTTGGCACTATTTCCACAACAAATCTAGCCATCAACCCAAACATATACCTCGGCCTCGGCGCGGGTTTTCCTGCATACTCCCCGTTTCAATAAAATCAAGGGTCCGGAGGAGATTCCAATTCTAGAAAACCTCACAAAATTAAAGTTTTTCATTCCGATTTCCGGTCTAGAACACTGATGGAACTGTTTGGTTTCTTATCTTGCGTCGAAGTACAGTCGTACGCGTGTCAGGTTAAACAACTTGAAGATATACTGATGAATAGGATAATGCGATCAGAATATCATTTTTGTGCTCAGACGGCAGAGTGGAAGATCGAAGAATTGCAGACATGTGGGGATCTTGCGTTTAGGACCCACAACGGAGTCAGCACCGGAGTCAGCGTCGGACTTTTCTGCTCCAACGAAGCCGAACACGGCACGGTACAGGCAGGACTCACTCACCAGCACAGTCACACTGGATCAAAGCCGGGTTGATCTTGCCGTTAATTACTGTAACTGCACAGTAAATGTCGCATGAAGATATTATCCTTCTTGGGTATCATCGAGGACAAAATTGTTGTCTGAGATATGCTCGAGCATGCAGAGTAAGAGGGACGGGTATGGACGTAATGTGACTACGCCGGGTGCATAGCCTCAGCATGCCGCGTGTAGGTCCCATTGAAGATGTGTTAGGCTCCAAATGATATTGAGTATCATTGCAAAAGAGTAATTGTAATGTTTGTAATGACACGCGTGAAATGCACCGCAAGGGCATATCTCCATTCTCGATCTTGTCGTCGACCAATTTGCAGATCCTTTGACCAGGCATGTGGACCGATCTTCCCACTGATGAAATTGTGCGTCTCCTCCACGTGAGAAGTTGTGGGTTTCAAGACCCTTTCTCCGAATTTTCCACTCCGCAAACTCCAAGAAGCCGAGAATTGAGAGGTTCTCGAAGCCAAGAAGGGGATGTTTCGCTCCGTCGACCATCCGCTGGTCCACTCATCGCCGTCCCACGCAACCTGCGGATGAGTGAGGTGAGGTAACTCGTGCATTGGATGGGACCGCATTGCTTCGTAGTCAGCGAGCAGCACCGCCGTGGATTCGTGGAAGGCATGACCGTGTGTAAGAGTAGCACGGAATTCGCAACCGCGATCAACAGGAAGTCACTGATAGGGGATATGTTGTGCGTGTTGAGATGTCACTAAGATGCCATTCAGATTCGGATAGATCTTGTGGCGATTCGGCAGTAGCTTGGAGCTTCTTGTCCGTACGAATAACACGCTTGGCCACAGCGAATGAAGACGTTCGAGATGCCGTGTGCCCTTGGTTTCGTAGCCATGAGCGCTGGTTCGTCGGACAAGAGGGCTATTACGATACATGGAGGAGGTGGTGGTAGCTTTTTACGGTCAAGACCCAAAAGGCTTGGATGGTGTCGAGACGGATCTTGAACTCTCATTGGTACAGTAACCTACTGTAGCTCATGAAATCTAGCTTTAGGTTACGGAGGTCTTGGTGGCTGCGTGCGTGCGTGCGTGAATTTTCCCAAGACGATGCTCGTACTTCTGCAGTGTCCGTTGCAGCCGGTAGTAGTGCGCGTCTTCGAGGCGTGTCTCGGAGTAAGAGAGGAGATGGACTAGGTGGGAAGAAACATATAACGAACCGTTTCCCTTGGCCGGACGCAAATTTGATTTCGTTTTCTAAATTGAGAATTGTTAATTGAAATATCTTGGAACACCAGCTGCACTGCAACATTATCTGTACCATCTGTTTCTTGAAATAATATACACACATACACAGCCGCCATCACATACATATAGCCATACACGACTGCACCCTTCCGCCTCCACTGTTACTATTTTTCACCATTATCGCCTCACTGCAGAAACTGGCATAACTCGTTGCATCAATTGTGTCGACAAAGTTATATATCAAGTTATATCTCATCGCCGACCAACACTACACGTTGTCGAGAAGTCAGAGAGAGCATTCACATCCAGCTCATCCTGTCCTGCTCGACAAGGCCCGTAACGCCTATATCCGGTAGTGATCCCCGACTCGCCCGCCCAGTCCCCCCGACCAGCGCTTGCTTGGCAGCCAAAGGCGCAGAGATCGATTTTTGAAAAGGCCATCGGTGATTCAGACGCCCTAATTCGCTGCCCCGCTTCGAACCTGTCCGCAAGTGCATTTCGAGAATACTTGACCACGCCAGTGCACCGCCAGCGCCAACAAAGTACCACGCGTTCTGCACCAACATACTGCACATCAAGGCAAGAACTTGGTAATTGTCTGTGGTGAGAAGATATCAGTCTTCAACCATCACATTGTCTTCCAGAGCACACTCAATACCCTCAACATCGAATTGGCAGAGCACCTATATTAGTTCCCTTCCTACTATATGCTCCAATACTCGGTCCATCCTCACAACATGTCTTCTCCCAGACATTACCAACTCCAAGCAGAGCAAAAGTCCAGCTCACGATCTTCCTCATCCTCCTCCTCGTCCTCTTCTCAGCGTCTGCATCGCCCACAACCACACACTACCACCGGCTACTCTGATCGATCATCAACTTCCTCCGAATCCTCCTCCGCTTCGTCCTCATACTACTCCGATCCATACGCTCGCGCTTCCTTAGACTCCCGTCAATCCGCCCCTCGAGTAGAGACTCTTCGCTGCTCACGATGCGCCAAATGTGTCGAGACGGTGGTTTCTCCTACCCATGGAGGCGAATTGAGGAGGGTCAACAGTGAAGATGCCGTTGCAAGTGGAATGGTACGATTCGGACATAATCTATACTACTGTGAACGCTGTGCACGCATGGTCGGATACGCTTGAAGAGACCTCGAAACTTTGGAATCAAATATATCTACTGTGCAATGCGAGATGCATTGGCTTGGAACAACTACACGCAACTTCAGACGATAACAATTTGACGAAAATAAAATCAACAACCAAATATGGCGCCATGGAAATCACCATCATCCCATGGCATGGCAATTTGACATTGTCACCCCGAACAAAGTCCATGTCGCATCGGATTATCCACTTGCGACGCATCGCAAGCCGGTACATTCTGCACCTCGACAGCTGTGGAATTGATACTCCTCCAATCAAACCAGAACTCTACAGGCTTCATGCAGCCACGCATCGCCACCCATTCAGCTCTCGCCACAACACCAAGTCTCAATCCATTAATTGGACCGGTTGGCCGTGTACAGCAGTGTCGCATTCGGCTTCATTTGCGTCACACGATGAAAACTGAGGGGTTTTGGCTCGAACAAGATGTTGCAGCCGGCGAATTTCCTTGATTCTTGGCGTGGCTTGACCAAGAATCTTGCTTACAGGACCTTTTTTTTTTTCATGCGAAAAATGTATTATGGGATGCTTATGAGCAGGTTTTAATTGTATTATGCTCGACGGGTTTCAAACTGTTTGATACGGATTGCTACTTTTTACGAGGGAAGTGAGACCGGGGGGTGAGGATAATTGAGCCGAAGGTGGAGGGGAGATTTCAGCGGGGTGGGATTTTTGCTTTTAACTTTTACGAATGTTCTTATACCCATTGTTAGTTATTATTGAGAGAAATGAGATGATGAGATTCATGAAAGTAATTTTTTATTGTTTTATGTGACTTTGCGAACATGAAATCTCAAAAATCGTCATCATATCTGTCTTCCTTTAATGCGAAGACAACAAATTTTGACCATCTCCAGTTATCACGACCCACTTGCTCAAATACCTACTTACATAACACGACCGCATTTTAACCACCAATCCAAAGGAAACACCCCTCTCCTACAGCTAAACTAACCAGAAAATACCCACCGCATCTGTCTCTCAAAACAATCGCATTCGTGTCACGCTCATCGCATTCGTATCTCCCCTCCCCCTTTAAAGAACCCCACCTTTAAAAGAAAAAGGTACTGACAGTATTGTATCTCGTCTTAACTCCGCGTCGGCGAACTGAGGAGCAGATGAGACTAGAGCTCTACCGTAGTGTCCTGGCTACGCCAGTGGGAAGATAGATAAATGGTCCCGGCTGTTCTTATTAGTTGGTGGATGGGTTTTGGGCTAGGAGATGTAGTTCGTGATTCTTTCTTTAGGGTAGGGTTGTAAGGAATAAGTGGATGAGAATAATGTACAAGGTGTAGTAGCAAACGCCGAACCCGAGATACCCTTTTTTTTCCGATCCCGATGGGAATGTGAGGACTTTTCGATGGGGATGCGGATGCGATTGTGTGGGTTGTCGATCAGAACGTGTATGACTGCATTGTGCTGCGTGTCTTGTGTTATTGGTCATGTCATGTAATACGGTTGTGAGTTGGGTGGATATTTTCCGAGGTTTGGGTTTTGGTTGGAAGACGTTTTAGCTATTGTTGCATGTTTATCGCTGATTTCTTGATTTTGGGGGACTAGTCGGATGGGAATATGGCTTTTAGTTGTTGTTGTGTTTTGGTTTCCCCTCATGTACACACGATCCGTTACTCCAGTTTTGATCACTAACTTCATTCCATCTCTGCTCTCCTAAACAAAACAACAACCCCCAGACTACCAAAACCTAGAAAATATGACATTCTCGGTCCCACCAATCACAACCCAAACCATCAATCCCATGAGCATACTAGCACCTCGCATACGGCGTCTAGCCGCGCAAAATACAGGTACAGAAGTATACTACCCTCTTGAAACTCTCGACGCATCGCGAGATATGCGGCGGGATCTTGCGTTTTGCGATAGGTAGCGTCTTGTTCTAGCGATTAGCTTGATGCGGTAGGTAAAGCTGGGTTTCCCGAAGATGGCCCTCGGTGTAGGAGGGGGATGGGATCTCGGCGTCGTAAGATCGGGATCGAGAATGCGATTTCAGAATGGGGGTTTTTGGGTCGTAAAAGAAACCGGGTTTGGGATTTTGGCTTGTGACAAACATTGACAACCAGCAGCCTATCAATATACCGTTCGGGAAGGAGATATACCGGAGCTAGAATTTAGTCAGAAGATGTTATTTGTGTTTTTCTTTTGGATTTTGCTTAAGCGTGGGAATGGCCTTGGTTTGAGAGGGAAGTGGTGGTTTGAAGGGTAAAAAGAGGATTACTGATCTTTAATAGTTTCTCTTGTTTAGTGTATTCAATTCGGAATAACCCCGCGAAATGCGTCCCTCATCTTTTTTTAAATCTATAAATGTCATTCTAACTACTTTATCGCTAAGATACATTTCGTTGCTACACTCTAGCCACATGTTATTATCATGATTTCCCTATGACTCTCCTATTCTTCAAACACGTGATCTCACACGGTAAGACAACCGATGACGAAGTACGGACGCCGAAACACGTCACGAGTGACGTTATCTCATTCGGCGACGTGCAACAAAATTCCGGCTGATTGGGATTGGCTTCTGCGGGGGAAACGACACGTGATAGACTTACAATATATGTGACTTGGAATAGAGAAGAGGATTTTTGATAGTTGAGTAGTTGTTTGGTTATATAAGATATAGAATGCGATTTACTTCATGTTAGTAAGGTAGATAGGCCTATAAGTAGTATTATAAGAAGAGTGTATAATATTGAGACGTGTAGAAATTGTCCGTTAGGCGATCTACAAGTGTTCTAGTTTTATAATTATCTTATTTGATTCTTAAAAATTACTAAAAACGACGCAATCACAGGTTTGGACAGACATAGGTATTTATCTAAAATATTCGAAAATTTAGAAAGTCGAATTTCGTAATGACTTCCAGAGTTACACAACCCTCAAAACTACACTAGAGCTACTGTCATGACTTCGGCATTTTAAGCTGCTGATTTTTACTTCCCCTGTAGCGTCACAAGAGAAAATAAGATCTTAGATCACAGTGTACGCTCGGCTGGACTGACAAATAATACAGTAACTGTTAACCAATATTTCATATAAAATCCTGGTAAATATTCAGCGCGGCAAGGGGTATCCAACTCCCTAAATATATCCCAGAAACCCAAGTTACACACAGTTACCATTTTCAGACATTTTCAAAGTCGCATGTTGTTCAGAAATCCACATCTCATCATCCTGATTTACACCACCAAGAACCTGAGTTTCCTCTGTATTTTCACTAGCCAAGAGAACCTTCTCCAATCTCGTAAGCACGCCGCTATCTTCAAGACGTGCACCACCCGCGATATCCCCAGCCATCAACCCATTTCTTTCACAGAAATGGATGAATGCTTTCCAATTCGGGTCTTCCATCAAGACATCTATCTTTCCGATGACAATGAGCCCAAACTTTGCTCGTGTGAGTGCGACATTCATTTTATTTGGCATGCCAATAAGTCCCCAATCGGCCTTTTGGTCTCTTTGGACGAAGCGTTGTCTTGATCTTGTGGTACAAAGAATCACTACTCCTTTCTCCAAACCTTGATATGCCTCGGTCGGGCCAATATTAACATCCCAATTTCGATCTGTTTTCCGTACCTCCTGTCTCAACCGAACAACCTGGGCCTTGAATGGGCTCATGATACAAATCTCCTTCGGCTCAACAAGACCCGACTCCACGAGGCTAGATGCGTACTGAGCTGCAATCTGTGCCTCACCACGATTAAACCAACCACCGCCATCTAGTTCTAGATCGTCCGGCGAGTTATTGCTTACAAACAACACTGGCCATTTTCTGCCTTTCCATTCTGGCCATGAAGCAAGACGACCTGTGTCTTCTGCCTCGGATTCCAATGTGTCCGAATAGAACAAGGAAGAAGGGACAGCAAGAATGGCAGGATGCGATCTGTAATTGCGAATCAGATTTGTAAATGCTGGTCGGAGTATCGGAAGCATCGTTTTGCTCAGAGGAGGAGGCGCTTTCCCGGTTTCACTTCGTGCTAGCGGATGTTGTGCATAAACTGAACGTTCAAAGAGTCGTCCAAGAAGTGATTTCTTTAATGGCGAAGAAGGAAGTGATGTTCGAGGACCAAGTTGGCACTCATCTCCTACCATTACGAACAATGGCATGAACGGCACCAAGACAAATTCCCGAGGTGGGGATACAACAGAAAGGGGAAGAAGAGCTTCCGGTTCTGTCGCTTGAGCTGCTTCGTCAATGAGAAGAGCACCCCAATGTAGGTCAACTCTAGGGAGCTTCGCAGACGGATGAATAGTCTTGCGAAGGCCGTACTCAGCAGCAAACAAGTCGTAATTAGTCATCCGTGAATACAGAAGAAGCGAGGCATCTCTACATGTAGTGACAACAATTTTGAAGCACATAAGCTGTTCAAAAGGCGGCAAGGAGAACTTTTGTTCCGGCCCGTGAGTAATATGACAATAGGGCAAGACAGCTTCAGGAACCTCGGTAAAAGTTCTTGGAGGTCTATTCAGTCTCAACATCTCTTGTGGCTTTAGATGCTTAGCAAGGCGCTGAATTATCGTGTCTGCGGCTTGGTCTGATGGTGCGCATACCAAAATGTGAGATATGTTGTTGTCGTAGAAAAGAAGTTGCAGAGCAATCTCTACTAAAGTCTTGGTCTTCCCGGTGCCTGGTGGCCCGGAAATCAGGTATGGAAGAGTACCAAAGTTCTGTAGACTAATACGTTCGACGGCCAACTGCTGCTCCCGATTAAGTTGGTCGTCGAACAACTCTCTATTAAACGAAGCCGGATTCAATCTCGTCTGCATCATTCCATCTTGTTCTATGGGGAAAAGCATAGATTGAAGCCAATGACGAGGGATATCGGGACTAGCATCCGCCAAATGATCATCATACAGAACAAGGCCTTGCTGGATAATTGGTAAGACCTCTTTCATCGGAGTGTATCGCTGTACCTGGACAGGAAATTGGATGTTGAATATTGGACTATGAGCGGGCGACATGTTGAGGTCTGTGATGGCAAGAATTACTTCTTTATCCTTCCTTTGCACGCTAAATACCCGTGCTTGATGGATTATGCCTGTCCAGCCTCTTTCTCTGCGTTGGCCATGAAGGAGTTGTCGAACATCGAGCACATCATCTTCCTCGATATAAGGGCTATTCTCTCGCACACCAGGAACCTCAAAGCTAACAAAGCATTGCTGTGTCTGCTGTGAAGAGACGAGTGAACCTCGTATTATTTTGGAAGGAGAAGCTGCATAAATGGCGTATGAATTCTTTTGTAATTCCTGGGACGCTATTTCTGCCTCCAAGTGATATCGAAAATACTCCTCATAGCGCGAGCGGATAGGCTTTACCGTGGTGGATGGTGGAGAAGTGATAGGTTCGGGTATTTGAGGTAGGAAGGCTTTGCCAACATACGCTTTGGAATAATTTTCGAAATGCATTGTATTCAGTGGAGGAGTTTCTCGTACATGCCCTTGCAATGTGTTGACGAAGCTAAGAGCTTGCGGAACAAAAGGGCGAGCATAGACATCGAAAGCATGCTCGAAATCTCCCGCAACAGACTCAACCTCAACCTGAATCGATTTGGGCGGTTTTACGGCAAGCGGTTCTTGTGTCTGTTTTCCCGTAGTTGTCTGCTGAAGAGGAGGAACGTCAGGTGGTAGATTTTTGGCATTGGATCGTGGACCGGTCGTAATTTTTGGCGTTGCTGGAATAACGTTGTGTCCGTTTGATGCTGGCAATGTGTGAGGATTTCTCAATGAAATTCGAGGAACTGCCACTGGAATTACCACTCTCCCGCTGTCTGGTTCGACAATGCGGATTGCCTTATTTCTCGTTCGACTGGCCAAGGGAGGCAGCGGAGGTTGATAAGGGTTGTCATCCATGCTTCGTCCTTCTCTTCTGCAGGGGGTGACTGATCTGCGCAGGGTTGAGTCGTGGGAGTAAAACTAAGAGTGCTGGATATCACGTGTCCGGACAAGTCCGCAAAGTCGGCGACTTATTTCTGCGCTCCAGCCTCACCGTATTTCCGAACTTCCAAAGGAGTCAACATTGACTTTTGGTAACTGTCCATTTGTCTTCCCAATTGAGCTCTTACGTTCTTCCTCGAAGCGCGCGTCTTCGATAGTACAGGCTGGAGAATCTAAGCATGTCCTACACGGGGGCTACACGACCGTTGGCCAATCGTTACCTGATGTTTTACCAACATCGAGTGACGATTGTTTCATCTGGCAAAACGACGTCTCGCAATCTCTTGTAAGTTCTGTTATCTTTGTCACAGGCCCTCGGTTCTGTCATACCTCACGATGGATTTCTTCCCTTTCGTGTCTTAGTTTTGAGCCACCACAAGATGAATTGAGCAAAACTGCCACCAGTATTCCTCATTCAATCCAAAGAAGAACCCGGACTTCCGGAAAGAGAGAACCATAAAAGATTTTGACGCTGTGATGACTTCATACCTATCTATTTTCCCCTCTCTCAGATTTTATTTCGCAATTCTGATTCTACACGCGCACTACCCGCGTCAGAACCATGGCATCTTACCATATAAAGGAAGGCTTGATATCCTTGATGGTGAACACAAACAGAGGACTGGCCGAAGCACAGGAGATTCTACTCCATAGTAAGAGAGCTAGCAGGTCGAACCAGTAATCAGCTCTAGATGCCGCTCTTCACGTTGGCATCATTTACGCAATGCAAGGAAATCTGGATCAAGCAGAGATGATGTATCGCCAAGCCATTGAAGGTTATGAGGAGACGCTGGGTCCTAATCACTTGTCGAATGTGAATGCCGTCAGTAATTTAGCTGTTTTCTACGTGGATCAAGATTAATTGTCTGAAGCAGAGAACCTACATCGTCGGGTCTTGAAAATAGAGGAGAATCTGCTCGTAAAAGACGATCACCGCACTCTCTCTACAGTCAATAACCTGGGGAGTCTCTACCTGAAGTTAAGCAACCTAGCGGAAGCAGGAGGTTTGTATCTGCGTGCCCTCCAAGGATACGAGAAAACCTTTGGGCCGGACTATCAACCGACTTGACATTATGAACAATCTTGGCATTGTATATGTGAACATGGAGAAATTTGATGAAGCAGAGAAAATGCACTTGCGAGCGCTGAAGGGAAAAGAAAAAACTTTGGGATCTACGTACATATCGACTTTAGAATCCATGGAAAACCTCTACAATCTGTACATGGGGACCGAAAAGCTAGCTGAGGCAGAATTATGTGCAGACGCGTACTGGAAGGCAAACAGAGATTGCTTGGACCAGATCATCCTTCAATCCTCGCCGTGGTCCACGATTTGGGTACTATATGCGATGACCAGGGAAAATTGGACGAGGCTGAAGATTTGTTCTTGCGAGCACTGCAGGACTGGGGACGAAGTTTAGGTACATGGAATATCTCAACTCTCATGACCGGTCAAAGACTTTGTGGCGTTTATGTTGCTCAGCGTCGATTTGTGGATGCGGAAGAAATTTGCCAACAAGTATTGCATGGATATGAAAATTCGCTCGGCTCAACTGATCCTTTGACTTTGAACGCTCTCTGCCTACTCTCTGCCTATTGAGTGTAACCTATGAAAGTCAGGAAAAGATCGAAGAAGCTGAAAAGACGCACTTACTTGCGCTTGAAGGAAAAGAGAAGATGCTAGGTAACGACCATGTATCCACGATATCGACCATGAATCACTTGAGCGCTTTTTATCATAAGCAGAAAAGATCGATTGAAGCTAAGGCAATGTGCCAGCGTGTGCTCGAGGAGAGCAAACTATCGCTGGGAGAGAAACATTCGCACACTCTTGGCACAGTCAACAATCTAGGCATGCTTCGTGCAAGTCTCGGCAAGTGGGACGAAGCAGAAGAGTTATATAAATCCGCATTGCAAGGGTTTGACAGCACCATTGGAGTTGAGCAGGCAGCTACATATCGACCAGCATTGCACACTCTCTGGAACCTTGGCGATCTCTACCGAGAGCAAGGAGATTTGCACGAAGCGGAAAAAGTGTATTCTAAGACGCTGTATGGCTTTCAGTCTCTATTTGGGACGGATCATGCTATGGTCCAGAGCATTACACGGCGCTTACTCTTACTTAGATTTGCTGATTCCTATGGAGTGGCAGCTGTGAGCGTTGCGAATGCATATGAAAATCCAAATAAGTCAATGGCGGACTAGGTGGTTGGTAATTGATAATAGCCGGCATGTTTCACAGTGACAGCTTGGAACATCAAAGTTTCCATAATACCGTAAGTAACTCTAGTTACACTACTGTAAACTGTGGAAATTCGACAAGCTACATTTTGTATAACCGCAGACTCCTTGCGCCAAAAATAAAAGTGTGTATCTTGCGATGAAATCGGGCACCAACTTTAATTCAGTTTCACAGTGCTATCAAAGGAGGCATCTCAATTAGGAGTAACATGCGGAACAGCAGTACTATGGTGAGTTTGTATTACACGAGCAATTTGAGAGTAAGGCTGAATAAGGCATAAACTCCCGACGACACCTCTAGAAACAACACAACGTAGCCCTACGCAAACTTCTCTATCAATGTTCCAGTCGCTTTCGTACCATCGGCGATTTCATCATCCTCTCACTCGCCGCTGTCCAACGTATCCCTTTAATATAAGATCTCGGACTTTCCCGACGCTACAACTTTGCCAGCACAATACAATTGCATTTCGTGTGGCGAGAGAAGATGGGTCTGGTATGCAAAATCTCAATTCAGTGTCACGTATCTTGCTGATTTCACAGTGGAGGAAATTCCGGAGGCAGACCTCTACAAATATACTAGGCATCGCTGGGTGTATGTTTTTGATATCGAGGGGTTCTGGTCATCTGTGCTGACCAGTCAGACACAACGAGGCGTATAATCTATCCCAGAGATATCTCAAATTCAACCTACAGGAGCTCGTACGCGTCGCAGTCAAAGCCAAATCTGAAGACGGTGCCCGTCGATGTATGCATTCTTCAACACATGACCACGTGACAGCGAACTGACTGAGAGTTCTCAGGTGTAGAAGTCCTCAAATGCAAGGAAGGCATGAACAATAAGGCATTTCTGCTGACCATGGACAATGGGTCAGTGGTATTTGCAAAGTTGCCCAACGCATGCGCAGGGCCTGCTTTTTACACGACAGCCTCGGAAGTTGCAACCCGTACTTTCGTAGGCGGATCTTCGCATCGAATATTCAACCTGGCTAAGTTTGTTACAGCTACGCGAAATCCTGGATATCCCAACTCCTCGCATTATCGCCTGGTCTTCCGAGAAGTCCAACCCAGTGGGAGCGGAATATATACTGGAAGAGAAAGCTCAAGGCCAGCCTTTGTGGGCACTCTGGCAAGATTGGAATAGACTGTCAATCATATCTCGGTTCGGTATCATAAGGCAAATTGTCGAGTTTGAACGTAGGCTCACAGACACAGCTTTCAAGCAGTGTGGTTGTATCTACTTCAAAGCAGATGCTCCTTATGGCGAGCAGCTCGCAACGACAAGAACGGCAGCACCCTCGTCCCTGGAACAATTCAGAATGGGCCCATTGGTGACGATGGATTACTGGCAAAAAGAAAAGGCTACCATGGATATGAATAGAGGACCTTGTAAGCAGATTTGCTTGTTGTGGAATCTTTCAAATTAATGTTTACAGTTCACGGCGCCGTTGACTTCATCGAAAATAAAGCGATCAGCGAGAAGATGTTTCTTGAACAGCATGGCCATTCAAGGTTAAATTACGCTCGTTCGCGGGTAGAGCCTGAGATGCCTGAGGAAATGCTGGATCTATTAGACACACATCTTAAGCTCACTCCAGCTATGGTCCCACCGCCTACAACCGAGGACATTGATGCCTTTACATTGTGGCATTCCGACCTCCATCTTGACAATATATTTGTCGATCCCAACACTTTGCAAATCACTAGCGTGATTGACTGGCAATCAACTGCAGCAACTTCTTTCTTCTGTCATTGTGAAGTGCCAAAGATGGTGCGACACCGAGAACCAGTCTCACTTGATCTTTCAGACTTGCCAAAGCGGCGCGATTGTGCCAAGGATGCCAGTCAAAACGAAATAGACTTCGCTGAGAAGATGCATAGAAGTGAGCACCTACATCAGTACTATCTCCAAATCACGAGGAGGGATAACTCAAGGCATTGGGCTGCTCTAAAGCTAGACGATGAGATACAAGTCCAACCGGTTAAGATTGTGCAACAACTGTGGGAAAGCAATACTATGTTCTTTCTACGACGAGCGCTCATGCGGATTGTCACTAATTGGGAAAGGCTCTGCCCTGATTCTGGCCCTTGTCCTGTAAGTTTCAGTGACGAGAATATCTCTCTGTTCAACCGTGAGGTAGAAAAGAGGGGGTTTGTCTCCGATACGTTGAACCTGATCCAGAATAATTATGGCTTGAATCCTGACGGGACAGTTGTACCGAGCAAGTATAATGAGATGCAAGCCGAGCTGAATCGTTTAAAGGCTGTTTGCTTAGAAGCCGCGGAAACTGATGAAGAGAGAATCGATGTTGAGAAGTTGTGGCCATTCCAGGATACTGTCGACGGAGAGTCACTGGCTACATGATCGCCATTCGTATAAGCTTTATGGCATTATCTAAGTTGCTATGATATCAGGCCATGTACGCAAATCTCTTGAACTATCTTTGAACATACAAGCTATTCTGTCTTTGCCAGCGTTGCGGACGGGTGTATTTCATGTGGCCCCTTGCCCATCCCACTTTCGACGAACAACTTCATTCATACACGAACTATCGCAGAAAGCAAAATTCTGATAGCACATTATACTGATAAAGCTGGGTGCTCGGTAGCTGTTTTGGAATAGTTCATATTAGTGTAAGCAATTGATATTCCAGAAGATCACAAGCGTCGAGATGGAATAAAGTAAATTTGGAAAATGGCCAAAAGTACAGTGTTAGATACTAGGTGATGTTATTTCATTATTGGCGAAGATTATCGAGAAACTTATCAGTGTTAGAGAAGATGAGAGCTGCGAAGCAGCGAAGATGAAATTCCTCATCTATCTGTCCTATGCGCAACTCACATTCAACTGACGCTTTTATCCGGAGCATGCTTGTAATTTTGGATGATGATGTGAATCATGTGATGTCTTGTCGGATGTTTTATATCAACTTCTTATCACACTGTCGGTGGGTAAAATGAGTTGCAGCAAAAACATGGTACTCGAGACAAAAGATGGGATTGTTTTGTGTAATATATTAGCCATATATCATTATATCTCGTTAAATGAGTTGTTGACTCCCCTCGGTCAATAAGACGTCTCTAGACCGTATTCAAACTAGACTCATGGTTGATTTTACTTTCCTAACCTAAATTATAACTTATCTGGAAAGTTCTGCCACTTATTTTATGTTCTATATCACACTTCACCTGCTAGTGTGAACTCTCTTGAACAAATTCCTTTTAACAAAACTTTTAGGTGCGACTTATTTGCCTCTGCTTTTTGACATCAATCTTCTTTGGGTCTAATCCATTATTCATATACACACATACGTTTTTGGCTTCCATACGATTCCTACAAACAACCCATCAACAAGAACAACTCCCCAAACCGACACTTCGTCACAAATTGCAAACACACCGATTCCTATTTGCAATCCTACCAACACGTGTATTTCCTGTAAATTAAGATCAAAAGACTTGTGATTCCAAGGAGTGGTATAGTAAATCTGTCCCGCATCATACTCCCCGCGCCATCTTTGACATTCCAACCCGCATCCACGGAATGTTCAGACTGATTTGGGATTCGGAGGCGAACGATGATACGGGAATTGAGCCGATAAATGCTTTTAATGGGTCTGGGTCAGATTCCGTGTTGAAGTATCATTCGAGTAGTTTTTTAAACACGTCAATGATGAGGAGTTCGAATGTCACTACAACAATGTGAGTCGATATCCCATTTAGACGTTGATTACAAAAATATTTGTGGTAACTGGTAAGCGAGTGTGAGGCGAATCTGAGAACCAAATAAGACGACTAGTTGATGAGAAGTTGAATTTTATAGATACTAGAATGACGATTATTGTTTCCCAAATTGGTGGATACTTGAAAGATATTGGTGAGCTACCTCTGTCTAAGAACATGACTGACGAAGGTATGAATGAGTAACCCATATACAAAAGCCGCTAAAGCGTCTAACGATTCTAGCTCCCTCTACATCTGTGACTCGATCTCAAAAGCTTGCTCCAACAACCCACAATATTCGCAGCCACATCACCACAGCTCAAACCACTTCAAACCACTTCCTACTAGTCTTAATAATTTAAACCAATTTCACCTCCCCCTGTACCATCTTCTTCTATCTACTTGAGACAATGCATTTGTAAATAACTTGCTAATTCTCAACTCATCTCCGTAGATCAAACGTGTACAAATCTCAGAGGCAATGTGTCAGTTACTTTTGTGAATTGACCACCTACTTAGCCCCCCATCTAATCCATTAGAGACAGTTAGAAGAGATTTGATTATCTGCTGAGCTGGGCGCCTACTCGGCAATTGAGTCTGGAGATATAAGCTCTCCAATTATTGTCTCGACCGTGAAATGTTTCGAGCATGATTAGCAGAGGGCAGATTGGATATCACACATTAGCAGTTTTCTTTCTAGATAGCAGTACAGCTGACTAGAGACATACCTGAGGATGAGAATGGTCTGTCTGCGCTTAAGTGATCGAATTTCACATCGGCACACCCAACTATTGATTCAGTATTTCATTCACCAATCCATGCGGATTTGTCCCTATGTACCTAACACAGTCCACGACCCCACCAGTATTTGTACAACTCCACCAAGCCTCAAAGCCCTCAAGCCCGAGTTTATCCAGCCAGCTGCATCTGAAAAAGTGATCCAAAAGGCCAGCACGCTTTTCCTCAACCCGTGATTTTCGCTTGCTCCATAAAAACAACAACAACAATAAAAGCCTAACGTGTATCAACCTCTTCACAAATCTGCCAAAAAGAGAAGACTGTCCATTTGGAAGCACCTCCTGGGGAATCAATAAGAACAAAAGGAATGAAGAGAGTCGTAATGTCGTGATAGGTAGAGTAAAAGAGACAATTTGTACGTTTGTAAGTGAGGATCATTAATAGTAGCGGACCTTGGTCCAGAACTAACAAGAATCGGTATGTGATTTTGGAATCCAAGAATAGGATGCATGAGAATAGGTGCCGCTCGGCTAACTGTATCTTCGAGTGTGCCAAGATAACCCTAAAAGGAGGTACTAGGAGCGTAATTCACATTATAACACAGCAACCGCACCCTCCTTCTTTTTTCTTGGGCTCAGGTGCTTCTGGCGCCTGGACTGGCGGCTTTGGGCTTGGCAAGGGTCCAACTCCCTGTGGTTTTCCCATATGTGGTGTAGTGCCGAGACGCGGTGAAGGGGCAACTTTTGGCATGACAGAATAGCTCTCCGTTCTCCCAGCTGTGCCAGGTCTCCCAGAGCTCAAAGCAGGGCTTTTTGGAGCCTTCAGAGGCCATTCCGCCGATGGCTGCTCTGGTGTTTTTGGATATGGCTCGAGCATAATTGGTGGTGGAACATGCTTTTCAGGTAGTTGCTCGTCATTTAGTGGTCGAAATGAAGTATCATAGGTATTGCCGAATCTTCCTTCCTTCTCCCATTGCTCCTGCTGTAATCTTTTTGCTACAGTTGGGAGAAGTTGTTGATCTGGTGGTAGTCGCGGATCCGGCTTGTACATTGTTGCTAACCATGGTGGATCACCCTCAGGACGTTTAGTGATGCTATCCGGGCGCTTGGTAAGACTTCCAGTGGTCCCCAGCTCGCCAGATCGGGTCGAAGGTCTTTGGCCTGAGTTAGTATCTCTGCCGGGTGTTTTGTTTTTCGACTTTGGCGGAACAGACGCACCCCCAGTTACCTTTCTCGGCGCAGGAGTCTTTTTGGCAGGCGAGTTGTCTGAAATTACTCGGCTTGCCGGTGTGGGTGTTGATGTCGCATCTTCCAATATTTTGATGCTTTGACTTCGACCACGGGTTTTGGTGTTAGTTATGGGCTCGTCATCAGACATCAATGGATTGCTGTTCCTTCTCCGTAGCACCTTATCCCGCTCCAGATGTTCCATTGGTATTGGCAGAGGGCTTGTTTTAAGCACAGGTATCCTAGACACTCCCTTCACGCCGCCACTCATGTCTCGATAACCTTCTGATGGGTCCGCAGCAATTTCGGCAGGTAAGCGCAAATCCCATGCCTCTGGCGCAGAACTTTCTTCATCTAATGGCGCGTCTTCCTCAATACGCCGTCTCTTCTGGCCACTTTGTTCGCTTCTATGACCGTTCGCCTGCGCGTCGCGACTATGCTCCCGTCGACTCGATTTGCTAGTAGCTCGTGTCCGTGGAAGAACGATGCCAGCCGCCTGGAGTTCTTGGCTTTCTATCCGCGCAAGTTTGTCTCTGTGTATCCATCTTGAATGTTCTGGGTCCTCCACATCGTAGGCGTCCTTGCCCACTAGTGCGCGGTCTCCATAATCTACACTATTCATCGCGCTCCGATTCTCACCGTACAGATCTAAAAGGCTATCGGGTGCGCTAGGTGTGTCACTAATGCTGCTTCCTTTGCGAGCGAGAGCGTTCACGCGAGCGGGGGCAAGATGGCCGGACGAGGAAGGTTGAGAAAAGCTATCCGCTCGCTTTGAAGCCATGTCAGATCGTGAAGATTTGTGGCCCAGGGCGTGTCCATTGGCTTGTGATAAGGGAGGTCTTGCATGGTCGTTTGCTTTTGAGTGTGGAACGTTCTGTGCGGGCCGAATTAGTACACATGATGAAACAAACGCAAACACGCAATGATAGACAAGCTACGTAAAGCTCAGATCGGCTCACCTCTGATTGCGAGGGTAAAGAATAGTTCCACGAAGCCGCTCCTCCATGAGAACTTGTCGGCGGTGTCAATGCACTTTGGGCATGCGGTGCAGAGACCGCAGCCATTATCCTGCGACGGACTCAAGCTTTTCACGGTAATTTCCTAGCAATGGGCGTAGGAAAAGTAGGTAACCACGTGTCGCTGTGAAGAAGTAGTCTGATGGCACGATGAAGCCCTGGTCACACGCTTCGCGAAGAGCTTCGTAGAGTTTCCCGGAGTATCGTCGAAAAAACGGCTGTGGTTGCCGTAGTCTCGCTGAGATTTAAGCTGCACCAAGAGGCATTGATTGACTCCGTGACGAAGAGCGCCGTGTATTTGAGATGTGTATAATGGCAAGATCGTCGAATCTCCAGCCCATATGTCTGAGGTAGCTCGTACGGCACTTTGTTTGGTGGAAGGACGTGCTGCACCGTCGATTGGCAGGAAATTGAGGTGGCCGGGAAGAGAATTGGCGAGTTTAATGGTGTTGACGGGATATATGTGACGGATGGAATGGCTGTCCTGCTCGATATTCGTGTTGGATCGGTAGCGCTGATGAATCGCAATCAACCTGCTCTTGCGATTTGTCTAGATGGTTGATGTACTTGGAAGTAAAAAGGGGAAGGTTGTTGTGCTGGAATTGTCGTCGTCGAATGAGATGCGGATGAGCAGCGGCGAGCTACTGAGGGGAACAGGGGTCACGGCCATTTTTGTCCCAAGTGCGGGCAGCAGAGCTCAAGTCGGACGCAGACCGCGATGAACCCAGCTGCCTTATTCATGCAGCCTCGAACGAAATTGAATACATCGACGACAACACAGTCTCGGGCCCAAACTGCCAGTCCATCGCGCACGATTTCCTCGTCTGAGCATCACCACGACTTCTCACTATGCCAGCAATATCGAACCCATCCTAGCTACAATTTCGTCCGTGAGACGGGGGGAAAGAGCGATGGAAGCTGTGATCGGTCCATGACATTTGGGTGGTGTCATTTTCGAACTGCACAATCAGAGTGTTCGCCTTTCCGGTTAGGACTCTTGCCTTCGAAACAACAATAACACCTTTTACGGCCGTGCCATGGTGAGCTTTCTGACCGTTGTGGAATACAATGCATATCATTCGTATGCGTAGGGTCTGGCGGACGAGCGACTGGACCTGAATTACCGTTAATACAACCCCTCCGCCCTCTGTCTTGCCAGAAACACCTTTAACTCTCGCCATCCCTACACATCCTACCTTTCATCATGGCAGCTCCTACCACGCGACGAACACGCTTCGTCTGCATCTCCGATACTCACAATGCCGCGCCCGGTGGGCCCTTCAAACTTCCGAAAGGAGATGTCTTGATTCATGCCGGAGATATGACGAATCAAGGCTCTTTTAAAGAATTACAAAGAGCTGTCAATTGGATCGAGGAGGCAGACTTCGAGTGTAAACTCATTATTGCCGGTTTGCATATCCTGTAATGTTCTCAGACCGAAGACTGATCTCCAGTAGGCAACCACGACATTACCCTCGATTCGGACTTCTATAGTCAGTATGGACAATACTTTCACAATCAAGACCTGCAGGACCCCGAGAAGTGTCAAGAGTTATTCACAAACTCGTCATCCATAACATGGTTAAGACACGAAGCCGCTGTTGTTAGACTGACCTCTCCGGATGGGCCTCGTACTACCTTCAGAATATTCGGATCCCCTTTATCACCAACGAATGGAATGTGGGCTTTTGGATATGGCTTGGAGGAGGCGCACAATATCTGGGACCGAATACCTCTCGATTCTGACATTGTTCTAACGCATACCCCTGCCAAGTACCATCGCGATGAGACCAGCACGAGGCGAGCAGCTGGCTGCGAAGCATTACGAACCGCTCTCTGGAGAATTAGACCTCGTCTTGCTATCTGTGGTCATGTTCACGAGGGAAGAGGCGTAGAACGCGTACTCTGGGATTTAGACAATCCCAATATCAAGTTCAAGGAAGCTAGTGCTGAACCCTGGGTCGATCCGGGACTTGGTAATAAAAAAATGTCCTTGGTTGATCTGTCCGTCAGAGGTGGATCCCCACTGAAAAACGACGGTTCTATCGGAACGTGGCGACTGGAGCGAGATGAAGATGGTTCTCAACGACCGTCTTTCGTGCCATATCATCCTACAATGCCTATGGCTGACGCGTCAACACCTAAATCGAGAAAGCGTACTGCATCAAGAAGTCCGCACCGTCAAAACGTGGTTGAGCGAGCACTGTCTTGTGTAGCTACGGGCCTACTAGCAGTTCCTCCGGAGGCTCTACCCCTAGCTACACTTGGACAGGGCGGTCTACCTCCTTCGAAACGCTGCGATTTAGAAGCGTTGTCTGGAAGAATAGGACGACGCGAAACATGCATCATCAATGCTGCCATTATGGCGTCTTCTTACCCTCATGGAGTGGGTGGAAAGAAGTACAACAAGCCTATTGTGGTTGACATAGACTTGCCTGTCTGGGACGAATAAATGCTGAATCCAATAGTTTCTTCAAATCCAATCTCTTCTATGTGCTGATGTTTGTTCTTTCTCTCCTTTTTTTGCTCGTCCCTTAGCCTCTATTTTCTGTCATATATCGTCCGACTATTACACACTATGCATACCTCCTGGTCCCTTCCATATGCAAAGAATCATGATTTTGTCGTATATTCAGACGGCCAACATGGGATGTGTCCCACCAATCTTTAACCCACCATTGGCTGTTACAGCAACAATAATCTGAATGGTTTTGTCGATGGATGTTGGAATGCTGCTTAATCTGGTAGTGTGTTTCGCTGATATCATGTATTATTTTATGTAATAGAGCAGATACGTCGCAGGATCTGAAAATCTGGCATGAGTGAATAGGTCTGAGGTTTTATTTTAAGAAGAAAACTTCATTCAGGGTGGTTTCAGAGACCCCCTTCTTGGGTACCTTATCATCTGTTCTCTTATTCAACATCAACCCCAATTTCGTTTGGTACTCTTCCAGCACTATTCCCTTTTCTTTGCTGCATCTGACAACAATTGCTCCACTCTTTCCTCGTCTTCTCGATGTGATGCTTTACGCAGCTCAGTCGTGAGAATTTTGATACGTTCCTCTTTCCAAACACTTTGGAGAATATCCCCTGATCTTCAAGATAAATCTGCATCGTTGTTTCTCCGAAATTATCATTTGCCTTCGAAAACGCTTTTATCATCAACCCTGTACTAATAAGGTTGTGTTTCCGTTCTTTTGGCCTTTTCCCTTCATACACTATGTTCGTTGATTGTATTTCATGTAACAAAAGTTCTACGATGTGTAGCTGATCAAAGTCTAAAGCTTGTCCCGAGGTCTACCACTGATACTCGTCATCTGCGTGAAACACGTCAGCGCATCTCTCAACTAGTACTTTAGCCATTCCACGAAATCCTGCTCTTGCAGCATGTGAGAAGGCGGTTAGCTGTCAGGCATCTTTGATATCGAGCTCAGGCTTCAGTAGTACCTTAGAAAATGCTTCGTAAAAAATGCATTCAGCCATCTGAAGCGTACTGCTCTGCCAGGTAGTGGAGGGCATTTCTCGATTGGTTATCTTTGTCGTTTACCAATTTCTCCGAGTCCTTCGCCAGGTCCTTCTCCGGGTGCAAGTCAAATGTCTTCTGTAGTTTTTATTGTACCGTGCTTACATGTGTACACCAAAACCCCTGATCTCATCAACTCACGGAATTTGAGGAGACTTCGGGGCTTACCGGATTGCAAGAGAATACCTATCATTGCGACACCCCAATGGCAAATTTCGACCTTCTTTGGTGACCAATATTCATCGACAAGTTAGGGCTTAGAGTCAAGTTTCTCTCGAGCGGTTCTCTGGAACCATTCAACTTCCAGGATGCTATAGAAGTAGTCTCGATATCATGGAAGTTTCCTCGGATTTTCCATGCCCCGCTCTTGCCGAGAGACTGTCCCAACGTCTCCACGCGTGGATCCTCGCCGAGACAATAATGCAGCCCCTACCAGATACACGTGCGATTCCACCCTCATTCCACAGTTCAGTGGTGGTATCGCTGGTACGAGAGAGAAGTTCAAATTCAGCTGTCCCTGGGCGGCTCTCCTGGGCCCTGCCGATAAATGTCTTGAGCGAGGAACTTCCCGCGACACGGATCATAGATACGACAGCGGTAATGATTCCTAGAGGACCCATGGAGAAGATTTCGCTGTCCCAGATGCTGACCGATTCCGAGAGCCATTGATTTGTTACCGTCTCTCCAAAACGGGCAACAATTGGCGCGTGAGAAAATGTTAGCCATTTCCAGGTGGATCGGCAGAAGACACTACTAACTCCGTGGAGGGGTTGTTAACAAAGTCATCGCAAGCTCCAGCTTTGACGGTGGCTAATAGGCCTGAAAGACAGAAGTAGTAGAAGAGCTTTCTGAAACACATCATCAAATTTATTTAGCCTTTCTAGGTTATCAGTAGAGTAAAATTAAGTCAAAAGATCAAGGTATCGTCAAAGTTACAGCTTTCAAGTCTCAAACTGTGTTGCCATCCAAGCTTACTCAGTAGATTGTGACAAGGCTGTGCGAAACTGAGCAAACCTGAAGGTGGAGATGCTCTTAACTTGTGCTCTTAGGCACTTAAGACTTGCCAAAGTATCAACGCATTTTTGAGTGATATTGGAGAGCGGAGTTCAACGTTTGTGGCACTTTCCACTACCAAGATCTGTAAAGATTCTCACTCTAAGAGTCGTAGACTATCCACGAAAGAGGAGAAACAGTGCATTTGTTCGCTTTTGGGTTTTCATGTCCACGAGACATGAATTCGGCTTACTTTAAATATCACCAATATCCAGACAGAATGGAAGATGCGGAGGCTAGAGCAAGTAAGCAAGCCATTTGTGTATTTCGAACTTTCGACTAGCCGCTTGTGTTCCATGTCGTGTAACTATGAAGCAAACGCTTTTTCTCTGACTGTAATGAATTGAATCTTGTTTGTTCTGAAGTTTGTATTGCGTTATTTCATATATGCGAGTCTCCGTCGATACAGACTGCAATAACCGCTGGCGAAACAAGAACATGATTTTCTGTACCCGGATTCGTTGATCTAGCATCGCTACTTGGCCATCAGTAAATAAGCTTTTCATGAGTTTAACGGATTTTGAAATTCTACCCATTCTTTGTGTTCGTGAAGCAGGCGGCATTGCTTGCTCAGCTCTAGCTTATTAGATGAATATCTTCTGTAGAAATCTTCTTCATCGCAAGCCCGATGTACCAACCTTGGGATCTTATTTTAACAAAGAAGGAGAAGGCAATCGTTAGCTTTAACATGACTACTCGTCAGTCTTCGTACCTTGGCCGGTAGTACGGTTGCCTACTTTATAGTATCTTAATTAACGTGTATCTTAATTAACGTTAAATGAGGTTTGTACGTTATTATAAGCTGGCCTAGAGTAGAAGTAAGCGAGCTTATCGGAGGTTTAAGAAGACTAATTACTACCGGTTCCGGCCCGGAAGTAGCTAATTCTAGGCTCGAAGGTAGATAAGTTTCTAGAGTTTATAAGTATTATATAGAAATATAAATCTTAGTATATACGAAGTATATAGGATCATCCCTAGGCTATATAGTAATATACCTAATTTGAATTTTATTTTTTAACTATAAGATTTAACCCTGTTTAGAGTTTATAGCCCGGCCAGGCCGACTCGGAAGATGTAAGTAGGTAGCTACGTAGTGTTTTGGTTCTGTGTATAGAACCAAAACAGCAAACAACAACCGAAGTTGACCGAAACAATTTATTTGCCAGACGATTTGTTACGTAGATGAATGAGTGTACAGTAATAGATTCATTGTAAAGGCGGAATGTGATTTGCGGGGTCAGCCGTTACTACCCGCCCCTACTTATTAATAGGTTACCTCGGCCTATTCAGTTCTGCTGTTACCTTTACGACTTGCACACAACCCCACCATTTGTACACCAAACATACAGGAGAACTACGGTATTAAGTGACTCGAAACATGGCTCCATCTACAGTACCACTTGGATACTACATTTGGAAGCGCTTGGCATCACTTGGTATTGAGCATGTTTTCGGTGTTCCAGGCGATTTCAATTGTACACCCTATCCCCCATGGTCTATAATACATGGCTTGGCTAACTCTCCTCACTTAGTGACATTGCTGGATCAAATATATGACGTCCCTGAATTAACATGGATCGGTACTTGCAATGAGCTTAACGGAGCATATGCAGCGGATGGATATGCTCGAATTAAGGGCAACCCAGCGGCTCTGCTCACCACTTATGGTGTAGGAGAGCTGTCGGCTATGAATGGTGTTGCTGGTGCAATGGCTGAGCACGCCGGCATGATTCATCTCGTGGGAATGACTTCAAGACCGAGTAAGATTGATAAATCTGGTGAGGTTAAGGCCGAAGGAATATTCTGACTGACATTCCGTTTGCTAGTTCAAAAAGCCAAGGCTCTCATCCATCATACTATGTATCCTGAGATGGATCACGCGATTTACATTGGGATGTCCGAACCTGTCCGTAAGACGTATGCATATCTTATGGATGATAGCACCATGGCTGAGGAGATTGATCGAGTCCTTATCGAAGGTGTCAAAAGTCGATTGCCGGTCTTCATCTACATCCCTTTAGACATTGTCTCGGTCCAGCTGGATGCGACTCGCTTAGAGACACCTCTTGACACCACCATAAAAAATGAGAGTACTGATGTGGAAGATGAGATTGTCAAATCAACTCTTGAGCTAATCAAGTCTGCTGCGAAACCTGCAGTTCTTGCAGATGTGTTGACTATCCGACACAAGGGTCGAGATTTGATGAGAGAACTTGTGGATTTAACACACTTTCAGAGCTTCTCCACTCCATTGTCAAAAGGCGTTATTGATGAGACACTGCCAACATATGGAGGAGTATATAATGGAATTGGTAGATATTCACCTCCAGTAAACTGTAAATACTGACTTGCATTCAGCTTCCTTTCCTGGTGTAGCCGATGCCGTACACGCGTCGGATCTGGTCCTGAATATAGGACCGTTGTTGTCCGACTCGAACACAGGTGGTTTCACTAGATTTATCAAAGATGAGCATCTCGTCTACTTGGGTCACGAGTACTGTCAAGTACAAGGGAAGAAATATGATGGCGTGCATTTATTGCCTGTTTTAAAAAAGCTCGTGGAAGAACTGAAGAAGGATACAGGAAAATACAACATACCAAGATCACCTAAATCCACTAAAATTGAGGTCAGTATCAACGAAACAAGAGAATCCTACTAACAAGTATGTAAGGTACCCATTCTCAGCAACCTAAAATCAGGCAAGATAGAGCAATCGTACACATGGCAACGACTCGGCAAATTCCTCAAGCCCAACGACATAATCCTCGCCGAATCTGGCACCGCTCAATTCGGCATGCCCGATGCCACCTTTCCCCCAAACTCTCAATTCATCACTCAAATCTTCTGGAGTTCCATCGGATACACCGTCGGAGCCTGTCTCGGCGCCCTGGTAGCAGCCAAAGAGCTGAAGCACCCAGGAAGAGTAGTCTTAATCGTCGGCGAAGGCTCCTTGCAAATGACAGTCCAGGAAATCGGATCGTACATCCGATACGGCTTCAAACCGATCATTTTCGTGATCAATAATAACGGGTACTCTATCGAACGCGCCATCAACGGACCAAAGCAAAAGTACAACGACGTTAGTATGCTGTGGGATCACCAGAAGATGCTCGAGTTCTTCGGCGCGAGACAGGAGACGGGGATTGCGAGTAAGAGTTATCGCTGTGAGACTGTTGAAGAGCTTGAGAAAGTTCTGACGGATGAGGATTTCAATTCTACGAATAGTATTCAGGTAAGTCGTTCTATCGTGCGAGGCTCGTGGATGGTGGCTGACTTGTGTGTAGCTGTGTGAGATTGTGATGGATCAGTTTGATTATCCATGGAGGTTGACGAGGCAGCTTGAGCTTGCGAGAGCTAGATTGGCGGGGAAGCAGATTGATCAGAATGGGATTGTGGGGGAATGATGGAGTATCGAAAGGAATGAGATTCTTGGGATCGATTTCCAGAGCGATGTGTGTTGATATTTTATCATTTTGTTGGCTTCCATGAACGTGGAAACGGACTTGTAATACAAGATACAATTGCCATCATGCCTCACGTCTTCTTTGTTTAAGCATGGACGCTATTTTTGGGTCATCTTCTGCACCGAGTGGAGAAGTTAAGCTTAACAGTAGACGCCTGACTTGACGTCTAGCTGCCAAGGACTTTGACGCCTGAGGGGGCTTGTAATGCAGAGACTGGTGATTCTGATGGTGATGGTATATGCCAAAAATTCGGATTTTACTTAGAGGTCAATTCGGGCGTGGCATAGAGGATTTGGGTATTACGTCTTCTGTTCATGTGCCAGTTGATGGCTCTTCGTAGCATGCGGGTTGTTAACTTCGTTCAGGTGAGCAATTCTAGTGGGTAGCTTCAACTGACCAAGATGGCAATCCCCACAAGCAATTGCCCGGTACAAACTTGAGAAGCATTGGTGGTTAGTCAAGGGAAAGCACGACTGAGTGAGCAGAAATATTGCGATGAGGCTGTCGTGGCAGGAGGTTATCGCTTAACAAAATAGCCAAACAGTGCAGTAGCATGACTTTTTGCTCAATATGGGTATTACGATTATATGACTAGTAATTTTACGCTCACAAGCAGCCGTCGCAAACATTTAGACGCCAAATTCTCATTCCAAAAGGGATATTGCATTCGCTGAGGCCTAAGACCATTATCATTTCCAATCCCAGTCCGATCCAAAGGCCCTGGCGATTTGACGGGTATCCAAGGGTATAACGCCAGGAGATGTATGTTTTCCTATCATGAACCAGACCAGACCGTTCCATTATCCAACCCCATTTTGTTTTCCGTCCAGCGCATAATCCAATATGTTTGTTTACAAAGCGAAGATGGCGGCGAAAACACCAGCGACACCGACGGCGGACATGCCGAAGCGTACGTTCTCGGCGTTGGCGGCGGATGATGAGGTGGTTGCGGGTGCGCCAGAGGTGGTAGCAGGGCCAGCTGATTAAATGGTCAGTTTACACTCAAATTCCGAATCGGATTATGATCACTCACCTCCACCGGTAGTGGCAGATGTACCGGTCTGGACAGAACCAGAGGATGTTCCAGATCGGGACGCGGTTCCAGTTTGTGCGGCGCTTGGGCTTCCACTTCCACTTGAAGAGACTACCGCACCAGAGGCGCTGGTAGGGACGACAACACCACCAGTATAACCTGGACGAGCATCGGTGGTGGCGGTGACCGTGGCCGCAGACGATCTGCAGGCTTTTTGGCAGTTCTCGAAAGCCAAGTTCTCAGCGGCGGTACCGTTTCCTTGGGTGCAAGTGTTGGTGATGCAGGCGATGGCTGGGTTTGGGACGCCGACTGGGTCGACAATGCACGCGTCTCTGCACTTGGTGTCGGTCGCAGGGCCTGGGAGAAGTCAGTTTCGCGTTCCATCCGAAAGATCGAGCGTTGAAGACTTACAGGCTGCCAAACAGGCGGCTTGGGTCGCTTGAACTGGAGAGACGGATTGAGTGCCAGATGCGACGGACTCGGTGGTGCTCTGGGCGCGGACTGAGAGAGCAGCCATGACTCCGGAGACGATGATGGTTGAGATACGCATGTTGAGGGTATTAAGTATCTTCTTGTAGATGGGACAGGTAGATGTGTAAGTAAGTAGTGCGAGGATTAAGACAGAAGCAGAAGTCAAACGAGGCGACAATGATGCGAATTAACGAGTGTGGGTTGATGAACGAGCGTGTTGAAGAGGAAAGAAGGGATGAATTGAGGGCGGATGGTTCGAGGTTTTATTCAAGGGATGAATACGAAGGGGAAGGGGACGCGGAAGGGAGGAAGGGGTAAACAAAAATAGACGGCATGAAGCTCACGAGCCACATTTGGCCTGCCCATGAGTGTGGGGAGAGATTGGGTGGGTGAATGGGCCACCGTGAATGGTGCAAATCGCCCTGGTGGAACGAAAAACACGGCAGCCCAGCGTTGACACGACCCCTGAAGCTAGTCGACTCCAGATGGGTACGTAGTAGTCAAAGTCGTACGGGACATTGGATCAAGGCGCATCGATCGATTCGTATTCCCATGTTGGATTCGCTTGAAAATTCGCCTTGCACCCTTTCTATACGACGGATAATTCTTGGAACGATTCAACTAACTATGTTGGGAGAGAGTGACAAGAATGTACTTTGTTCTCGTTAATTTCGTTGCCGATGTTCATTCGAAGCTAGAAAAGATGTGCTTTGCAGCGGAGATGAAGTTGCCGCTGCCATGACCTTAGCCCCTCGGTTCGAAGAGGTGAAACATGGGTAATGAGGTGAGCTTTTCATGTCATTTTCGCCATGTTCTTCTGTGTCCACATCGAGGTACATTGAACATATCACTGGAATAGAAAACGTTGCATGCCGAATGGTGTATCGTTCGGGACGCTTGATACTCCGAGCCTTCGAGACAGTCCGGGTATAAAAAGTGTCTTCACACGCTGGCTTGAGAGTTACATGGAATTGATGGGCTCATGTCTAGCATATATGATAGTGCATCTATGGCAGTATGTTTTCATCAATCCTATGGTGGCATTTTCCGCTATATATCCATTTTACATTCAGGCGAGTAAGTTATATTACTGCTGCAATGTTAACCAGTCATATTCCCATTTTTCACACCAAATTGGTAATATTGCTCATAGTATGTATATCTCGACATAAAAAGTGTCTTCTGTTGGTAATTACTTACCGGAAGCTCACTTAGAATAACGTACGGCTTTCTGCACAAAGGGGACAAGTATTGCAATTTATGTTGTGGCTAATTCGACAAACTATCTCAGAACCTCCTCAGTACTTCTTACGTGTCCAACACATGAGTCCAATTTAGAAATGCAAGAAAACCACAGTTTTATCAATATACTAGCAAACAGCCTCCACCTAACTCGAGCATTTATTCATACTTCATGACGTAACTTCATCCCACTCCTACCTAGCTAACGCGGGGTAACACTTCCTACCAGCGTACAATCTCGTATTAGTTGAAATCAACAATATGTCGAGTAACAATAATTCATTCACGAGCACCGCCTGCTCCGTGCTCATCATCGGTGGAGGAAATGCAGGTTTTTGTGCCGCGCTGGCCGCTTCTCAAAAGACATCTGGTCGTGTCCTGCTGATAGATGCATGTCCTCCTTCTTGGGCAGGCGGCAATACATATTTTACTGCAGGAGCATTTCGTACCGCGCATGGTGGGTTAGATGATCTATTGCATTTGCTTTCGAATGTTGATAGTGAGACTGCAAAGACGATTGACCTTGCCGCGTACCCTGAGGAAGAGTTTCTTCGGGATCTAGATAGAGTGACTAGAGGTCAGTATGATAAGGAGCTGGGCAGGGAATTGGTTGAGGAGAGTAATGGGGTGGTGAAATGGTTGGCCTCCCAGGGATTGATATTCGAATTGAGCTTTAATCGGCAGGTGAGTCTCCACCCTTCATCGCTTTCAATTTCTGACACAACCAGGCTTACAAAGTGGATGGTCGTTACAAATTCTTTGGTGGAATATGTTTGAAGACAAAAGATGGCGGTGCTGGTCTTGTTGACTTTCACCAAAAGGCAGCCAAATCACATGGAATAGAAGTCTTATATTCCACACCTGCGAGATCAATCTCTAAAAATACCGAAACAGGACATATCACCGTCACCGCGGAGCAAGAAGGCGAATCTTTCACCATCCAGACAAAATCCATCGTCCTAGCAGCAGGCGGATTCGAATCCTCAACAACACTTCGAAGCCAACACATGGGGTCCCATTGGGAAAAAGCCCACGTCCGAGGCACTCCATACAACAAAGGCGAAGTCCTCTCCCTAGCACTCGACCAACTCAAAGCCAAACCTACAGGCGACTGGGGCGGGTGTCACGCCGTAGCCTGGGACGCCAACGCGCCCAAAGATTGTGGAGATAGACAAGTTTCAAACGAATTCACGAAATCTGGATATCCCCTTGGAATTACACTGAACATCCACGGCCTGAGATTTTTTGATGAAGGTAGTGATCTGCGGAATTACACTTATGCCAAATTCGGGAGGGCGATCTTGGCGCAGCCTGAGGGAGAGGCATTTCAGATTTGGGACCAAAAGGGGGTAAAGTGGCTCAGGAGTGAGGAATATAGGGATGGTGTTGTGGAGAAAATTCACGGTGATACGATGGAAGAGTTGGCTGGGAAACTACTTGCCAAGGGGCTGAAAGACAAAGAGGCCTTCATTCGAACTGTAGAGGGATACAACAACTCCGTCTACGCCCATCGCAACGAACATCCAGACGCAAAATGGGACCCCGCTATCCTTGACACCCTCTCAACACAATCCTCCACCTCGACCCTGGAAATCCCTAAATCCAACTGGGCGCTCCCCCTAGACAAAGCTCCTTTCATGGCAGTCAAAGTCGGCTGCGGCGTCACGTTTACGTTTGGTGGTTTGGCCATTGATCCTAAGACTGCCGGGGTGATATCAGCGGAAGACGGAAGCGTTATTCCCGGAGTATTCTGTGCGGGGGAGATGGTTGGCGGTTTGTTTTATGAAAACTATCCGGGCGGGAGCGGGTTGACTTCTGGTGCTGTTTTTGGGAGGAAGGCGGGGATTGGGGCTGCTGTTTTTGCGGAGGAAAAAGGACTGTGAGGGTTTGGGAGAGGTTCATCGATTGTGTGATTTAATGTAGATGTGAAGACGAGTGACTTGGGCGATGCTACTGGTTGTAAGGATAGGTGTCGAAAATTATAGTATTCCTCATGTCTTTATAACTTCGACTTATACAAGTCTGGATTACACTAGAGGTTTATATCAAGATTGTCAGTTCTCCAGAATACCTTAACAAAATACGTCCGGGAATACTAGTTAAATTAGCAAGGTAGATTCCTCGGTGTGTTGCTTGTTACATCAACGAATAATCTCAAGTCAGTTTACAATATTGTAACAGGCTAACAGCCATACGAACTCACTTACTACCACAACTAAGTTCGTTTTTCATTTTACATCCACTGAAGGTAAGCATCAATGTCAGCCGAATCAGAGTTTTCAGATCAAAACATTTAGACCTCCTGACTCATCGGTTACAAAGCTAACGAGACCCCTCCTCATAGTGGCGGACGACATTCTACCCAAAAGATCATATCTATTCAACTCTTTCAAATAGCCCTACAACATTCTCCACATTAAGAAAGTCAAACCTTCTAATTAAAGAAAAGTATTTAAACCTCGTTTTTGAAGTTACCTAACATGCTTACCGTCAGATTTACAATGCAATAGTGGACGAACCGTGTTTCTAAAATCTCGCGATTTCTGACCATTTGTTTAACTTCCAAATATAAAATCTTCCAACGTTTTCGGTATAGAAGTGGCTGCGGCTTCACACGAACAAACTGGATGAGCACAAGCAAAAGAACAGGAGATAAGATATTCACACGAGTCTAGTATAAGATTCAACGTAATAAAAGTTTGTTTTATCATTAAACTGTTGCGTGAGACTGCCTCTTTGCTCTGAAATTCATATTTCTCGAGCAAATGAGGCAATTGGCAGATAAAGTGTTATCTTCAAATGATCGTTAAGACAAAATGATAGTAGAGTATACTACTAATTTGAGAAGCATAGCTTGATATCTAGAATCGCAGAAGCCTAAACAAATAGCAGAGCATTCCAATTATTAAGTATCATATCCGAGGACCGAGGATGTATATACTTTGAAATATATTTATCTTGAAGAAGCAGAATCTGAGAACTTCTTATTTACTAGAAACAAAATGACGAAATACACAATATTCTTGTTATGTGAATCGAATAAATATCGCGATTCTATCACTACTTAAGTTGTCCCCTACGAGTTAGAAAACCGGGTTAAGTTCATATACGCTACTTCTTGTAGCATAGATTATGTACTGTCATAGTTCTATACAAGATCTCGGCCACTTCGTTAAAATCCTAGGTCGGCCCTACGCAAGCTACGGGGACAGTTAGATTTTGCCGTGATCTTGACTCAAGATTAGGAGTATTTCACAGTCTCCTAAATATATTCCTATCTAGGCGCCGTCGCATCTACGGCCCTTCGCAAGCTCCGGGGCAGGGCGCGCCGGCGTGTGGTTTTGGTGTTCCTTTCTTAAGTCACCTGACCCGTGTTTTTATAAGAAAAGCGGGTTTTTTTGTGGTGGGGGGGGGGGGTGGGGGGGTGGCCTGAACATCCCTCAGTATAGGTAGAAGAGGAAGTATTGTAGATGTAACATAGCCACTCCTAGCCATCACATGACAACAACCGCCCCCTTTGTAGGCGAGCGACGACCTTGGACTAATGACTCGTCCTCGGTGCGACAGGTACTCGAGTACACCACCCACCGTGACCCGGCCATGAATGCACGGAATTAGTTTTTAGAAGCACAGTACAGTAATAAATCACAATAATGGTCATGTTTTTCGTCTTTACGGTTCTAAGAGATACTATTTTCGGTTCGGCTTTCAACCGTCATCGCGATTTGTGATATTCGCCTTGCTTTGAAGACGAGGTTTGGCCTACGGCTGATGAGGCCATACGAGGATAGGAATGTGAAATTAATAAAACCTTAATTGTAATAATTATAGGTGGTGTTGATTTGAGTATATCTCATGTCTCTCCGGGAGCTTTGTTTCATGACTTGATAATACATAATCATCACCCTGACCAAACATCGACGGAATTGACCCTGGACCCATTTTCCCTTTCTCAGCCAATCGTCAATGCGGAAATATGCTTGTCATGCATGGAAGGTCGGTAGAAGGACGCGAAGAATCTTGATGGTGTCGGGGCGACATCGCGTAATGTTCCTGATGAGGATTAGATAGGTTGGCTAGTGCCCAGGTGGGTGGGATATCCGATTGGAGTTGATGATTGATGACGGAAGGAGATCTCGGATTGCTAAGTACGGAGTACTGTAGAACTACTACGGAAGTGTTGGGAAGGCCTTTCCTACCGTAATAAAATGTGAATTTTTTCGAATATATTTGTTGGCAGATTGTTGTGTAGGTTTCATTCACAATGTTGTACAATGCTTTGTAATGGCCTATGGCAGAACTGACCAGTTAACTTGACTTGTCTTTTCAAAAAGTACCAACAAGGCACCAGTCCTCGTATTTCTGAAAATATACATCGTCTGAGAGAATGACCTCTCCTACGAAGAGCTAGCTGGCTTTGTGGATTGAGTTTGATGTGATGCCTCGACTGCGGTGGGAGAAGGCGAGTCCTGGAAACGAAACAAATGAGGCATTTCCATTATTCATGCAGACACTAGATGAAGCCAAATCAACCAAATCAACTGACAATATTATGCTGCTGAGATGATGAAACAACCAGAAACGTGATACACCGTGGAGCTCTTTCAGCTTAGCCATGCTTCAGTCGCGCACCATAGCGGTCAGCAGCGAGAAGTGGTGTTGCTGACATTCGCATCAGCAACCAAAGACCGTCGCGAATGGTGGACTCACAGGCAATGTGAGGCTTTTCACTGTTACGTTGCAGTGAATTCAGGGAATTCAGGGGAGCATGGTTGTGTAACTGGAGTTGTAGGAGTGGTTAGGGATGATGAAGTTTGCACCGAAGAGGGAGTGGTTCTTGGTTCATGATTGCAAGTTCAAAATAGATAGATCCAAATAAAAAAAGGCCGTGAATGTGTGATGCGTCGACAGAAGAAGTTTATCCTTCCTTTCCTTCTGTGTAGGCTCGGTAGGGACGAAAGTACTCCGTACTCTTGGGCGTGGCTCCACTCTCCAGAGACATCTGCGGTCAGCCGAGTTTTGCCGAGCTGGACGCTGTCAGGTCGTCAGGCCGATGGATCGAGACGGACAGTAGTACAGTAGAGCGCCTAGGTATCCTTCTGAGAAAACTACAATCTGATCAATTGTATTAATAAGATGGTATTAACAGGATTGTAATCATGTCAACCTACTCATGTTTTTGTCTGCCTTTGGGCCCACTCTGTTTAAGGTGCGTTGAAATTGCTGCGTGTGCCAGTCGAGCCCCCTAGGGATCCAGTCCCAGTCCTCCCGCTGAACGGCACCTGCCTGCACACTCGCCCGCCGCAGCCAAACCCATCGCTCGTCGGTCGCCCTCGCTGCCCTCCCCTCTCCCCTCTCCCCTCTCTACTCTCCACTCCACCGTCCAAAAACATCGTCTCTCGAGTCTCGCCCAAAAGGACCGAATACCTCCATCCGCTCCAGTTTCTCCACGATACATCGAAAGCCTCTCCCCTTACCCCATATTCGACTCGACGAACCTGAATACCGCCGCCAACCAAACCAACAACCGCCTCGGGTCGGGCAAACAGAGGGAGGCCGCCGTCGGTTGCGCGCCTGGAAAGCGACCCGTCCCGTGGTGGTGGAAGGCCATTGAATTGAGCGCGCAGAGCCGTGTGGAGGGAATTACACTTCGAGTTGCGTCGTCGCATCGTCACATCGTCGCATCTTCGCGTCGTCGCAGCGATCCGCCATGTCGTCGTCGGTCAAGAGAGCGTGCGACGCTTGCCATCGCAGAAAGGTCAAATGTGATGGAATCAACCCGTGCAGGAATTGCTCCCAGGCACAACTCTCGTGTACCTACCACGCCATTCCACAGAAGAAGGGCCCGAAAGGGTCGAGAGCCAAGGTGATCAGCGAACTGCGGGAAACACAAAGGCAGACGACGCTCTCCAACAAGGTCGCGAGTCGAATGAACGGCATCACGAGTCCACCATGTAGTCCGACGCTCACACCCACGCCGGGTCTCCTCACACCGGAAATGATCAAGGAGTGCATCGAGTTCTTTTTCGCCAACATGTATCCCACCTTGCCCATCCTCCACCGCGAGAGACTCGAGCAGCAGGCAATGTACGCCGACCAGAATGTCGACACCTACTGTTTGCTGACCGCGCTGTGTGCCTTCATGATGATCCAGCCGGGCATGGGAATTCCAGGTGACCCGCTAGGTCTCGACACGGTGCCTGGATCGAACCTGGTGTCTGGAAATCTGCTGATGGAGGAGACGCTGAGGGTGAGGAAGAGCTACGATCATCTGGAAACCCCAACGCTCAACAGCCTGGTCACCAGCTTTTTCCTCTTCGGGTGCTACTTTGGTCTGGATTTGCACAACAAGGCATGGTTTCATCTACGGGAGGCTACCACATTATCGCATATTCTGTCCATGCAAAAGGAGGAATCGTATCTGCAATTCGACGCCGTAGAGTCGTCAAGGAGACGAAGGCTCTACTGGCTGCTGTTCGTCACAGAGAGGTTTGCTGCCCTTGGTCGACCATGTATTCATATGAAGCTAACCCTCACAACAGAGCGTATGCCTTGCAGCGACATCGTCCACTCTCACTCCAAGCAACCATCAGTCTCCCCACGCAAAACGACGATCCGTCTGACCCTCAAGCTCACCACTTACAAGGATTCTTACACCTGATCAGCCTCTTCAGACCATTCGATGAAAGCTTCGTTGCCTTATGGAACAAAACCCGGACAGACTGCTCGCCGCCGTACTTGGCCGCCTTGCAAAAACAACTCAACGACGCGTTGCCGACATATCTCAACTCCACCGAGAACCAGACTGCTGATTTGAGAACGAGCCAATCATGGTTGCGGACGATGGTGTGGCAGTTGAGCATTCAAAACGGTTGCTTGAGCTCAAACCATGAAGATCCAAGCATGACTTTTCATTATCCTGTTGAGATTGCCAGAGAGTTAATATCCATGACTTCTCAATTCTCTCAGCAAAGTATGGAGGTTCATGGAATTGGTTTGGTATGTATCGTCTCAGATTCGATCACGCACAACTAACGCGGCTCAGATTGAAAAACTTTTCGACGTCGCCTGTTCATTGACCGATGTCTTGTCGCTACTGCCACCAAACCCTGATCCTTTCCAACTCGGTCCCCGCGATTACCTCAACGATTTTATCAGGCTCTTGTCGATTCTACGCAGTGGAGACCATAGGTTCTTACCGCTACTTCTCTCTAAGGTCCATGATGTCCTCCCTCGGCTCGTTAATCCGATGCTGCAGAGCGCTCCGGATACTGCCGCAAATAAGTATGCGGAAGTGGATATCTTTGATGGCTTCGGCAACGCAGGAATGGGGGTCGCGAGCAACTTTCCCGGATACAATGGAGATGGATCGAGCGGACACTTCAAGGTCGAACCAGATGCCGACTTCAGTCGCCCTAATCCAGCTCTTGCGCCATACAATAAGCAGATGGAAGCCCTCGGCTCTCCTATCGATGCTCCCGAAACCGGCAGCGACAACACCCCATTTACGAGCCCGCCGATCATTCAAAGCCCCATGAGTCCGATGGAGTACCCTGGGATGGGCGGCTACGGTGGATATCACAACATGAATGCCACCACCATGCCCAATGATATGCACCTACGGAATAATCTGGGTCATTTGGGTGAGGGCGTTGGTGGTGGCGGTCAAGTTGAGTTCAAGCAGGAATTTGACGGCAACATGAATCTTGGTGCACAAGGTGTTGGGTCACATAACACGATGGGTATGATACGCCGGCCGCCGTTGCGACAAGGGAGTGGTTCAAGTTTTGGAGTACAAATCCCTCGAAGCGTGCCGGGACAATTCAGCCATTTGCAGAGAGCAAATAGCCATGGCCAGGAAATTAATCCCGGCATGGGAGGAGTCGGAGATATGCCATTTCGATGAGGTCCCCCAGAGGTTATATGAAGACCCCCAGAAGACGAAACGCCGATGAAGGAAGGCCGAGTCGCAAGTTATTTTCACCAGCTGTTCTGATGTACCAAACCAGCTGCATGCGTGGATACGGCAATACTAGGCTTCACTCCGCTGCGTAAAACACCTTGAAGCCATCATCTCTCATGCTTGCTGTCTTTCAACAGCAATCATCATTACTGTAAGAGCACAGAGTTATCTGGATGGGTTTTGGGTCTGAGATCGACGCAAATAAAACATGTGCTTGCTTTCTTATCAATGTATAGCATTTTGGATTCCGATTGGAGCGCTAGGTTCTTGGGATATGTCATTCATGAGGAGTTCTTTCAAGTGGGGGAATGTAAGGATGGAATCTAGTGGGTAATGGTTTCACAGCAAGTCATATGTGGATAGCTTTTGCCATGTGAATATTATTTATGGGATAGGGAAAATAAAGCGATTTTGGATCTAAAGGGTTTCGGACTATTTTTTGTGTACATGCGAATGTCCTTGATGAGGTGTTTACTGTGCCAGCAGTTGCACAACTGAAGCTTACACCGGAACACTTCAGAAGGCGCATCTGGCAACGAGGAGGGACTGGTCATCCAACTGATGTATCAGTCCCTCTTGGGTCCGGGTATAAGATTCGGCAAGGCCGATAACCCTGAGGTGTCTGTCCACTTCGTCTGAGCAATAGTATAAATAGATTTAGTGTGAAAATGAGGCGATGAAGTGTTGTCTGTATATGTAAAACGAATCTATGGTAAAACATAGTTAATAGGCTGCATCTCGAAGTATTCTAGTGCTTCTGTTTGGATGCGGACGTGGTAGGGAGAGGAGTGTGTGATTGTGGGCTTGTAAATACTGAACAGCATGAGCTAATAGTCTTCATATCTGGGATGTGATACTGTACTTGATTTAATTTGACTCACTTTGGGAATAGGACGTATAGTGTTTATGTAGAGTTTTGGATGAGGGGGAGTGCATGTGGTAATGTGGATAGGGGTTATTCACTTTCACAGTGTAGTTCAAATTTTTGGACTAAGGCTTTTGTGGGTATAGATCCTGTTAGTAGAGTACACTGGTCTCTTGTGCCTAAAGTCTTGTATTAGGTTGTTCACTCTTGTGTTACTTACCTGTAGAAAGATTGAGAAGTATAGGCTTACTTTATAACAAACCTTGACGAGATTACCTTACAGTTGCTAAAGTCAAGGGATTACATTTGGAAAAATTAATGTTATTAATTATGACCTATACTTGATATAGTTTGCTGCTCCTGTGTTATCTACTTCAAAGTTATTAGCATAAATTTTAACTAAAAATTATTAAAATTTCATTAACTACGTTGTTTAGCATTGTGTTACAAGTACTCCTTACAGTCACAATGCTCATCCGTAATAACTGTCAAAAAGATTACGACACCGCAATTTAATTAGTTTACTCTTAGGAGTAAGCAGCTTGTTAGGGCACATTCTCTAGAACTATGACTGTTATAAGTCTAACTAAAGACGTAGCCTGGCCTCCACGCCTATATTCCTCCAAGCCTAACCATAGTAGACTGAAAAGAACTAGGTTACTAACTACATTGCTCTATGGTATGGTACGAACTCGTTGGCTTGCGTGAGATCTAGATCTCGGTTCTGGTTTTGGGGAATTATAGAGGTATTATGCGAGGCATGATTACAGAGATATGTCATGTTCCTGCTATTCAGATGAGAACAGGGATAGGTTTTCGCCCGAGATGTAGATCGTGTAGGAGGCATACAATCTTCAATGAGTTTGGCACTGAATGATGCCTTTTTGATGTTGATGGGTAATAGTTGTCTTTTGTGTGCTTTGTCTGCGAGTACGGAGTATAGCCAGTGTAAATTTATGGCACATCAGTTTGTGAATGAAGTGTTTAAGCTTTGTGATTATTAGAAAAGATAAAGCTGTATAGGAAGCTTGATCAGCTTCCCATGTAATTCCAGGCAAATCTCGATAGACGTTACTATCATATGAGGGGCTCAACGAGGTTCTTCCTTCTGTGATCGCGGAAAATTTGAATGTTGTTACTCGTTAGTGCTGTGACCTAAGGGGTACAAGTGCGGAGTATGCACTGTAACCGAGCGTTCCGAAGCGAGGCAAGGAACCGAGGAACTGAGAACGTCATTTTTAAAATCTCTACCTCTCGATGAACTCTTCTGTCTGTATTGAGTCAATGCTGCTAGAACCCAATCGTTTACGCAAGATGATGGGTGTTAGACATACGTATCACGAAGAGGTTTAATTATGAAACCAACTGCGCTATTGCTGCGCGCTACTTTCAATGCCACAAAGCATAATCATCCCAACTTGTCTCGGTCCCATCAAACGGACAACCCTTTTCCCTGTTGCTGCGAACGACTTCAGAATGTTTTTGCTGGCAGTCTCACCTTCATTATTGCCACTTACCAAATGAGAGACTAAAAGATTGGACAGCAGCGCCGAACCTGCTCTGGTAAGCCGATCTTCGTTAGCTTGCTGCACCCCACATCCAAAGTAACAATCTAGATGCAAGATCTAACCGGAAGTGAGATGGAATCCGATCTTTATGTCCATTGAGTGAGCCGGACACGCATAGTCTAGTACTGGCGTCAGACTGATGTAAACACGACGATCGGGTCTTAAATGCAGAAGTCGGGGTTATGAGAGCTTGATTCAAGGTATAACTATTCCATGGCACTTCGTTGCTTTCCTCTATCGATTTACCAGTACGAGCGCGGTTTTCTTTACACCGAGTTTCATTCCTTCCTACTGATAGCCAAGCGAAAAGGTATTTTAACCCTTGTTCATCATGAATATTGAATACCTTTTATTACATTTTTGTTATGTGGTCGTCGTTATCAGCGCTGCTGTTGGTCGGTCATTACCGACGGTAGATTTGGGTTACGCCATTCATCAAGGCACAATCAACGTGAGAGATTCAGAGATATTGACAATTTCCGTTGGAGTGATCACTCGCTAAAAAGCTTAGTCTACAGGGTCATATTACAATTTCTCGAATATTAGATACGGTCAAGCACCAGTCGGGCCTCTGCGGTTTTCCGCTCCTCTCGCTCCTGAAGGCCGCAACACCACGATAAATGATGGACAGCGAGCAGTCATCTGTCCTCAAGCAGACCCATGTAAGGTCTCTCATCAAGTTGTAAAAACCATAATAATGGATCTTAGTCTGGTTATCGAATCAATTGCAATTTTTCACCTCGCTCCTAACTGGCCAGGACGTCACGAGGTTCATATTTCCGCCAGCATCGAATGGAACAACTAATTTCAACATTTCGTCTCTTCCACAGCCCAGCTCCGAGACCTCAGAAGACTGCCTGTTCCTTGACGTTATAGTCCCCGAATCCATTTTCAAAACCGGTCAAGAATTTGGAAGCGATCGAGGTCCCTGGAGTGTGGAATGTGAGGTCGGAAAACCATGTCGGGAGCGATCAACTCAAGGTGCACCTGTGATGGTTCAAATATATGGCGGTGGATATACCGCAGGAGACAAAGTTAGTGTAGGAAACCCAGCTGGCTTGATCGCTAGGAGCGAAGAGAATGGAAGCGAAGGTATAATCTATGTCGCTTTGAATTATCGTCTAGGTCTTTTCGTCAGTAATCCCTTCTGTGTGCAGAAGCATTTGCTAACGATGTTAGGGATGGCTTTCCGGAGATCCAGATGTAACTGCAAACGCGGGTCTTCTTGATCAACGACTAGCGCTTGATTGGGTGCAAAGCAATATCCATCTCTTCGGTGGTGATCCAAACCGTGTGACCGTTTTTGGAGAATCAGCCGGCGCAGGATCAATCATGCATCATATCACTTCATATGGTGGTAAAGGAAGTGTGCCTTTCCAGCAAGCAATTCCCCAATCACCCGGGTTCTTTCCCTATACCCCAAGCGAGACCACCGACATCTTCTCAAGCGTTTTGGGCAATGCCTCCTTGATTGTCCAGAAGACAGTCAACACTACCGACGAACTCCGGGCTTTGTCTTTCGAAAACTTGTACAACCTCAACTCGCTAGTCGTGGGCCAGTCACCCTACGGACAGTTCACATTTGGACCTGTGGTCGACGCTTCACCTGATTCTTATGTCCCGGATCTTCCAGGTCGTCTTCTTGCTGAAGGTAAATTTCACAAGGTTCCCGTGCTGGTAGGTCACAACACCAACGAAGGATTGTTGTTCACTCCGCCGTTCGTTCAAACTCAAGACAACTTCACATCATTCTTAGCCCAGGCTCTCCCTACTACAACGGTGGAGCAGCGCGAGGATCTTGCGACGGAGCTATACCCTGCTGTGTATAACGGCACGTACGGTTACTCAATTCCAATTTATAGGACAGCTCTAGCAATCAGTGACCTAGCATTTACCTGCAATGCTTATTGGCTACGAAGAACCATGAAAACGAGCTATGGATATCTATTCTCGGTACCACCAGGGTTACACGGCCAAGATATTCCATTCACGTTTTTCAATGGAGACACGAGTACGCTCAATGACGGAGTGCCAGTAAACGAAACTGTTGCTATCGGGCTACAGAGGTATCTCACATCCTTTGCAATTACTGGGATTCCGAAAGGAATAGAGTTGTATAGTGAAGCAGGCAATGTGACGAACGTCAATGTCACCGCTACGGGGACTCAACTTAGGGATCCAGCGGCTCGAAGTCAATGTGAGTTCTGGCAAGCCGCACCATATTACATACAGTGAGAGATATCATCACAAAGTACACCATGGCAGCTCAATGTAGTCAGTCAAAGAATATGAAAAGTGGAAACATATAAATTAACTTCATCAAACTTTCGTCCGTTTACAAGAGCCAGTCCAGAAACTTGCCCCACCAAGTTGTCGGTATGGGCTCTTCAGGCACGCAACTAGGATCGAACCGTCCTGAATACAGGTCTATTGATAGAGATGTGGCTAATTTCGTCTTCTTGAAGCACTTCCAGATAAGGTATGGCACGATGTAAATAATAATGCCGATATAGTTGGCGATGAAATCCGCAGTCGACCAGTTACCAGTGAGGAAGACGCTGAAGCCAGAAACCAAGACGATTATGCCAGATCCAAATGCTCCAACCCATGCGGAATATGGCTGGAGCCTTCCTTTGAAAGGTAAATAATCTCTATCGATACCTTGAATTTTGCAGGCGCTGTGGTATTGAATAAAGCAAACACATAAAGTCATCCACGCCAAGAGCCCAGCAACTGTGCTCAAAGTAAGTAGCCACTTGAAGGCTTGTGCTGCTCCCCCAGATCCGAGACTGAGATAAGCCAACGGGCCAAACGCGAAAGAGGCAAGAACGGCGTAGTATGGAACCCCCCATCTGTTGACTTTCGCAAAGAACTGTGGTGCTTGGCGATCAACAGCCATTGCGACTATCATTCGAGCGCCAATGTAGCAGTAGCTGTTACCTGCCGACCATGCCGATGTCAGGATACAAGCATTGACGATTGATGGAAGGGCCTGAATGCCCGAGTTCTTAATTGCAATGACGAATGGCGAGGAATTAGCATTTCCAGACCCGCTGGTCAAATTCGGGTCATTTGACGGGATGATCATCCCGATCAGAATAGCCCCTAGAACGTAGAAGAACATGATTCGGTATGTGACTCTCTTGATTGCCTTCGGGATTGATCGGTGTGGGTTGACTGTCTCTCCAGCCGCAACAACGACGGTTTCAACGCCAATGAAGGAGAAGGAGGCATTGATCAATGCACTTAGAAAAGCAAAAAAATGGCCGGTGCTTCCAGATATGCCATTGTACTGAGTAAATGGCCCTGGATCTTTCCAATATCTAAAACCAATTCGGTCATGGTTGGGCGCGCCGCCAAGTGTAATGACAAGGGAAACAAAAATAAGACCGAGGAAGCAGAGAATCTTGATAGATGCTGTAACGACTTCTGCCTCGCCGTAGAATCGTACCGAGGAGATGTTGATGATGAAAATTGCAAAAAGACCTAGAGTTATCACTAGAGCTGGTGTGATGTCCGTCCAGTAAGAGACGATAATGGCAGCGGCAGATACCTCGGAAGCAATGGCGATGGTATAGCAGTAGCCATAAGAGATTGCAAGTGTGAAGCCTAGGGCCGGGTCTACAAAACGAGTTGCGAAATGTGGAAAGGAACCAGCAGTTGGAAACTATTCATTGTGAGTCAATGTTCATATAATGAGAAGTATACCACATACCAAAGTAGCGAGTTCTCCAATTGACTCCATCACACACCAAAGAACAACACCGACGATACAGAAAGCTCTATCCGAACGTGTCAGTCTACGCTTAACTTGCCATACAAAACAAGTCTGCAACCTACAGTAGTAAGCCCAAGGGTCCAGCGTTTGCGAGTGCTGCGCCTGTCCCAATGAACAAACCGGTACCAATCCCTCCACCAAATCCTATGAAGGTGACGTGTCGAGCCTTCAACCGTCGAGCCGTACGTCCAACACCCCCAACGCCATAGACGGCATCGTGAGCACCGGACGCTGATTGAACGACGTCTTCTTGGACCTTTTCACCATCGATTGAGGCCGATGATGGACTTTGACTTATTTTTGATCCCTCATCTTGGAGTTTTGGCATTGTAGCGAGTCGAGATATCGGTGGTCGAAGCGAAAGCTTGTCTAGCGACTTCGAAAAGCTTGCGAGATGCAGTCAGTTCATATTTATTCGTCTTGAACCCGCCCCTCATACGAATGCTCTCATACAAGCTAGTTGATTGAAAATCTCTACCTTTAGCTCAATCACGCAATTTTCTCCATACAATTTTCAACCCCAATTGCCGTACGGACCGGCGCGATATACCCACTTCTAGTTCGGCTACGCCGGTGCCAGTTTACAGGCCCGGAATTTAATAAGAGTCTGGCGGGAAGCGGTCAGAGAGAGCTGACATACACAACTGATCTTCCGTTGTTTTGTATCTGCATTGGTATTTTAACACCACTCGCTGGGGAAGCGAAGGGTTTGACGAGGAAGATGGGCGTTCAACTCCCTATTCTCATTAAGATTGCCAGACTTAGTTACCCATGGGGCAAATTCAAAAATGGAGATATCGTGGAAAACGAAGGAAATCTTGGGAAGTAATACGGCAACAGTGATACGGAACTCTAGAGTCGTGGCGATGAACAGAACAAAAACAATGGTAAGTTACTATGGTAAGCCGACCCGCTAAAGTCCTCTATTGAACGACGCAAGCAATTTCATGCTTGCATTTAACTACCGCGGACAGTCCGCGAACGCCCTCGAGAACATTGCGTTTTGATAAAATCAGGTGGCAAACTCATGGAGAAGAGTTGCCATCGCAACATTCCGATGAAATTGGACCGAGAGCTGGGGATATGCTATTGTCGGCTCTTGAAGATGTCAACCGTTCCTTACCTGTCTTAGTACATTCGTCGCTCGCCTCCTTTTCATGGCGGTAGAACTTTGTTGTGCTTAGACCGTGCAAAACGTAAACGGTAGAACTTTCTTCGCACCAAGCTCCTTTCGAACCAAATTTGTGTGTCACGTGATGCACCCGTCAAACAAACAACCTACATGTTGCATACGAAGTATTCCGTGTCCAAATTGTGCATGTTGTTATCTCTTCGTGTGGATAATCCTGTGGAGCCAAGATCGACAGACCATGGCCGATTACGAATCTCGAATTGACTTTGTGAAACATTTCATCTTCACTTCCACCTCGTCACACATTTGTAAAATTATAGGTTGGCTTACTAGAATTTCGCTGTTTGAGATGGGACTCCGAGTCTTTGTTTGTCAAAACACATCTACTGATACGTAGATGATTTTACCGTAATATTAATAAGTTCTACGATGGGCAGAAGTGTTTTAGCTTGAACCATTATTCTAAAGTATGTCTAGTTTACTTTTGCGTTTCATTTATGACAATTTGGATGTTGGGGGTTGACTAGCTCTCTTATTTTGTAATGTAATAACATGGGCTGTGTGGAAGGATTGACCTTCTTTCTAAGTGGACAGGTTTTATAGATTGGATCAGCTTACAACATCCTCTTGATTTCATTATGTCCCAGGCATTTGGGAGGCCCACCTGAGCAGGCTCTCCAACCAACATGTGTTGTCTTCGCATCAAGCGTAGTGAGCCCTGCAACCATGAAGTGGAAGTAATTCGCTGGCTACGGTTGCTTTCAAGCGGCCGCCGCATACTCAGTCTCACCTTTTTGTCCTACCAACTTCATCCAACATTGTCGAAATGAGTCAAACTAGGCTAAGCCCAAGATACTTAATAAGTTCCATCATTCCCGAGCCGGATCTCTCTGCCTTTCTTATCCCTATCCATTCGAAAAAACTTCCAGACTTTGAGCAAGCCAATACCTGGGAATGGGTTCCACAAAATTCCGCCGTGGTCTTCTAGCAAGACGAGGTAGTAAGATAATAACGAAACTCCCATTCATTACCTTGGTCCCTTGCCTCGTCACTATTGCAGCTATTGTTTTAATCAATATTGGTGGTGTCGACTCACATGATGAGGGCATAGAGAACTTAAGCCTAAATCTCCCTTTACTGAAAGTAAGTACATCATCACCTTGTCGAACACGATAGCATTCTAATGGAACATTAGTGGAAGTACACTGTCGAACCAGTAGATGGGATCAAATCAATTACTGAACACCTGTACCTCAACCGGGCATGTATCAGATGGGAATCTGACAAAGAACCTGTAGTCGAGCTGGGACTGTGTTACAATATTCACGACCTATCGTACGACGAGAGTACATTTTCAACTACTATCAACACCATTGATTCGATGCCCAGAGGTCCACTGAATCTCAAGCTGACCCAAGGACTGTACACTGGGTCTGCTGGACTGGCGCTGATCCTTATGATTTTGCCAGCCATTTTGGCTTTCACACCACAGCCATGTAAAAAGAACTTCAGATTCATTGCCGTCTTCATTTCCATAGTAAGCAATACAACTTGTTATTGGCATTGGAGACTAAATTGGCTAAGTTAGGATTTGTGGTGGTCCTAGGGGCTTCCAGTTTCATTACACACCAGATGACTGCTTTGAAGTCACAAATCCTCAATTTCAAGCCTCAGATTACTAAAATATTGAATGAGGGAACTAGCAGCGAGCAACGACTATCGTATACCAATGTGGAGTACGTACAACTAGGATATGTTGTTTTGGGCCTTACCTGGGTAGCCGCTGTGGCCATGCTCTCTGTGTTGGTCACATGGTGCCTGTCTTTTATTCCCACGCAGAGTGTTGGTCTGTCGAAAGAATCAGACAAATTATTGGGAGATGACACAACGAGGGGATGAAGCGCAGGACAGTGATCGTTGCGAGCAAATTCGAGACCAACAGTAAGTGGAGAACTGGATGAAAGAAGCGATGTTTCTAAAAGAATATTTATCATGTTTGTAATTCAAAATGCACAATGTCTGTGGATTCGAGATATCGTTACAGCCCTTTCGGTTTCCCCCCTTCGACTATAATTTGCTCATCAATTTTCCTCGCCAACTCCGATTCGTTTCCGTATTCGATTCGTTTGTACGTTGTAATTCGAGCTTCATTCATGTCGATATCGAAAAATCGAATTCGACGATGGTAACCTCCATATCCACCATATCCCCCAAAGCCCGCACCGCCCCCATAACACATCCAAAGAGCTGGATTTCCAGTCTCATCAGGTGAGAGAGCACAGTATTCATTGGCGTGGTCACTAGACGCTGATTAGTGCTTCGTTATGAGGAAGACCTCGGAAAACCTACTGTCCGCAGCTAACCATGAGAACGCCTTTTTCCACAAGAGCATCTCGAAATCCAGAATTAAATCCAGGAGCCGTCACGCCTTCCCTCCACTGACCTACAATGGGTAGTTCGGCGTTGTTGTACTCTGGCAACGGAATATGTATAAATGCCAAGTCCATATGAATATGCGAATACCCTTCATGCGCCTTTTTGAGACCATCTGCTGTCTTCTTAAACCAATCAATTTGATTTTTCTTCAGCCAATCGTAGCCCTTGAAAGTTCGTTCGTCAGGAGAATATGCGTGGGTATCTAGGAGGTAGATGGTGAGCGCGGAGTGTTTCGAAGAACCTTTGGACATGACCTCCACATAGTAATTCCCGACACCATCAATATCTCCAGGACCGGCCATAGACAAGGAGTACGGTAAAGTTTCGATTAATTCCATTTGTTGCGCCCGAGAAATAGTTTTCTCATCGTCATGATTGCCGAATATAGAGGCGTACGGGATTTTGCGCTTAACGAGTAGTTCTGCATATTTGAATATGGCCTTATCAATCAGTACACATCCATTACGGCAGAGAAATACATACACTTTGGGCATCGGGTGCGGTATCTCCATTGACCTGGTCGCCACTCAGTACCACCATATCAGGCTTTTCCTCGTCCAACAAACGGCCAATAAAGTTAAGTGTACGGGTGTCTGCTTCGCATTTGCCCCCGTCTAAGTCTGCTGGTTCGGGCTCCCTGCAGTGCCCTGTTCCAGTGCTGAAATGAATATCTGCTAATTGCATGATTTTGAACTTTCCGTTGTCACGTATGCGTGGAATTCCTTTCGCTGGCGGTGATGGCTTGCCCCTCCTGACACTGACGCGAGCCTCTTGGATTTCGCCAGTTTTATCCAGCAATAAAGCATGATCCAGCGTCTCCCAGCCGGGTCGTGGATCGACAGCATCGGCACCAAAGAGAACATCGACAGCGGTTATGGCTTTCGCAGAATCGCTGGCGTGGCGCTTCGCGGATCGTTTTAACCAGAGCCCGCCCGGCCTGGACTCCCAACGCTCATTCTCCTGTCCCTTTTGACCAGAACTGGGATCAAGCCGGCCTACTTTGACATCAAGAATCACTTTGTCGTCGGCTAATAGTTCTTCTTCCTTTTTCCTTTGTACGTGGACGTATGCGCTCGACACCCAGCCACTGCCCAAGAACAAATCTTTCTCTATGCGGTGCCAAAGATCCGCGTCCAGCTTACAACTGGACAAGAGATTGACCGAGGAGCATTGAGTTACGGTGATGTCGGTGATGATGAGACCTGGATGATGCGCGGGCATGACATTGTGGATGGCAGAAGGAAGGACTCTGAAGCGGCTGTCGAGGAAGTAGACCACGACGATGGAGAAGACCGTGAGCGCCGCGAGCTGGCAGACGGCACGCACCTAGAAACATTTAGTTTGAGACTTATCGGCTAGGATAGTTTGAGGGATCTCGCACGATTCGTCTTGTCATCCTGGGGCTCGTATGGGGGTAGCACGTTCAAATCGGGGCGACAGCTATCGCGGAGCTTCGAAGCGCAAGAGGTGCTCCTGATCCATCCGGAAACAGGAAGAGGTTCAAGACGACATTTCTCTTGACGGGAGGGAACGCCGTTTTTGGTTTGTGAAGGGTGCGGTTAAGGGTCAAAAGCGGTTCCAGGAGTCGTCGATTGAATGGAGAGAGAGAAGTATCCGATAGCTTGGGCGGCTTCCCCAGGTTTTCGGCAAACCTATCGTGTCGGCCCGGCTTGCGCTCTTCCGGCCACTCGGCCAACCCGGGCCGGATCACGTTGAAGCATAAGCATGACCGGAAGGTTCCTGATGTACCATCGCATGGGAGTAAACATATTTGAGTGGATTTTGTTTGTCTTCGCAACCACACCCCCGAAGACAGAACTTTGCCGATCCTCGTTTTTGAGGATTGAACCACGTGGCTTACTTTTGGAGTTCCATCTCAATGACAATGTGCGGCATTGGATTTGCAGCATTTCATGATTTCGAAGGGAGAATCAGAGGAAAAAGAACCAAAGAATGAGACAAAGATTAGATTGATATGATAAGGAAAGATACCGGCCTGCCGCATGTTACATCCACTATCGCTACCGGAAGAAGAACAAAAAAATGGCCTGAGATCCTAGCTGGTATTGAGAACAAGTCCTAGGAACAAGGTACCAAAAGCATTCCGACTGATTCCAACTTATAATGATTGAACAGGGGTCATTTTGCACCGACAAGATGGCAGCCTATTAGATGCATCGCAGCAGTGATGCAGCTCAAGATGCTTAAGGGTTGGGGTGTTAGTTAGATTTAGAAGGTGTTGGTAAGATTACAGCACCCGTTACAATAACGACGTTTAGCAGTTAGCAGCGGCTTGACGGGCGTAGAGTATTACAACCAGGTGGGTCCGTCTTAAGATGCTGAAAAGCTGGAAATCCATGCTGCCAAATTATCAGTCTTATGGTTTTACGCCACAGAACCCTCCTGCCCACAAGGTATTGATAATTATTGATATGTTCATGAAATCTTTTGCGAATCCTTGGGAGTTGAAAGTACCTAGTGTCAGGTTACGAATAGAATAGCCAGCAATTGCAACACCTGTGAAGGTTGGCTTGATCGCTGCAAGGTCAATGCTAAAATCAATACTCAATGAGTCTCACCGCAGTAGATAATCCTTGCCGAAAATTGAGCTACTACATAATGCATCCGTTCATCCCAGCATTGCGTTACGCGCAACCCATAAAAATACTGGACTCGGAAATTCTATCTGGTTGGCCTCTCTTGTCTGTCTAGCTGCGTACCTCCAAAATATCACGAAAGAGATGTTTTAGCGTTTGAGATCAAGGTTTGTGAAATCGATTAAGTCAGTCTGCTACATTAAACTATCCCTAAGAGAAATGAAATAAATCAATCTTATTAAGAAAGCAACTCAAGTAAAAACAAGAGTGGCGTGTTTATTATACATGATGGAGTAGTAGAGCAAGATATTTGAATGAGGCTGCAACATATATAGAATGCGATTTAGTCGCTGGATGCTTTCGACGTCCGCCATTATGAGACCGATATGTCGTCAAAGGAGACTGTGCCTTTCCCATTTCCTGTGCTAACGCCCGTACACGTGACGGAAACAATTATAGCAACAGGGCCGGAGACGGTAGGGCTGTAGGAAAGCTGTAGTGCTCCCGTAGATGATGTAGGGTAGGCTGTAGAAAGTAACTGGGAATGGCAAACAGTATCGAAGCAGATTTTAGCGGTGCAAACTGCAGTGTTGGCTGAATTCGATGCTTTTCCGTAAGCGATGAGGGTGGCCCAGGAGCCCGCACAGAGATTGATCGATTGAGAGATCTTAGATTCTGTGGTTGTTGTTTGTATAAAATCTCTAAAGTGGCAAGTTAGTCACAATAAATGGAAAGTTCAGGCCTTGATATTTCTAGAAGGACTGACTATGATCTGCTACCCGATTTTTCGTTGGCGGTCGACACAGCTCCTGTATTTGCCCCGACTGACGACACCCAAGGCGCCGGAGAAGAAGCGCTGGACTCAAATCCCCCATTAACGATGGCACCTGGTACGCAAGTAGGTGAAGCAACGGCGCAAACAGAGCTTGTGACAGTTGTCACTGCTGTCACGGTGTTCCGGACAGTGGCAGAGTTGTAGGTGGTAACCACAGCCCCAGTGGTTTGAGTGACCTGATAAAATTAGCCCGAGAACTTGACAACCAAGCGAGGAAGAAAAATGAGGTTCATGTCATTAAAACATCATGTCAGCAAAAGACTTGAACTCACAGTTATGACGGCGCCTGTTGTTTGAGTGACTGTTATTAAGGCACCACTTGTGCGAGTAACGACAGTGGTCTCGTCATTGGTCTTGGTGATTGTGATGGCCTGCGACGAACGAATTAGCACCTGCGCGGTTTAACGTAGACATAGGAATGAGGATGTCTTCTCAGATCCAGCCAACATCACAAGGCTGCGACTTGACCTGTAGATCTAGAATGGGTGAAACGTACGGCATTGGATGTGTAGGTCGCAAACTCAGTAATAGTCGAGACATAGGTGGCTCCTTTGGTTTCTGTCACAGTCAATTGCGCGCTGGCTGTTTCAGTTGACTAGAGACCAATTAGTAAATTGAATGGGCAAATCATATCATGTGTGACCGATTTGTATTTAGATGAAGCTGGTTACAGAGAAGGATTGGTAATGGAGGGCTTGCATCACGTACCGTAACAGTTGAGAACGCGGTAGCTGGAAGGGTAGTTGTTAGAGTGAGCGATGCAGACTGTGTTTCGGTCTCAGTAATTGTCGAAACATAGGTAGCGCCCCTTCATGATCGTTAGTAATATCCCTGATAATTCACAAATTTCTCAAGGAGAAAAAGAAATGGGGATATACTTGGTCTCGGTCAAGGTAAGTTGAGCACTAAGTGTTTCTGTTTCAGTGATCGTAGAAAATGCCGTAGCTGGAAGCGTGGTTGTCAGAGTCAGCGATGCAGATTGAGTTTCGGTTTCAGTGATGGTTGAGTATGCGGTAGCTGGAAGCGTTGTTGTAATGGTCAATGAAGCCGACTGTGTTTGTGTCTCGGTGATCGTGGAGACGTAGGTAGCACTCCTTCAAGGAAATTAGCGAGAGTTACACATTGGGACAAGAGGAAGAGCCTAATATGCGAAGGTTTGCTAGACGCGAGGAAGGTTATGGGAACTGAAGGTGTAACTACTCACTGCGTCTCAGTCAATGTGATTTGTGCACTCTGTGTTTGAGTTTCTGTGATTGTGCTAGTTGAATATTCCGTGGCTGGGAGAGTAGTCGTCAGGGTGGTGGAGGCAGAGCCTGTCTCGGTGAGTGTGACAGTGACAACTGGATTTGAAGTCTGTAAAGAATCAGCATGGCTTATTGAACCTCCGGGATCGTAGTCATAGTGTGCCTGCGGGTGTTCAACTGACACCAGGTTGAGGGCACAAAGGGAAGTGCGAGGATACATACAATAGTGCTGATGTAGGTTGGGAGCTCAGTCTGGCAGAAGTTAGCTATCTAAGTGCGTAAGATGAATGAGTCATATAATTTTACCACCGTCGACGTGTACGTTGGATTCAAAGTCTTGAGAGAGTTAGCAATAAATTCTTAACAAGTGGCGTGGATATGGCCAAGCGAAATCTTGCCCCACCCATGGACCAGCTCCGTGAATGCGCGCTCGAGGTGATCGGGGGGGGGGGGGGGGGGGAGGGTATGTCTTACGATTGTTGAAATCTCAGTTGGATTTATCGTCTGCAACGAGTCAGTGGGGGTTTTTTAATGAGGCTCGTATGCCAGGTGATTGAGTTCTTCGAGTACGCGGAGTTGGAGAAGGGCAACGTACAATTGTAGAGTACTCTGTTGGATTGAGCGTCTGCATAACATTAGCGGACGTTATCAGGAGTGGAAGGATGCTATCTTTTAAACAGAACCACTCTGTAGGGGTGACAGGTGTAGTCGTTCAGTGGAGGGTACTTACAATCGTGCTGATATACGTAGGGTTTTCTGTAATGATTGATGTGTATCTACGTCTGATCAGTGAAGGAAAAGTACAAGAGTATGGAATCGCCCGATTTGATCTGACAAAAAAAAATCCGACCAGACATACGTTGCTTGCTCCGTCTGCGTTAACGTCAACTGCTCATTGGCGTAAATTGTGGAAGTTAACGTGGCCGTCGCGGGAAGTGTTGTAGTCAATGTCAACTGCTCATTAGCGTAAATGGTGGAAATCAACGTGGTCGTCGCAGGAAATGTCTCAGTCAATGTCAGTTGCGCATTGTTATAGATAGTGGAAATCAATGTCGTTGTTGCAATGTAGGTTGCTGGTAAAGTCTCCGTGAGCGTGACTTGCTTGCTGATTCCCTGGATTATTGTGGAGGTGACGGTAGTCCTGGCTTGTTGCGTGTTGGTTTTTGTAAGCGTGAGAGTGCTTCTGGAAGTTGACGTGAGAGTTTTGGTGACCTGAGTTGACACTGTTTGCGTCTGAGTGGTAGTCCTGGTGGCAGTTTTGGTGACCTGAGTTGTTTCCGTCTGAGTGGTAGTCTTGGTAGCAGTCCTAGACGCCGTGACAGTCGTGGTCGTCGAACATCCCGCTCTCTGGTATAGCTCTGCAGGCGAGGCGTTTGCAAAGCTGGCAATGGCACCGGCAAGCAGCAAATTGCAAAAGAATGACTTAACGTACATTTTGAACGAGTGGTGAATGTAGTATCGAGGGGATGGTGGTGATGATTAAAGGGGAAGGTAGGTACTAAATACCGGACAGGAACGGGATAAACCATGGCTTCCGCTCAGCTGTAAGGGAAACGTATGCGATCTAGCCCCTTGGTTCGAAGTATTGATTGAGGTCAATAAGTCTCAACACTCGTGCCCAAATTACTATTATTGGCTCAATCGCGCAAAAGAAGATCTATAAAACAATGCTGGTATTTCCCACGCGAGAACGCGAAGAGCCTCTCAGCCTCATGGAGAAGGAAGCGAGACATGAGAAGCGAGAAGCGAGAAGCCTCAAAACTTCCAAGGTTCTTTTGATATCGAGCCAGCGAGGGAAGACTCGTAGTGTAAACTTGGTCAACATATCGACCTCAAGGCGAACACAGGGGAAATGACCGCATCGTGGTTTTGGAGCACCCGACAATCCTTTTGTCAGACCATCACACCGAGTTGCCTTGCTAGAGAGCATGGCGAGGCAAGCTGTGGGCATCAACGGTCCAGGAAAGAGATTTCCAACGACGTGTACATGTGTACTTCGAAGCACCTTGGTGCCGGTGGAGATGTGCTGTCGCTGCTTGAGACTTTCTAAGACATCTTCGGCCCCTTTCAGCTGCGGGCGTTGGGCGAGATTGACGAGGCGTGACTTGCGATAAAAAAGCAACCCGGTGGAGTGGAACCTGCCAAATAGATAACTTTTCTTTTGCGCTCGCTCATGCTTGATTCGATTTTTGTCACCTCTCCATGCGCCCCTTGTGGCCTTTCTGGCTCTGTCGCATGCCAATACAAGCGAATGTGGCGTGAAAGGCTGAACCGGGGGCGCCCAATTCTGTCTGCGCATTGGAAAGCAATTTGCTGACCGCCGAACCACGACGGGATGGGGATGGCACCACGAAAAGACCATGGACTTATTGACATTGCATCTAGACTCAGACTCTCCAGAACTCATAAAGACCACGCACGTGGGGTTGCCACGAACATTTCCGGTTCGAATGGCGCCTGCTCCTGTCTTGCGGCGGAGGACGCGACAAATCCGCGATCGATAGAACCGCCTTGACCGACTGGATAATAGCAGCGGACATACTAATAACAGTTCAACCCGTAACATCTGCTCGCAATTGAACCCAGAAAGATGTTGTTCAACCAGGTACTTTGCAAGCGTGCGAAGAGGTGTCCTACCTGCTGATGCTGTTCAATCGTAACTTTCCTGCTTGCAACTATTGATCCGAGTCACAGGCACAAGGTCCCCCGAGGAGTCACTGATAAACCAAGCGCTGCGATGCCCTGTGGACAGCTCTCCACTCCAGTCCAGTCCAGTCCAGTCTCCGTGCAACGCTTCAGCGTGGGTTGCCACCAGAAATATCAACAGACTTCTCACTTGGGAAGGTCTATCACAAGCAAGGTCTGTTTGCTCCAGACGAAGATGGCGAGGAATCATGTCAACCGGAGAGAGACTGAAGCAGATGGAGAGATGGTGATTTTCATCTGAAAAATGTGTCTGTTCGAGCAAGATGCCGCAACTTTAACAAGCGAGCAGTATTCTCTCCAAACCCTCTCCCCACACTTCTACGACCCTCGATCGAACCATAGGTACATCGATTGCTGTCAGGAATTGGAAAGGATGTACCTTATGCCGCTGGCTCTCAGTCATACCTTCAGCTCGAGAGCGAGAATCGCGACCGTGTTGTCGCGGCTGAGTTCAAACCAGAATCCACATAACTCGCACTCGGTAAGGGCAAGTTGTGCGTCGTAGAACCCCAGAGAAGAATGGGATGAGTGAAAAGTCTAGGGGTACCTCGTGGATTTTTTTTCCCTCGACTAGCTAGGTCACAACCGTTGTGATCATCATCACGAAGGTTGTATTTTACGCCATTGAGCTACAAACCCTCCAACCTGTGTTCGAAGTCCAACCTCCGGGCGACAGACAAGTTCCCACACGCCAGTTTCTTTGGCTGCCTCCTCCTTCTCACCACACTCTACACTCTCGGGGCTCTCGAGCGCTTCCGTTCCTTCCCCCTTCAGTAATACCCGCGGTTTGACAGACCGAACATCCCACTCTCTGCCACCAACCCCAGCGCCAGCCAACACCCAGCTCCGGAACCGATTCCAAGTACAATGGTAAGCTTTTCGAATTGGCATGTAACACCGAAGCATTAATTTGCGTAATGCTGGGGCAGAAGATCAGAAGTGACCCGTTGGGTTTCAAAGCACATCCCACGGATTCCATGTACTCATGACACGATGGCAAGTCGAGAATCGCGTGGTCAAGGAACGGGGCTCTAACATCGGGTGAAAGGGGGTCGGATATGGACTGCTTTATCTGTCCTACATGGAAGTCAATGTTGTGCTTATAAATCCCATCCCGAAAATTCGCAATCGTCTTTTGCGCGTGCCAAGAATGTGCCAACGAACAATCTAAAGTATTTGCCATGGCTGCTCTGTCATCCCGCCAGCCCTGCAGATGTCCGTCATCCATTGTGCTAGCAAGTGAATGCAAAAATCATTTCCCGTCGGTGCCATCGTTTGTGTCCGTTGTAGAGTGAAGCATGCTATCGCTCGAAACCTTACGTGGACATCCGTTTGCGCCATGGGTCGTCCGGGAAAGATTCAAGGTGAGTGCTCCATCACCAGTACCGGCTTCGAAAATCTCCAGCCTCTCGCCGCTCCTGTTTGCTCACCGGCGCCTGGCATTGATGGGTGAAGGTCCAGGAGCGCAATGATTGCAGCTGCGTCCTGGGAGGATATCTGGAGAGAAGGACCCATCAGTGAGGACCACTGTAGTGGTTAGAGATCGCATACCGGCGTCACAACTCTCGGACTGAGATCCGTACACTCAGCGAGACTTGCTTGATGGATCCTGTATTCTTTTCCCTTATTGGACCTCACTCTTTGTCGGAGGGTTCTTCCAATGATCCAATCGAGGAGGATTGCGTCGCGGTCCAGGATTGTCTTGCCAGCAGACGACAACTCTGCCGTCAGCACTGGATTGTGCGACGGGTTAGTGGTCCTTCTCAGCAGGATAATGTCATTCTCTAGAGCAAGACAGAGTCAGCGAAAATGATATGGAATTAATAGCGTAATGACATTGTTTGCGTACCTTCGACGATACCGTTGGAGAACGAACGTTGAGGGCGTGGCGGAAAGCCAGTCGACGCTCGCAGCAGCCGTCATTGCTTTAGACGCGTATTGTGTATCCGTGATCGAATCCGACAAGTATTGCGCGTAATGGCGCTCGAAGCAATGTTGTTGTCATCGAGAAGGATTTGAACGTACCAGGTCCAGGTGTACGGTACGCCAGCCAGCACGCTAGGAATTCCATGTGCGGCCGCATTCCGCTGCAGGGACCTCCACCGAGGCTCAAAGACGCCGCACATTCCAAGACGCAACACCGCAGAATCACGACAATCCAACTCCGACACAGATCCATTTGCAGACTCTGTGCGCTCTTCTATCGAGACTCGCATCACATCATGGCGATGGAAATAGAGGGAGTCCATAGGATAGGTGATAAGGAGCTGTTCTGCAAAGCTTGGAAGGTACACACCGCCCCTCCTCCAGCCTCGAGCGCACTCACTAATCTGCGCCGTATTCCCAGCCGGATGAACCCTCGAAAGCGAAACTCGTTTTTGTGCATGGTTTCAACGATCATACCAACCGCTATCACGACCTATTTTCTATTCTAGCATCGCGGGGCGTCGAGGTCCACGGGTTCGACCAACGAGGATGGGGCCGATCAGTCACAAAGCCATCTGAAAGGGGATTGACAGGCCCCACGAGTCAAGTCATCGCAGATGTCGCGTCTTTCGTTCGAACACAGTTACCATCCGAAGTCCCCGTTTTCGTGATGGGACATAGTATGGGTGGTGGAGAGGTGCTGATGCTAGCGAGCGATCCGGCGTATGAGGATGTGACGGCTGGCGTCCGAGGCTGGATACTGGAGAGTCCTTTCATCGGGTTCCCAAAAGGCTTCGAGCCAGGAAGCGTGACTGTCTTCTTCGGTCGCCTGGCTGGCAGACTGTTTCCGCATCTCGCGCGTCAGTCGGCGCTCCCTCCGCAGAATCTCACCCGAGATCCGAAAGTTGTCGAATCACTCAAGGAGGATACGCTGATCCATGACTATGGAACTCTAGAAGGCTTGGCCGGTATGCTGGATCGGACAGCTGCCTTGAACGAGGGCCGCACGAGGTTGAACAAAGGCGTGAGGAGCATCTGGTGTGGGCACGGGACGGAGGATAAGGGCACGAGTTACGAAGCCAGTAAGGCATGGGTAGCAAGACAGACGCAAATCCAGGACAAAGAATTCAAATCATACGAAGGTTGGTCTCATCAGCTACATGCAGATCTGCCTGAAAACACGCACATATTTGCCAAAGACGTCGGGGATTGGATCATGGCTAGACTTGGGCCTGACGACGCACAGCTTAAGCCAGCGTCAAGATTATGAAAATTTGTTTCGTACCGATTGATGTTGGCATTAAATGAGTGCATATTACAAGACCTATGGGGTGGTGAACTCTAATCTATATGTTTGCCAATGTGACGACACTGAATTTTGCCACGATTTTCGTTCAATTAAGGTTGCTGTACAAGTCTTTGTGCTCAGCTATATAGCATTGCAATTGCCAAAGCTGCTGTTGCAAAGTGATCGTCATTCGGCGGGCCTTGACCGCCACGACAGGTCGCCAAAAAATAGGGATATCCTGTGTTTTCTCCCTTAGCCAATCGATGTCCTCCCTACTCAACAAAGATCTGAGGTTATGTACTGGCAATTTCTTGGGATCACCCAAAGGTCGCGAGCGATGGAGAATGGTTGCAAATTCTGGCGGTGGGTTGCCATCTAACCCCAACCATAGAAATGCAGATGCTTGTGGGCTGTGAACTTGCGCCGCGTCCCACGAGTCGAATTCATGAAGATACCCTTTCCTCAACTGTACCAGGCTGAGTATGTTGGCACGAACACGTTGGCGAAAGAGCTTGAGAATGAACTGATCCATGTCTGCATAGAAGTGGGCATGGCGGTACATGTCAACCACCCTCTTGTTCTTGCATTGTGATGGTGGCATCAGGACTCGTCTGGGAGTTCTTCCATATCCCGCATCTGTACTGGATAGAGCCGAGATGGCAGATTGACGAGCGACTACATATACTCCAGACCCCGAACTTTGGGAGCGACGAATGCCACCTTCCTTGTCATCCCAATCGACGTTCTCCGCATTGTGGTTGTCTAGATATTCCATCGCTGGACGATCTTTCCGATCACCTTGCCATAAAAGACTTCCGCCTGGTATGTACTGAACCGACCGCCTCCTGTTCTTGGGATTGATGCTGGCCACCAGCCTAATCTGTTGCAGAAAGAATCTTGGCAAGGCGATTCGGGTCAATTGACAGATGCGAACGGGAGTTGCGATAGCTCTGGCATAGACATTCTTGTCGAGTTTGATTTGAAAAGGAGTTGGGGATTTGCTGGGTCTGGTCTTGCGCCGAAGGTTGGGATTGATTATGTCCGGGTTCAGTAGAGGGGATTTCGGCAAACTGGATGTGCTGGAAGCACTTTCTGAGTTCCTGCCATCAGCTAGCGCGGGATTGTTGGTGTTCACGACGAGCGACCGTAGGCCATGAACAAAGTCGGAAAAGTCGCCCGGGTCTTCATCCTCCTCCATGTCGGTCGAGGCGCCATTTTCTGCCTGCTGGGCATCTCTAGATTCAGACTTGATCTTGATGCGGTGGTACATGAACCTGCGCATCCATCGCTGCTCTCCTTTCTCGGTGGTGGGATATCGTATGGGGACATCTTGGGTGGTTTCGGCGCCCGAGACGTTGGCGTTCGAAAGAGAGTCAGGCGCGAGTCCAGAATTGGCCTTCATTTGGATACGCTGGAAAGTTTCGTTGTGCATGAATTGCTGCTCTCCTTTCCCCGTCGCGCGATATCGAATCGTCGGCTTCTCTGTGGTGGGATACCGAATCGGGAGATGCGTGTGGGTTGCTGCGCGAGGGGTGTCGGTGGTGGAAGGTCTTGCCGTCGTATCGCCTGCATCGTCGTTTCTCAGCGGCAATCCAAGCTGCGCCTCGCCATCCTCCGTGGCTGGTGTTGGTGTTCGCCCCGACTGGGCTTGCGAGTGGGAGTCGTGAAAAGTGCGTCCGACGCCGATGGGAAGAGGCAGGTTAATTGTTGATGGAGGCAGACATGGTCGCAGGACAAGTGGTCTCGCATACATGCGAGCTCCAGCTGTGAACAAGAACTGCATGTGCCTACCGCATGCTCGAGGAAAGATTCAGAAACAAGAATCCAGAAAAGGCTGGCGACGATGAAGGAAAGGTGCAGCAGCCGCAGGCGAGAGATAAAGGTTGTCACCAGAAATCCCATCGGCTCGGAACTGAGGCTCTGCTCACCTGCAGGCTCCGCTGAGGCTCTGCGGGTGGTGGGTCTGTCGCGTTCGGTGCGGTGCGGCGCGACAAGCTGCAACCCCGAGCCCGAGGCGAACTGGGAGCACACTCATATTGAGCTGGAAACCCCCAACCTCAACCTCCAACCCTCTCACCTGCCCGCCATGTTCTGATCATCGGCCTCATCGATCCCCGCCATCTCAAGCGCTCACCACCACCCTTCGTCGCGATGTTCGCCACAGCTTTCCGGCGTTTTCCCATCAGCAACGCTTTTCGCACAAACATTCGCTGCTTCTGCGTCTCGGCTGTGCGACCCGCGCCCCAGATGTGGACACCGGTCCCTTTTATCACAGAAACCATCGTGAGTCTCTGACCCTCCTCGACGCATGGGAAAGGAGCTGATGATGTAGGGCGGCGGCTATCGCACTTGTAGGTGCAGTCCTCGAGCGGGAGTGCCATCATTCCACTGACCTGTTACTCCTAGCCGACATCTTCTCAAAGCTCCTTCAGGTTGGTAGACTCGGCATGCGCTCGTTGTCTATACTCTAACGTCGCCCAGGAACGCATCATATGCCTCAACGGGGAGGTCAATGAGACAGTATCCGCAGCGGTGGTCGCCCAGCTCCTCTTCCTCGAATCCGACAACCCCGAAAAGTCGATCACGCTCTACATCAACTCTCCCGGTGGTTCTGTCACCGCAGGTCTCGCCATTTACGATACGATGTCCTACATTCGGTCACCAGTGTCTACTGTTTGTGTGGGTCAAGCCGCCTCGATGGGCTCCTTGCTGCTGTGTGGTGGAGAGGCCGGCAAGAGATTCTGCTTGCCGCATTCTTCAATCATGATACATCAGCCGAGCGGAGGATACTTTGGGCAGGCGTCAGATATCGCGATTCATGCGACGGAGATACTGAGGGTACGGAAACAATTGAACGAGATTTACGCCAAGCACCTGACCAAAGCGCATTCGTTGGAAGATATTGAAAGGTTGATGGAGAGAGACAAATTCATGAGCGCCTCTGAAGCTCTAGAGATGGGCATCGTGGATGAAATTTTAGACAGAAGATTAGAAGACAAGAATGCAAACATAACGGAGTAGTATCTAGTTACTATTTGAGTTCACTCCGAAGGACAACAATAAATAAGCCGCGATGTGTGTAGTACGCTTAATGTCCGCCAAGCCAAAGCAGGATATCTACACAATCCTAAAATTCGAACATCCTAAGATTGTTTCCCCTTCATCTCCAAGTACTCTGTCCAGTCAATGATTTGCCCTTCGGGGCAGTGGGCCTGTAGGCAGCGTTGGGGTCTGTGGTGGCATTGATTACCCCCGAGACAATTGTCCCGTAGGCGGTTAAACCAGGATGGTTCCCAGTAGATATGGCCTGGGTTGACACATCGACGATTATGACAGAGGTGAGATGCTACCCAGGTGGCATCTTTCTCGTTACCCGTGGCGCTCGAGGAGTTACGCTTTTGCCTAACTTGCCGGAGCGCGACTGGGTACCGTGGTGGCTCGTAGTCGGGGACAAGTTTGTGAGCAGCGGCGAGTGCGATAACGTACGGGCTAAAACGCTGTGGTGCATCCTTACACAAGTCCTGTAGTAGGGACTAGTACTTCTTGTCTACGACTAGGCGGGTTTCCTGGGTAAATCCAGCTACCTCCTAGCAACCTAAGTCCATCTCTATAATCTGTGAAATTTTCCTAACCAGGTTGCCTAACACTCCTTATAATCTTTCGTCTATTGCGAGCAGGTTAAACCAGCGTAGTTTACTGCCCCCACCGACGTTGTTCTTTCGAGGAACAAGAATGGGTATCGCGACGAGGGATGCTTTGTCGGACTTCGAGGAGTCTGTTGTTTGTTGGTTTGGCATCGTATTTACTTAAGTGTAGTAATAGTCGGTGGGTCCTCCTCTTGCGCCTCCAGCTTACGGAGGACGCGGTCAAAAGTGACCGGATTGCCAAGACTTTTCACCGCTTTTCACTCCCCAGCCAAATCCTCACCAAAATCGAAATATTTTAAAATTATCACTTTACAACCACCTAGTTATTTAAAGCTAGAGATAGCTAGGGATAAGTTATTCTTTAGTGTTATTAATTATATACTCTTACTTTCTCTTACCTCTTTTTTCGCCCTTCTTTATACTTGTTTCTACTATAATAGGGTAGACTTACTTCGGCTTATTATTATTTCGTTCTAGTTTTATATATTAGCTTATTACTAGATAGCTTCGAAATATTATCTTCTTTACTTATTAAAAACTACCTCTTTTACTATCTTAGTTATTTATATTTACTATATACTAGATTATATATATCCCCTTATTTATATTAGTAATCTACGTAGAGTATACTTTAGTAATACTTACTTAATCATTATATTAAGGAGTTACGGAGTTTTGTAAGTAAAGAATTTCGTGCTTATCTATTAATTGACCTCTTAATTTGAAGCCAAAGAGAGAGTGTTCAAGAGCGGCGAGACTCGTTTGACCCTAAACAATCTAGTTTTAAGTAGCTTGAGAACTAGTAAGGTTAAGAGTAAAAGGGTAGTGGAGACTTATTTCGGTATACCGGATTAGGAACTTATACTTCCTAAAATAGCTAAGAGGGCTAATATTAGGCGGAAGAGGCAATTTCCGGAGGTTTTAGATTACTTAGCTACGTAATAGAAGCCCGGAGGGAATTATATATATAGCTAGTCGCCGCCTATATCTAACGAGTCCCCGGCGGCCGAGGGCTTTAGAAAAATAGGAACAACCTTAATTCGACAAACTAGTTTACTCCTTCTTAATCTAATACTTTTACTAATCTTGAACCTAAACAGAATCGTCCGTAACTTGATAAGCGTAAACCTAATAAGTAATTTATACGAAGAAATCGAGAGACTTAACAATATTACCTACGACGCCTTACTGTCGCCACCTTTACCGATACTAAGAACGTCTATTCTAGAAGTTAGAGTTTATATAGTAAGTATGTCCGATACTACAGGCTCCTTAACAACGGCACCTACTACGGTAGTTGCGCCAATTTTACGTATAGTGTTACTAATGCCTCAACTAGGAGCGGACGGGTTCCGTATCTTTGATAGTATAAATATTACTACTTTCCTTAACCGTTACGAAGACCTCTTTGACGACAATGGCCGAATAGACTAGGACAAGCTTAATCGGATTAACCGCTACTATAATCTCGAGCGCGGTCAAACGATTTAAAGTCTACTAGGCTATATTTCGAAGAATTAGGAAGAATTAAAGAAGGATATAAAGTACGAGTTTAAGGGCCATAATACTGTGTAGATTATAAACTTAATTGTGTTCTTAGAAAAGCTAAAGAATGAGAAGCGGCAGATAGGACCGGATGTAATAGTATACGTTAGGCAATTCGTGAGGATCTCGGGGATTTTAAAGAATAAACATATAATCGAGGAGTATACTAGGAGTCGTTAGTTCTTATAGGGCCTGCCTAAACCGCTAAGGGTGAAAGTGATTAGTAAGAATAAGGTGTCCTCTAACTACCCGGAGGAGATTGTGTTTAATAAGCTAGTTAAGACGGCTATAAGCCTTATAAACGCCAAGAAAAATGTTGAGGAGTTCTCTAATAACACGGAGACTACGCTCGGCGTAGAGGACATCGTTAGCCAACTAAGGGAGGGGAAGGCGAATAAGCCTTCTAAGGTTAAAATAGAAGTGCCGTTAGAGGCAAGCTATATAACTAAAGTACTCGACGAGAAGGTTAATAAATTAGCCGAAGTATTTTAAAAGATAGTTTTGAGTTTTAGTATATAATTAGGTCAACAACGGTTTAACCCGGCTAGGGGCCTAAATTAGAACGGCGTATATCCAACTCAGAATTAGAACCGTAGACTACCTAGGTCGTAGGCTCTATATCTAAATACATAGGGAATAAGCGTAGTTAACGTCAATGTAGCTAGGATTGGTTAGGGTAGCTATTGTTGGCATTACTTAGCGACAGATTATATGCGTAGAGAGTACGTAGAGTTTAGGATAGATATCGAGAGAGGGCTAATATACGAATATAAAGGTAAGGTGTACCTTAGTAGGGCCAGAGACGGAGGAAAACAACTTTAGGTACCTAGGGATAGAGCGGGAATGGACACTATTCGACAAACCCCCGCGGCTATTTAGTTCTTCTAGAATACTCAAAACTAGGAAAATACACAGAGGCAGGCCTAAGCAAGCAGCCCCTCGGCGGCCTAGGACTTACTAAGGCCGACGGAGATCCTAAAGAACCCTAACTTAGAGGGGTCCGTCAATCGTAATAGGGACCTAACGTATAAGGCGAACGTTAACTCGGTAGAAGTAATAGAACTAGATGATTCTAATCTAGAGGAAGATAAATTAGGGTTAGTCCCTATATATACGGTAGCTCGGGATAAAGAGGTCGACAAGGAGAAATAGAAGAACCCGAAGAAGGCGTTAAGGGATAGGGTTAATAAGGAAAAGAAGCTGGCGGCTCTAAGGATCCCTAGGATCGGTAATCTACACGTTCCGAGAGTAGAAGAGGTGGATAAGGAAGAGGAAGTAGAGGAAATGGAGCTAGACAAAGAATAAACCGAGTAAATACTTAAGTTAGGGCCACGGATAGTACGAAAAATAGAGAGGTATTTGGATATCCTTAAGAAAGAGGCTACGCCTCTGGATTTACTAAATAAGATCTTAAACGCCCCGGTTTAAGGAATAACTACTAGAGAGGTTTTAGCCAATTCGGATGTTTTACAAAAGCTGTTATTTAAAAATATACTTACGGTAATACTAAAGGAAAAGGCGACAAAGAGCGACAAAGCTAATACGAGTACGATTAAGGAAGTGACTATAGGGTCTGCCTTTATCGAGGAGGTGCCTAGACCTTACGCTATTAAAGTACCAAGAGTTAGAGTTAGGATCGGGAATATTAAGGTACTCGCCTTACTCGATACCGGTTCCGATATCGACATTCTATCTAGCTATATCTCTAAGATGGCCGGTCTCGTAATACGTCCTAATCCGATACTTAGGATAGTTGGTTATATTAGTGAGGGGGCAAGATTTAGTGGGGTTTGTGAAGACGTTGCTGTTCGAATAGGCTCGGTTGACGTTATACGACACTTATTTACCTTAAAGGATAGGACGAACGATCTTATTCTAGGAATACCTTTTATTATTTCGGCTCTTGTGTCCTTCTCTTATAGGGATGGCTACTAGTTTGCTACTATCGTGAACGACGAACGCACTAAGTAGGTTTCTCTTAGGGTAGTAAAGATGATCGATGAGATTAGAGAGGATCGTATTTTCCCGGGAAAAGATTAGCTGGGCCTATTAGGACGGATGGGCACAGTAATAAAGTGGTCTATATTAGGTCGTCAAGGGCAGTAGGATTTTGGGACCCTAGGGCGGCCGAGGTATTGTTGGGAGGCGATTATATAGGGACTTTTAAGCCCACTATTAATAGGAGTAGTTCTTTTGTTTCGATGTCGCGTAAAACTGATTTAATCTCGTTATTATAAGCTAGTACTGTCTTTCCTTTTATTAGAAGAGTAGGAGTTTTTGGCGTATATAAGAAGAAGGCAGATAAAGTAGTTCTAGTTATTTAAGGGGTGTCTAATAGATCTACACCTAGGGGAAGGAGCGATTAGAAGTAGCGGAGAATAGAGGAGGAGGAGAACAGGGGACCGGTAGAACCGGTAAACGAGTATAATAGGTTTCTTATCCCGAAGTTCTCGGATATTCCTAGGGGGTCGAGACTAACGCCCGAGCGAATAAAGAAGATGTTACTTAGGGAAGAGCTATTACCGAGGGAAAGGGAGCTAATGTTTAAGTTTATGTTTCGAAGGGAGAAAGGCTTTGCCTGGGAATTCTCGGAGTATGGTCGAATATCGGAAGAGGTTACACCCCCTTAGGAAATTAGGACTATCCCGTACGACGCCTAGTAAGCTAAAGGCTTCCCTATTCTAAAGTACCTTTAGGAAAAGGTTAACAAGATGTTTAAGGATCGAATAGCGGCTAGGGTACTCGAGCCTACATATAGCCCTTATAGGAACTAATAGTTCCTAGTCAAAAAGAAGAACGGGGACTATAGAATAGTGGACGCTACAATAAAGTATAATACTGTCACAATCCGGGACGCCAATTTGCCTCTAAATATCGACGAGATCTCGGAAGAGTTTACTAGGTACTAGATTACTTCGCTAATTGATTTCTTTTCTGGCTACGACTAAGTTACCCTAGTAGAAAATAGTAGGGACATTACTACGTTTATAACTCTACTTAGGCTACTTAGACATACGACACTAGTTTAAGGGGCTACTAATTTAGTTGCCTAGTTCGTTAGGGTAGGGACTAAGATTCTTAGAGACTATATTCTAAGTCGAGCTAGGATTTTCATTGACGATGTTCCTGTTTTTGGCCCAAGGTCGAGATATAATAAGGAAGAGGTTGTCCTAGGGGTACGCCGCTTTGTCTAAGAATATATTACCGACCTTGACATAGTACTGGCCGACATCGAGCGGGCTAGAGCAACAATAGGTCCTAAGTCGTAATTTGGAGTGGCTGGTATTAAGCTGGTAGGTTTTGTCTATACCGTAGAGGGCAGATCCCTAGATAGCGATAAGGTGATTAAAATAATCGATTGGCCGAAATGTATAAGTTAGACGGAAATTCGGGCCTTTATTGGCGTTTGTGTTTATTATCGTATCTAGATTATTTATTTCGTAGAGAAGGCTGAACCACTCTACCGGTTACTACGTAAAGGGGTGGATTTCGTCTAGGGTAAGCTTTAAGACAAAGCAATAGACGAGCTAAAGCTGGCTTTGATTTCTGCGCCAGCCTTAGTACGGATAGATGTCGAAGGTGGCCTTATTATCTTAGCAGTTAACGCTAGCTTGAAAGGCTAGGGAATAGTTCTAATACAGGAAGACGAGGACAAGAAGCGCCACCCGTCTAGGTACGACAGTGGAACCTAGAGCCCGGTAGAGCAGAATTACGATGCCACAAAGCGAGAGTGTAGGGGGGTCTTGAAGGTACTTAAGAAGGTCCGGAATTAGCTTTATAGGGTTTACTTTCTATTAGAAACAGATACTATAGTTCTAGTCTCCTAACTTAATTAATCGGCTTCGGATTTGCCTAGGGCCTTAGTTACTAGATGGCTCGCCTAGATCCGGCTATTCGACTTTGAGGTAAAGTATGTTAAGGGAATAAAGTATACTACGGTAGATAGGTTGTCACGAAGACCGGCTACGGAAGAGGAGTTGGCGGAGGAAGCCCTAGAAGAAGATATCGACGACTTTATCGACGTAAAGCTCGGATATACTCGAGCTGTTCCTTACTTTGAAGTGCGGGTTTGCCTAGCTACTATCGAAGACTATCTATAAGGGGACTAGTCTTTAGATTCTAAGCTAATTGCCTAATTCCTTCTAACGCTCAAGATTTCTTAGGAAGTTAAAGTAGAAGATAGAAGGGAATTTAAGACTAGGGCTCTAAACTATTTAGTTAGAGATAGGGTTCTTTTTCGTAGAGCAAATAAGGGTTTGCCGGAACGACGAGTGATAGACGACTAGGAAGAACGCTAAAGGATCCTCTAATATCTCTACGATGACACTGGTCACAAGGGAAGGGACTCGACTTACTACAAGGTTTCCGAACGGTATTTCTAGGACAGCTACTATAAAGACGTAAAGGATTACATCTCTACTTACGAACCTTGCCAACTAAGAGAAGAGGGAAGATAGGAAGAACCTTTATATCTAACGTAGTCTAGAGCTCTTTAGACAAAAATTGGCCTTAATATTGTGAGGATACCGACCTATAGGGGGAAGAAATATCTAGTAGTTACGAGGGACGATCTGTCAGGATAGGTGGAGGCTAGAGCGTTAGCCCGTAGAACGTCTAAGAAAGTGGCCAAATTTATCTAGGAAGATGTGATTTGTCGTTATAGTATGTTTAGAAAGCTAGTTGTCGATAGTGGCCCTGAAAATAAAGGATGGATTATTATTCTAACTAAGAAATACGGTATTCACCGGGTGGTTGTTTCGGTATATAACCCCCCTATAAACGGGATAATAGAGAGAGGTTACCGAGAGATTTTGGCGGGACTAGCTAAGATGACGGACGGGGGAATAGGGAAGTAGTTAGACCGACTACACGTATTTCTTCTTACCAATAGGACAACGACTAAAGCGACTACCGGAAGGACCCTATATTACCTTCTATACGGATCTAAAGCGGTCTTGCCTATAGAAACGCTAATCCCAACCTAGAGAATACTTAATTAGGAGAAGGTGAAAACTACTAAAGAATTACTAGCACTTCGTGTAAGATAGCTAGAAATTAGGGATAAGGATTTGAAGGAAGCTGCCGCTAAATAGAAAACTATAAGGTAGAAGGGGAAGGAACAATTTAATAAGAGGAGGAGGCTGAGGATTAGGGAGATTTTAAAGGACGAATTGGTGCTACTATATAATACTCTCTAAGAAGTAGATATGTCTACTAGAGTGAAGCTGGGCTATCGCTGGCTAGGTCCTTTTCGAGTAGCTAGAGTTGTTCCGAATAAGAGGACTTATTTTCTTAAGGAATTAGATAGGACGAGGTTAAATGGAACCTTCGCTAGTCGAAGGTTAAAAATCTTTAGGAAAAGAGAGGGAGTCTGGGATCCGGTAGAAATTGAAGGCTCTGTATTTGAGAAGGCAACGGAGTTAGTAGAACTAGGGCTAGAAGCTAAAGAAGAGGAGGAATTCGAAGAGATTAGGAATAAAACGGCCAAGATAGACGAGGAAGAAAAGGATAGGGAATTATAGAGGCTATTAAGAGAGGAAGCTAGAAGAAAGGAGCTTGAGAAGTAGTAACAAAGAAGGCGTATAATTCCGAGAGGAAAGAGGAGGGTTGAAATAGAAGAAGAAGAGCAAAGATAGAGGCTAATCCTAGAAGGAAATAGGATAGCGGTAGTAGTAGGCTTAGGGGAAGCGTAGTAGAAGGCATGAGGCCTAGGCGGCCTTGGGGTTGTCACGAAATAATGAATTAGAAACAATTTTACTCCTTATAGGAGTTATTAAAATTGTTTAGGGAAGGATACCTATACATAAAGACGTAATAGATTAGAAAATACTTTTATTCGTTATATCAGCCGCTTTATCCTAGCACAACCTACGGATCTTCCCTAAACAAGAAGGGGTATTATATAGACAGAAAAGGAGAATTAGTTATCGAAAAACTAAGGGCTATTAGGTAACCGAGCGAGTATTAGTAAACTTCTCGTCGTCCGATTCCTTTTCGGTCTTAATAGTAGTAGTTTGCTCAAAGTCTTCTTTAGTACCGCTAAGATAAGAATAAATGTCGCTAAAGAGTTCTTCTACTATATTACTTATAGAATAAGATCCGGATTAGGGTTGAGAAGCTACGGCTAAACCGGAATCGTTTAGGACAGTTGAGCTAGACGTAACCTCTTTACGGAATAGTTGATTGTCGCCGGAGGTTTTCTACTTCTTTCTACCGAACAGATCTAAAGGAGAATGGCCCGACCTACGTTTCGCCACCGCCTATTACCTAGAATTAGGAAGGAACAGAAGTAAAGAAGCGAGGCCTAGGCGGCCTAGTACTTACATTGTCGGGATTAAAGAGGTTTCCGGGCTTAAAAGGAGACGATTGGGTAGAAACTAGGAAGTTGCCATTAGAGATAGTAGCGCCAAAACCCTTTTCATAAGAACCTAGAACTCTAAGGGAAGCCGTTTGTACGGATAATAGGGTAACTGGAGTAAGGTCTTCTAGAAGTTTTATTACTATTCCCTTAGTCGGGGCCCTATCCTTAAGGAGGGTGATTTTCAGCTCTTCCTGGATTACTAAATTAGCGGTAAAAGTCTACGGCGGGAGGGGACTTACACTTGTCGCCTTAAGTGCACGAATTTCTCGACGATCCTCTCTTCGCTTATAGAAGTCTCGCTTTACCTCTTTAGTCAAACGAACTATTTTCGCTTGTCGCTCCTTTTCTAGGATAATAAGTTTTATACTTAGCGCCTCGTAATAGCTCTTAACTTAGTCTAGCCTAATTTTTATATATTCCTTATCCTTACAGAGTTCTACAACCTAGGGCTCTTTAGGAACAATAGGGGGAACGAAGTCGCCTTCCTCTAAGTCGTAAAGGTCTTCTTCTATTTTCGGGGATGATTTAGTTAAGGCGCTCCTAGACGGCTTAGCTAGAGTACTCCTAGGGGTGGCCTTTGGACCCTTTAGGATACGTGGGGTGCTGACCTTACTAGAAGGCTTTTTTCCTACGCTTTTACTTAAGGAGGCTGTAGGAGAAGAGCTTATAATGTTCGATGCTAGAGAAGGGAGGAGATAAGGATTAGGCTAAATATTAAGCTTTATCTTATCTTTCTAAATAATAGGTTTAGAGTCGCTACTTAAAGTGAGCTTTCTACCGCCAAATAAGGTTTTCATCTTCTAGGAAACATAATCTAGGTGCTTAAGGAGATCGTGGGGCTTCATTGGCGAAACTTCGATTCCGCTTAACTTATTATTCCCGCCTTAAAGTATAATACCGCCAAGCATAGTAATCTTGCCGTCCGGGTATAGGAGGCTATCTCTAAGAGGTTAACGATTCTTCCGTAGAACATATTTATCGGGCTTCAACGGATCTACCTCGAATAGAAGGACAAACCTACGAACCTGTGGAATATAAAGGAGCTAGATCCGAACAGCTAGGTAGAGGATGCCGAAGGTTGTATCTAAGTAGTTTAGTCGGTGAAGTTTTCTATTCCGGTATAGATCCAGAACGTAATATTCTCCCGCGGCGGCGTCTAGGAATAGTACTATATTAGCGGTTATAGGCGTGATCGGAAAGCTGAGGTCGAAAGCATTGTCGGGATTTAGGTTAGGGTCGTAGTCTAGAAGAGTAGCGAGTTGTCTATTAGTGAGGTTCTTCTCCTTAGGAGTATACTACTTAGGATTAGCTAATACCCCGGCGGCCGAGGATATGTTAGTCGGTGTGGTTAGTAGAGTAGTAACAATTGCGAAGAATCTATTTAAGAGCGAGGCCTAGGCGGCCGAGGGGTAGTTGTTGAGGCTCAAGGCAAGGGGTCTAGGGGGGGGTTTATATATACACGGACGCCGCGCTAAATTACGTGCGGGAGGCTCACGTGACTTTTCGTCCTATATTAATGGGCCCGCTAGGAGCCTAGACCCGGCATCTTCCACAAATCTACGACACTACGATTTTAGCTATACTGCCCTCGGCGGCCGAGGACCCTCCGGGTTACGATTTAAGATAGCGGACAGTTAATTGGCTGTGACAAAGGTAAACCTTATAAAAAATGAAGATTAACGGGTAGTAAGGTTAGCGGAACTTTTAGCAATTAAACCGACTCAATTACCTTTAGATCGTAAGAAGATTAAAGTATTGTTAGAGGGGCTTTCGAGAGAGGACAAGAATACTATAATAGAGGTATAGGGTGAAGGACTGACGGACAAAACGAATAACGCGTCGCAAAAGTTAGAGGAGGTTTATCGCTATACGGTGGAGAATAAGTTGTGGCTAGGAGAATTTACTATAAGAAAGGAATATAAGGATAGATACTTCCTAGTAATTCAGACTTTTCTAAACTTAAACAAGGTCAAACGAGACCGAGGAGAGGAGTCAAAAAGCCGGGCTCAAAAGAACTAGAGTAAAGATTAAGGAGGTTTGACCTAGATAAATACCGTCATAACTTAAGTTAGGAAGGATAGGGAAGAAATCTAGACAGGAGCCTTCGCTTAAGCTCTTGGGGTGCTAAGTAGAGACACACCCTTCGCCAAGGCTGCACTATATATTAACGCGGCTATTATAGATCGTCTTTCAAGTAACAAGCTAGGTGGAAGAAAAGACAGGAGGGTGATGACTACCGACATTCGACTAGCTATTAAAATAATTAAAGATAAGGTGACGCCGTTAGCAATGACGAAGCAACTCTTAGTCGGATATAGGATATATCTGAACAAAGATACTAGGATCCTGGAAGAAGGGGTATAGTTTGACGAATTATTGGCCCCGGCTGTTTCTCGTGCCTTTACAGTTGTCGAGAAAGATGAGGAGATTGGCAGTAGCCTAGGGCGGCCTAGTAGTTCAGCTCCGGAACTGTCGGGGGACACGCTTTTGGATAATTCGTTGGATAAGGACGGAGGACCGGATTTAGATATGCACTTTAGTCAAGCATTCCAGGAGCAGGAAGAGTAAGAAAAAGACAAAGAGCTGCTAATCGGTACCGATAGTGAAGATTCTGACGAGGAAGAGCTAGCAAAAAGGGGTTCTCAAGGCAAGGGGTCTACGGGAGCTGTTAGTGCCGAGGTCATCCACGATTCTAACTCTAAAACTTCTGACGGCAGCGGCTCGCCTTTAATTAAAGCGATAGGTAAGGGCAAGGCTGCCAAAAGAGCTAGGGGTAAAGGGGTAGTTAAACCGAACAAAAAGATAAAGCTTTCGGCTCGCCCGAAGATTCCTAGAGGAGGTGGTAGGAAAGGCACTTCTGAGATCCAAGTATTCATTCCGCCATTTGACAACGCTAGCTTCTAGAAGAAGGCTAAAGTAAGAAGGAAGTGGATTCCGAGAATGTCTAGCGAGGCGGGGGATAGTAAGGATTCAGAGAACGAGAAGGATGATCCCGATGACAGAATAAAGAGACTAGATAAGAAAGTTAGCATCCCTTCGAGAAGAAAGGCGGATGAAGAATAGAGCTGTGGCTACGAATCGAAGTTTCTACTAGAGTTTTTCAAGGGAATTAAGGCGGCGGCGGAACTAGGGAAGGAAGAGCTTATTACTTTTGATGGGCAATTTTAGTAAGGAGGAAGCTGTTACTCTCACACGCGGGCTTTCTACCGTAAGCTGGGTCTAAAAACCCACTAGGTATCGAACAAGACTCTAGAAAATCGGTATTACAGGCTTATGAACCGACTAATTGAAGATACCCTCGACACGGACTCCGAAAGAGAGGAGGATTAGTTTTTGCCTACTATGTGCCGGGGCTTTAGATACAAGTCCACGGCCGCCGCGGACTTGCCTATTTAGAAATTAGCTATTCTATAATATCACTTCCCAGAGGCGTTTAAGGGTAAGGCTATTGTGGGTTCCGAGCCGGTTAAGTTAGATATATTTTCTTAGTGGTGGAAGGGGGAGAATCCTATTGGCCCTTTACTACTAGAGGAACTTGAGGCAATGAGGTGGTACCAACAGTTGGGCTCCGGCGACAAGACAAACGGATAGATGTTTTCTTATTACTATTCTATAGCTTAACAAATTCTGATGGGCGACCCGTTCTACTGGACTATCCGATATTACTTGTCTATGGGCGACAACTAGAGGCAACTGGCCATGCCTTTCTACGTTAGGGACACCATAGGCGACGCTAGAGAAGTTCACGCCTTTATTCCGATGAAACTACGGGATCTAATAGACGGTGAAATCGGACTAGTCGTAGGGTTTGCTTCTTTGGACAATAAAGGGGAAGGGAGCGCTCTGGCCTGGGTTCCGAAGGTCGGGGGAGCCGTAATACCATGGGTTGGAGAGGTGTAGAGTCGTGGTGAACTTACTTAGGAGGAGATCTACGAATAAGGAGTCTTGCGATTGTCAAAATTCAACTTCCCTTATAAAGACTGCGAGAGGCTTGGGGTGGCCTGGGAAAAGGAACCCGCGAAACAAGGCGAAGTGAAGTTTTTCCAACAAACTACTCCTATTGGATTCTTGGCCAAGCCTAAGGAACGACATAGGGGAGTCTTCGGGGTTTTTCGAGAAGTGAATCAATATGGCAGATTTGTACGAGATAAACCCATAAGTTCTAAGGAAGTGGCCTTCTCATAGAAGGAACTAAAGTCTCCGCCTACTGTTCCCAACTGCCTATTATACGTTCACCACACCACCAGTCGTTTCCCAGCTGCCGTTAAGTTATTACTACCCGGAGCTATTTCTAATGCTCTGCTCGGAGAGCTTTCTTGGGAAGACACTAGAGTTAAGGGGCAGAAGAAGCTGTATCTCGGGAAGGGCTTTGCAGAATCCGACAAGCACCTGGCCGAGTGGAGGGAGGAAGTGAAGAAAAGGGTTCGGAATGGGATTGAGGCTTTTCGATACAAGGAAGAAAAGAAGTTTGGCGACATGTCTTACTACCGGAATCTAGAGGAAGTAAAGAAGGGGATCTTGGGAGCGCGTTTCGCAGGGTTTACTTCCGGTAGATGGGATTACGGAGGGTCTGACTACCATGTTAGGTGGGACGATGGGATTCCGCTGTTCCCTCTTATAAAAGAAGAGATTAACCTGGGAGCAAAGAATCTTTATGAGAAGACAAAGGTAGTTGGGGAGGCCGCTGAGGAAGATATAGTGCTAGGGGGTAATGTGGTCAAAAGGGGTAGTGGGAGTAAGGGTTCTAGAGTTTCTGATGATTCTGACGAGTCGGAGGAGCCCTAGGCGGCCGAGGGCCTACCTTAGGCTGCCGAGGGGTTAGGTGCGGGGGAATCTGGGTTTTCTTTTAGTTATTTGATTTATATTACGTGGCTAAGTCAGGGGGCGACTCAGTATTCTAAGAGGGGACGGATGTAATGGGGCAGACTTGTTCCGGGTCATAGTTATTCCGTTCCGGGTTTATATATCAGCTCGTTACTAGACAGCTTCAAAATATCATCTTCTTTACTTGTCAAAAACCACCTCTTTTGCTATCTTGGTTGTTTGTGTTTACCGTGTACTAGATCACACACATCCCCTCGTTTACACTAGTGTGTGATTTCGTTGTAGTAGGTTGATTGTGTATAGAATAGAGCCGTAAGAGCTCTATGATAAAAGACGTGGTGTTACACCACGTGACAGACCCACTTAAGGTGGGTGCCCACAATAACTTGTGGTGTAGCCAATGAGGAATAAGCTGTATTCTAACAAATAGATTAAAAGTAGCGATAAATAGAGAAGAAGAGGTAAAGAGGTCTAGTAGAACTAGTAATAAGTATAATAAGTTCTTAATACTAAAGTTCTCGAATATTACTCGAGGTATACGACTAACATCTAACTAAATAACGTCCATCCCTGCGTGCCGAAAAAACCGGTGTGCCGGAAAAAATAATTGGTACTTTAACTTCAACCATATCTAACTCTGTGCATATATCGAGATATCTTATAATTTTGTATAAATCATGTTCTATAGTTACTCCTAATACTCTAAACTCCCCCCGCCAGAAAATTATGTTCGTGTCGTCGCCCTGGCGCCTAATTTACGGAAGGTCTCTTTTCATGGCGCAACAGGAATCCTCTACCACAGTACCACCATCAAGCTTTTACCGTTATCGAAATTTATAAGCCATCCTTATCCGAGTGTCTGAGCCCTTCCGGGAGTACTGAGAAGTCATTGCCAGCCTTGTGGCTACTGTGTACACAAATTCATACACTGCCGGCGCGTCGGTTAGTACCTCCGATCAATTCCAGACTGCGCACGAGTATTTACGGTGTAATTTATTATGTAATCACGCGTATCCAAAATTCAACTAAGCCTGTGGCTAAGGATCCTAGCACTATTACATGCAGCCGACTACCGATCATGCAGCAATCTACCGCTCTTCCCCGCATCTGGTGACGCAAAGGAAGCGCTGGACTAAAATAAATGTCGGCCTAAGGTGTAAGGATAGACGGTCTGCAAAACGCCAGTAGTGGAGCTTTGTCACTATCCGAATAGCTGACCGAAGGTAGATCCTAGATTTCTGTCATTCACTTTCCTGTTCTATTAGCTTCTCCCCTACCGATAAGAAATATTCACCGCTCGAGCGATCGTACACATCGAATACCCTGTGCCAGCTATGGCTTCCAGAGTTTCTACGGTAGTCCTGAGCGATTGGCAGGTGTTGCGCGCTACCGGTGACGCACAACGATTCTATTGCCGCGAGGCTGCTGCCCTGCTGAGTGCGCCAGCCTTAACCCGACATCTTCTCGGAACTCTTCACTCAACTTCACATCTATGCCAACTCGACGGCTTAATAACTCCTGCGGAGATTCTTTCTTGCGATCCTCAAACCTAGTCGAATGATGCGTCTGCTATGGTTTAATAACGACGGCGACGGCGATTTCAGCCTGACGGAGTTCTCCGAGAGCGAAATCCCTATGTACGCTATACTTTCACACAGATGGGGAGAGGGGGAGGTTACTTTCAAGGATCTGGTGGACGGTACAAGCAAGAACAAGGCTGGCTATAGCAAGATACAGTTCTGTGGTGAACAAGCTAAGCGTAACGGCTTACAATACTTTTGGGTGGACACCTGCTGTATCGACAAATCTAATGCCGTCGAGCTGCAGGAAGCCATCAACTCGATGTTTCGCTGGTATCGGGATGCGACCAAATGCTACGTTTATATGCCAGATGTTTCGCGACCTCATTCCGATTCGGCCAACGGAGTCAGCGAGTCCTGGGAATCGACATTTCGGAAAAGCGAATGGTTTACCCGAGGCTGGACTCTGCAAGAGCTTCTCGCACCGGCATCAGTCGACTTCTTCTCAAAAGAAGGGGAGTTCCTGGGCAACAAGACCTCTCTAGAACGACATGTCTGCGAGAGAACAGGAATTCCTGTCAATGCCCTTCGAGGGAGCCCGTTGTCTGAATTCAGCATCACAGAGCGAATGTCGTGGGCAGCAAGTCGTGAGACTTATCGCCAAGAGGACAAGGCATACTCGCTACTAGGTATTTTCGACGTTCACATGCCGTTGATCTATAGCGAAGGGAAAGATAAGGCATTGCAGCGACTGCGAGAAGAGATTGACAAGGCTTCAAAGGGTAAGTCCTTCTCTTTTGTCAATAGCACTCATCAGAAGTAAAAGGCAGGTTTTGGGGTCTATAAAACTGCTAACTATAGTAGGGATTCAGCGCGAGGACTTCTCAGTCGTTTTCAGTCTCTCTAATGTGTCTGACGTTGAACATTTCGTTGGCAGGGAGGCAGAGCTCCAAGAGATACATAAGGCACTTAGCGGCGACGGATCCCGCCGAACAGTTGTTCTTTACGGTCTGGGCGGAATCGGTAAGACACAACTTAGTGTTGCATATACGAAGCGGCAAAAGGACAGCTACTCGGCGATATTCTGGCTCAACATCAAGGATGAGAGTTCTTTAAAGCAGAGCTTTGCTATAATGGCCAGACAGATATCACAAGAATACCCCTTAGCTCTTCGGCTTAGCGGTAGAGATACAAATGAGAGCCTCGACGAGGTAGTTGATGCTGTTAAAGCGTGGTTGAGTCGACCAAATAATTCGCGATGGCTAATGATCTTCGACAATTACGATAATCCTAAGTTGCCTAGAAACTCGGATCCTGCGGCTGTGAATATCCGAAAGTTTTTCCCCGAATCATATCAAGGGTCGATTATTATCACAACGCGGTCGTCACAGGTTAGAATTGGTCATTCTATCCAGATTCGGAAGCTCGGTGATGTGCGTGATAGTCTTGAGATTTTGTCAAACGTTTCGAGACGGGAGGGACTAAGAAGTGGTAAGAACGTCTATAATTATGTGCTGTGGATCTAATCCTAATAGTAGATCCTGATGCTGTTATACTTGCGAAAGAATTAGATGGGTTACCTCTTGCACTCGCCACTGCCGGAGCCTATCTCGATCAAGTAGCGGTAAGTGTTTCGGACTATTTATGTCTATACAAGCAGTCGTGGATGCAGCTCCAAGAATCGAGTCCGGAACTGGACTCGTATGAGGACCGAACTCTCTACTCTACCTGGCAGATATCATTCGATCACGTCCAACAGCAAAATAATGTCTCCGCTAAGCTTCTTTGCTTCTGGGCGTACTTCGACAGTCAGGATCTCTGGTTAGAGCTTCTCCAGCACAGTAACTCTAGCGATCCAGACTGGGTACGGGAGCTGACGAAAGACAAAATAAGCTTCCATCAAGCGATACGGGTATTAAGTAGCCACGGGTTAGTGGAGGTAGATGCGTCTTCGCAAGGTTTGAACGAGTCACAAGGGTATAGCATTCACGGGTGCGTTCACTCGTGGACAATCCACGTTCTTAATCAAGCGTGGGACTATGATCTAGCTAGGCTAGCTATCAAGTTTGTTGGATCACATGTTCCAGAAGCGCAAACCGTTCAGCCGTGGCTGACTCAACGACGGCTCCTTCAGCATGCAATGAGGTGTTCATACATGGTTCTAAACAGCTTGGTCCCGGACGATGACATATCCTGGACATGTCACAACCTAGGG